CTATCTATCTATCTATTTATCTATCTATCTATCTATATATCTATCTATCTATCTATCTATCTATGTTATTGTATTCTGTGTCCTAAAAAGGGCAACTATAAAGTAGTTTTGAACCCCCCGGCATTGTATAAGATTAAGCTATCCTCCCTTTAACAGGATTTAAATGTTATCCTTGGCGGAAAAATACGACAAAATATTAAATTGATTTAGAGTGTTTCCCAAATTTGCAAGTAGTCCTAAATATGTTCTCTTTGTCATTAAAAATCTAAAATAAAAACACAAGTTTGAGATTTTAGGCATTAAACAGATAATGAAAAATAAATGTTAAAACGTACTTTAGTAAAGACAAATGTAAACTTGATAGAACTATTAATTCAAAAATGCATTTTTGCAATGTCGTTGCTATAGAGTGAATTGACGTTTTAATGTATTCTTCCTCGCATCGATCTAAATTAAGTGACAAAAGCTAAATCTGTAGAAAATATTGGTCTATTTTTAATATAACAATTTACAGTACAAAAATAACGTGTGTTTTCCTTGCTCTCAACCTTTCTAAACTTATTGTTTAGCGTTGGGTTTCCTCAACATAATAGGAAGGATATGCGTCATAAGGAAGCATAAAATAAGTGTAAAAATTCGTTTAAACTTTAAAGGACATTGTTTTACAATGAAAATGCACCTAAATTTCAACATTCATAACACATTTAATGTACTCGTTTTGCACAAAAACCCTCTGCATTTATAATAATACAAATATGACATATGAGTCATTATTTTTTGGCCTTTCAGTTAAATTTGTGAACACTATAGTGGTATAACCGCGTTAATGATGGATTCATTCATTCTTGAGCATAAAACACCAAGTCAAGCTTATTTTTAACCTTTACAGCAGCACAGGGTCGAGTTGATGTCTAAAATTCATAAAAACAGTTTTTGAATTGCATTGATTAAAATCCTTCAACATCTGCACTTCTTCGGAGTTTCCCTTCAATTCTAAATTGTATCTCAAACTATTTAAAATAACCTCATGTCACGGATCTTACTTTAGTTCTCAGGCTATGAGGCCCCCAAATCCTTCTTGGGATTCGGAGTTTTGCATCAAACTCAGATTACGGCATTCCTATATCTTTGCAACCCGGTGGTATAGACTGTTTGACGTGACAGAATTCATAGTTTGTAATTATATAAGGTTTACAACATTTTGTTGCAAAGATTTAAGGAATAGAAAGTTTTAATTTGTCGATAAAACTCAATTCCTCTCCTTCCAAAGCAATTCTCTATCAAGACCTATTTCCAATTACATCTTTTTTTTATATTACAAAAGTATTAAAANGGGGAAAGGGAGAGGAATGGGGTGCAAGATAACGAAGTGTTGAAGGTAGGGGGAGGGGAGGTTAGGGAGAGGAAAGGTGGTGTTTTAAGCAAACTAGAATAGAAAACACCCACGCTAAAAAGACGGGCGTTGTTATTTTAAGAAGAACATGCCTAATTCTTAATTAACCAGAATTTTTGTTTCAGTGCAAAAAATGGCTTGGGGCGGGGAGATGTATTATTAAAGACTTTCTGATAATTTAGGAGATATAATTTATACTTTTAATTTATTTTATCATTTCTGAATCCACTCTTCACATTTTGATGAAAAAGTCCAATTCTGATAAAACCATTTTAAACTGAAGTACACTTTACTATATATGTACTAAAGCGCAAAATTATTTTTATACTTCTAGAGACTTAAAGTCAGAGACATATTTTGTACGAACTTTTAAATTCACTTTTATCCGTAAAAAGTAAGTGTTACGTTAGATGTAAATATTTCATGTTTTCAATAGATTAAAGAATATTCTGTATTCCTCTCTATTAACATCTCTTAAGAACAAAGATTGATTATTTGATTTTCTAATATGCAACCAATAACAAATGGGTTTCTCATTCTTATTAGTAAAATCAAAACTAGATATGCTACAAGGTTTCAAAGTAGTACAAGTAATAAAACATTCTTCAACCCCTTCATTCTTGAGGAGTGTGGAAATCCCATGGCACAAGGTGTTTAAAGTATCATAATGTTAGAATAGGAATAAATCCGAGGGAATTAAAATATCTGCAGATGAATTATTTTATAAAAGTCATGATGAGTAAAGATAAGATGGATGACCAAGAGTAAGAATTAAACGGAAATTTAAATGACTCAGGCCAAATAATACATGGTGCATGGTTTTAAAGCCCAGGATGATTCAAATATAATATATACATCATACATCGAATACGCAATTAAATATCTATTTAAAAACTTCTCACGCTTGTATGCCGCATCCATTAGCGCCTGATCCAATCAGGGTTTAGTCATGTGTTTTTGTCTATTCTGAACCAATAGAAATATAGTATGGCGGTCACATCTATCTTTCTATCTATCTCATTATCCAAATAGAGATATGAATCCTTCGATCGGTGCTATCAGTAAATGGAAATATTTACTTCTACTGAAACTATAGTGTTCTAGTTCATTATGTATGAATAAAGAGTGAAAGGAGAGGGATTCAAAAATGTATTAAAAAACTTCTAGTAAAATATATTAATTATGTTTCACTCACTATCAAATCGTTCTGCATGGCAGAAAGCTGAAAAGAGAAATACCGCATGTCCAAATGTTTTAAATTTCGTTCTGTGTCCATTGGAAAATTATATTATTTAATGATACCTTGATAATGCTGATTGCATTTTTTTGCAAAAACCCCCGAACTTTGTCTTCTTTCAATTTTCAACTGAACTATTTGTAAAAGTGCGCTTAATTCAGAATTCTACGGTTGCAACATTGGAAAAAACAAAATCTGGAGGAACATTTTTGAACGTAAATGAAATAATAAATATACAGTTTTCTTGTTCTAAAAGAGGTGGTAAGCTTAATTCAATTTGACCCTTCATACAAACACGTTTGGAGCCCAGGAAAACGAGGTTATTATCCACATTATTGATACGATTAAGGTTTAAAGGGTACCGTTGTAAAATCGGGCATTGCCATCTTTAAACGAAGGATCCTTTCAAAATTCGCTTACAGTCCCCTTAAAGGTATTATATTCGACCTTTTAATCATGCTGGTCAATCATGACTGGGCAAACTTTAACTATCGGTTAATTTTAAAATAATGCTCTAAACTATATATATAAGATTTAAAATTTTTTACGACTGATGAGTGGAATTTCTTGAAGTACTCCTACAGATTTTTGATCATGCAAAGATACCCAAGACATGAGTGTAAATCTAATTTTTCGGTTTGGTTATTGTCAAACTTTTTCTTACAAACAAAGATGGTTTGGATTGGAAAAATAAAAATTTTTGATAATGTCTTCTTTAATTCTCGATAGCTATTTAAATATCAAACAATTTTTTTGGATATTTCGATTTTTTAATCATTGGCCGGCCTTCTGACCCTTCTGATACCCTACACTTGCAAGCTGCAATCATTAAAATATTTGAAAACAATCTAAATTATTAATTTTTTTATTGTCAAAGAAAACAATAGTGGNCCCCCCAATAGCCTTTTAAGAATCATTCTTATAAAATTAGGATCAAGAAGTAATACCGCAACAAAACTAAAAAATGGGAATTTTCATGTTACACAATTCGAGGAAGTAAACTAACGCTCTTAATAGATAAATAAAGTTGTTTTAACCAAGTCTTTGATTTGGTTGAATTTGCGAATCTAACTTATCTTTTTTCCACACTAAAAACTAGTAAATTAAACTATGTACAGGTTTCTTTCTTCCCATCTTTATCAAATGAAATATTAGTATTAAAATAAACGAGATAATTACATCAAAACTACGATAAAATATTATAAATTATACAACGATGTGAATCTGCTAGACGCTTAATTAACATATATGCAACAAATAAATAGAGTCTATGCTTATCGGGACAAGTGCAAAGAGAACTCATAGCTAGATGACAAAAACGTAGTTTTGGAGTTAGGGACCAAACACAAAGACACAAATCAGACTTCAATTAAACTTAAAAGTTATAGAATATGAGAGATCAAGTGAGAGGTACAAATAGATTAGAATAGGCTGGACACCTTATATATTCATAATTAAATTGAGAAAAAAATAGTTAAGAAATGCAGAAAGTAAGTATTCAAAGGTTTTACCTAGTTCTTCAATCAAAATTTGAGGCAAATTGGTCAAAGGTTTCCTAAGTTATCAGCGGAGTTTGCTGCAAAATTGAACCTTTTTGTCCAATTCTGCTGTATGGTATTTTTTCGTTATTTTTTTTGTTTCTTTTTTGGACTCCAATTTCCCAAAAACAAATCCGCGAAAGTTTTTTTCCTCTCCAAATCAAAAGTTCAGTGAAGAAAAAATGTGTATATGTATATTATTTTTATGAAATTCAAAAATTTTATAAAGATTGATTCGATCACAGATTCACAAAAAATTGGCAAAATTGTAATAAGAAAATCTAGAATATAGAAGAAAAGAACTCTAAGTGGATTTAAAGAACTTTTCCTTTAAAATTAGACCAGAACTGAAAATTGCAAATTTTCTTATTACAATGTTGCCGATTTTCTGTGATTTGATTTTTTTGGGGCCATTGGAGTATAAAAAAATTTTAAAAAAAACTATACAGGAGAGTTGCAAAAAAAGGGTAAAATTTGGCACCTGTCGACGCCGCTAATCACACTTTTTTACTCACCCTGTAGATTCCTTGAGAATCCAGTTTTGCTGAAGATCTGTAAATTCTTTCCTTGGGTTCCCACTCAAAATTTCAGATAAAACGGTTTGGGGGTTCATGACTTATGCTCTGACATATAAACGAAATAAAACAGAGATTACTACTTTATTTACATATACAGATTATTGTTGACAAAACTATAAACTGAAATTTATGTAGTGTCAAGTGACAAAACTATAAATTAAATTTATGTATTGTCAAATGATGGTTATCTGTATATCAAAACTGAGAACCACTGTCTGGTTCTCGAAACGTCTGCTTTAAATTCGTCTATCTTTTTATCTGTCTATCTGTCTATTTGTCTATCTGTCTATCTGTCTATCTGTCTGTATTTCTATCTGTCTTTCTGTCTATCTGTCTATATGTCTATATGTCTATCTGTCTATCTGTCTATCTATCTATCTGTCTATCCGTCTATCTGTATATCTGTTTATCTGTATATCTGTCTATCTGTCTATCTTCCTTTCTGTCTATCAGTCTATCTGTCTATCCGTCTATCTGTCTATCTGTCTATCTGTCTATCTGTCTATCTGTCTATCTGTCTATCTTTTTAGCCTTAACTATTCAAGTTCAAGCTTTAGAAAACAAATCCTTTTTTGGGGGGTAGAGGGGTCGATTCGTGCTTTGAGAAAACCAAGCTTTTTGTATTTGATATTTAAATAATAAATAAGATAAAGGTTTTTATTTTATTTCAGTGATCAGTCCATCTACCTTTCAGTATTTAATCCAGTCTTGACGAGGAGCAGTCCCTGTATGGTATTATTGAGTCCATGGATTTAAAACTAGATAGAATTCAGGGTCAGCAGTCAACACTTTACTTATCAAACCATCAAGACATTTAAACTTTAAATTCTAGATACAAGGAGTTTCATGAGACATGAGAAACAAGTGCAGGTTAAACTCTTCATTTAGGTTTGCGGCATCGACTTGTTAACCTAATGCATAATGTAATTGGGTGTTTTCCAAATTACCGTCTGTTACGGTCATAGGGGACAAAATAAGCCAAAATTCAGAAGTTAGACAAGTTGCTGTTAGTTTTTAACAAAAGCCCTCTAAATTCTACATTTTTTGGGATTCCCTTAGTATGCCAAATTTTTCAGACACATATATATATATATATATCAGATATGCAATGCATTAATGGTACAGCTGCAGCAATAAGTCGGATATGTTCCTATTAGCGTCAAACTAAAACTGTCAAACCTACAGGGTGCCTCAAAAAGAATGAAACTTCAGAGACGACTGTACGCAATTTATTTAGCCTTTTTTCTTGCACTCATGTTTCCCTGGAGCTGTATAATTGTTTTTATTTAATTAAGCCCAGAATACAGAAGACTAAAGTCAATCTTCATAATTTCATATTCAAAGAGTTTTAAGTCGTTTATGTTTCACCAAGGCGCAACTTTGTACAGAGTATAAGGGGGGGGGGGTCTAATTTACGGGATTTGATGATTATTTCAGTGCTTAAAGGGCAGAAATATAAATTCTGGTCACCCAAATAGTCTTTTATCTTGTATGAGATTAATACTTAAGTTTATATCAAAGGTTGCTAATATTTCAGTTCTAGTGCATAAAAAACTAATTAAATATCTTTAAAGATGGTTAACTTAAAGGGACTGTGAGTAATAATTACAAAGTTGGCAAAGCACGATTCACAACAGTACCTTTGAATCCTATGGTTGCTTTTCAAGGTTTGTCAGTGTTTAATACTGATAATTCCAATATTTTTTTCTGCAGGAGAAATGCGCAAGTTCCTTATGCAGAGAATCCACATTTAAAAATAATCAGTTTTTTAAAAATTATAAACATTTGATATGTAATTCATACTTGTTCAGACAAATCATTTCAGGGTACTATTGTGAATCTGGCATTGTCGTCTTTACATGGAGGGTCACTTTAACACGCTTAAATACTTTATATAGTCCCTTTAGTTGCTTAAATGGAATAAATAGTTTTAAAAATATCTTGCCCTGGAAACTGGTCCGTAAACTTTTAAAGTAAAAAAAACAGCCATTTTTCTGGATTTTATGAAAACTTTTTTTTCAGAAGACAGGAACAAATTGTTGATCGGAATTTCTTTGTAAGATGACCAAAAATTATTTTAAACATTACCTATAAACCTTTCAAAAATGTATTCATGAATTTTTCAAGTGGCCCCGCTTAACACCTGTTGAGAGCTGAAACCCCCCTGAAATCCATAGATTTCACGAGTCGAGGGGGAGGCTAAACCACTGATTCCCCCTCCCCTGTATACGCCTTTAAAACCTTTATCTTTTTTCTTGGATATTTATTATCGATCCATCACGGCTTTTCTATTAATTGTCTTATAATTTTCTACAGCAATAATACAGAAGAAATTATTAAAAAGTTTAGAATTTAATTGTCTCATTATCTGTAGACTTAATTTAATTGACCCTAGATCCGTTTCAAATATGGCATGTCCGATTCACACGGAGATATGGTTGTTTTTCTACTTAAAAAGTATTGAATATTGTAAATTATTCTCTTTGTTACTGCAATGCATAAAATAAAAAAGTAATTTTTCAGGGAAACCACAAATAGAAATAATCAATTTTTATATAATCAAAGCGATAATGGTTTTAAGGGTACTGCTGTAAACCGGGCATGTACCCCGTTAAACAGATTTTCACTTTAAATAATGTGTGGTGTATACCTTAAGCAGAATGATTACCCTTAAATAGGCTAACTTTGCGAAATTCAGCTTTTTTTGAAGTGATTCGATGAGTTGTTATTTAAACTATAACACAATAAACACACAGAACATGACCATATACAAACAGTGCACTGTAAACATAGAAATTCTTAACTGTATCTCATTTAAATCCGGAAACTACTGCAGGGTTACTCAGAAAAAGTGAGACTGCAGAGACGATTGTACGGAATTTGTTTAGTCCGTTTGCTTGTATTTAGGGTTCCTTGTAGACCAAAACTGACTTATTTATGTTCTTAACCATTTGATAAACCATCAAAATGATTAATTGAATGTAGAAACCAAAAATCAAGCTTCCCATCGTCAGTTTAGAGTTTTGGGTTGTCTTTTACAGTCTCATCCTTAGTCACTCCCTTTAAATAGTGCGTATATAAAGGGAGTGACTGGCAAGGGAAAAACAGGATTCATTTGATACCATCAAATTGTTTCAAATGTGTGCAAAAATGTAAATTTGCAATTCGATAGTACCGTATTCCACAATACATTAAAGAGAAGGTCGACTTTATGCAACATTGCATGGTTCGACTTTATCCTCGTAGATATTCAAGTTTTGATTTTAAACACCCGTAAGAAATAATCCAATTAATTTGCTTACATAAAAAAATTTGAAACGGTCATTTTTAAAAATAAAAAAACGAAAGGAAAAATATCGTTTTTTCGATCGTTTTTAAAAAGATTAACAACAAATATGGATGTGGGAGGGGTGAATAGGGTTAGACAATTTACAACAGCTAAAGCAAGCTGTAAAGTACACATAAACTGTACACTATACACTGTACAGAGTACAGCCAGTACCAAAGGAATAATGTCGTTATAATGAGATTTATATATGCAGCAATTATACAATACAAAACATATCCCTGATTATCATAAATTCCATTAATTACATAATGCTACAGTCTCAGCTCATCTAGAAATACTTAGCCCATCACTCCCTTTAAATTTACTCTTTAGTTGTATACTTATACTCATGTAATCATATCTGCACTAACTTTGAATATTGTTTTGTATAAATTTATCATATTATTATCAATGTTTATTGTTTTTGTTTATGTACAATTTTGAAAATATTTGATAGCTAGTTTCTCTAGGGCTTTATTCCTACTAGTCTCGCCCTGTAGTCTAAAAAAAGAACATATCATCTATAATACGAAATACAGGGTGTCCCACGAAACATAACAGTTTGTGAATAGTTTTAAATGTCTTCTTCCATAATTTTTTAAGTTGTTTGATACCAAGGAGAATAATAAAAAATATTATATGGCAGTCATAATTTTGTAAAATGGATTTCAAAATAATTTGAGTAATAGGTTTTTTCAAAACTAAAAAAACTAAAAAAAGTCTTTAACATCTAATACAGCTTACGGAAGAAGACATTCAAAACCATTCACCATTTGTCATGTTTCGGGGGACGTATGCAAAATCTATGATTATCACTGGAACTTTACATTTAACTTTATTTGAATTGCATACGGATGAAAATTGTTGTCTTTAAACTTTTAAATAATTAATTATTTACAGTCTTTAATTTAAATTTTTGTCTTACTTTAAATTAGCAATGTTTAATTTGTTTGATATTAAATTTTACTTGTTTTTAGAGTAGCTAAAATAGTACATAATATTTGATCGTGATTTCTAATGCCCACACTTCCCGTGAAACATTTGTCTGAGATGGAATTTAAAGAATTTGAGCCGCGGTTTAAATCCGCCAAAACCCGGTTTAAATTAAGCGCCGGCTTAAATCTTGAAACATTTGATACAATTTTAAGTGGAACCAATCATATTTAAACCTCGGCTTAAATTTAATCCGCCGCTCAAATTCTTTAAATTCGGCCACTGTTTTCATAAAATTAATAAAGTAAAAACATGCATAATTTGTCTAAAATAAATTACTCAAACAGCCTTTAAAATACAAGTTATTATATAAGATATCAAATATGCTGTAAAGCAAATAGATTATCAAGTACAATCGGTAGCAACAGAGAAATGGACCGATTATACACACCGTCAACAGTGTCAAATACAACAATTGGACAAAGATGCCATGTTTTCCAAGATGAAATAAAAAAGTGTAAAGTAAGAAAATAAAGAACACATGAAATTGCACATATTTCATTGTAAGAAAAGCACTTTATTCTAAAATTATCACTATTATGAATAATTTTTTCGGACACAAAAACTAAGTTGACACTTGTGACGTCAGAATACAGCTGTACTGAATGCCCGAAAGGATGTGTACATGTACAATGACAGATGTACAATCGCACACTAATTGTTTCGTTTTAAAGAATTGTACAACAAATACGACATTTAAAACAATGTTATTTGACCTGATACCGCAATCTGGACAAACTGATATATCTGGGTTGGATCTGCACACTGAACACAACAGATCACCATCTGGACACTACAATTTTTATATTTTAGTTTTTTTATTAATTAAAGTGTTTGTCATTGTAATTTCCAGTGACTCTCAGGTCTCAATTAAATCTTAAGCCCCTCTAGTTTTTTTTTACCTATGCACTTCTATTTTCGACATTATCACCTTAACATTTTTTAACTTTAAAGGAATGGTAATTTAAAGGATTTTTTTATACATAGGGTAGGCTACAGGACCGTAAAAATGTGTTAAAAAAAATCTAAAATAGTTCATAACTTTTTTGTTATTAAAGTTACAGTACTAAGAACTACTTTTTTTAAAAGCCCTTGAAAAATTGATGTCATATCTTAATATTTGCCAGATCAAAGACAAGAATATTTTTTAATTTGTCCGACCTTTTTTTGACATTTTTTTCAAAGCTTTTAGCACCCATAAGTAAAACACTCATTGAGAGTTTCTTTACACACAAAGTATAAGCGAGTTAGTGAAGTAAAATCGAAGTTTAATTGTGTTGCGACATTTAAAAGTCGATCCGATTTAAAATATTAATATTTTGTCGGAAGCTGTCGTTGATGTCGAGTTGTGTATATCATATCTGTCTAAATGTTTTTGTGAATATATTTATTAAAAGATGAAATCTAAACAGTTAAAATTATTTCAACATATGTTTTGAATTTTTTCCACCTGAAATATCTGCCCTGGAGGTTTAAGAAGACACCCGCAAACACAGCATTGGAACTCTGTATCCAGATCAGCCCCGTGAGAAATATCGTCTTTGCTGGATTCAATGTCGTCTTCTTTCTGTAAAATGCCTCGCAATATCTAAATAAATATTGAGAATGTTTTAAAACTGGGATAATGTGAATGACCAAAACATGTTGGGAATCAGGGAAAAGGGGTGTGCGTGTGCAATAACAAACTCGTCTGCAAAACAGTGCGACTTGCTTTCTCATGCCAGACAAGCGCCATTTCCCTTCCCTTCCCGACTAGACCAGATAGCGTAGATTTTACGCAGACCCCGTCGAATGCGTTGATTTCGACGCTACAAAATTTTAAAAAGGAATTTTTTTAAAATATGTTGAAACCCGATATCAGACCCCTCCATTTTCCCCCCATATTCTTCACCCCCCTTCCCTTTTTGGCCCAGAGACGAAATACACTCTGTTTAAACGCAGATCATTTTGCTCCTCCCCCCATCCCCCACCCCTCTTATAAGGTAAGAATTGGTAAGGGCAGAAATTTACTCATTTCCGACTCGCTAGAGAACGACCCACATGGTGAGATTTTGACCCCCCACCACGAATTTAAGCCTCGTAAAAGCTGCTGCATAAATCTAAACTACACCTGACATTAGTTGATCCAGTCTCTTCAGTAAAATCTAAACTACACCTGACATTAGTTGATCCAGTCTCTTCAGTAAAATAATAATAATGATATTAATAATAGTAATAAATAAAGATAAGAATAATAGTCATAATAATATTGAAACCTGTATGTTTTCCTAAGTCTAACAATTTCCCTTTCCTGCTGTGTTATCAAGTCCTTAACATTAAAACTAATAATTTTAGAATCAATAACATCTATATATACTTTACCTGTCCGTTTGTCTGTTTGAGTGTTTGTAAAATATTCATGGATGGTTTGAATTGAGACAACTTGCTTTAAAAAAATTCTATTTCTCAAAATCAACGAAAAAAAATCGATAAAAGAGCAGCTTTATATGCGCATTGGAAGCCAAGTAAACAGCTGTCTCGCTTGAAGATAAAATATGGTTTTATTTTTTTACCTGTATCTTGCTAGTATGTTTTGTATTCAGAACTATTTTTTCTTTCTCATGCTGTTCTCTAGTTTACAAAAACGAAATGTACTAGATTAAAGCAGGAAATGAATTTTTTTATTGGGGGGGGGGGGGGGGGGGGTGTTGGTGTTTCATTCAACCGCAAATATGCTTTTAATAGTGTGACGAAGCAGCATATTGTTGCTACAGCGTAACATCTCTTTCTTTAATGAAACAAATGGAGAAATAGTTCAAACTCTCATTATTTGATCTAAAATAATTCATAGTTTGATATATCTAAGGTCTTCGACATTTTATTGCAAAGATATAGGGATATGAAAATCAGAGTTTGTGACACAAAGTTAATTCCTTTCGAGACAGAATTAGAGCGTTATCTTTCACAATTTTAAATAGATCAAGGTTTCTAAGGTTGTAAATCGGGCATTGTTATCTTTGCATGGAATTGGAGGGTCACAAACCCTTTCAGCATTGTTAAAACAAGCATACCTTGTCTCCTTCAGCTGTTTTCTTCTAGCATGAAGGTCAGCTGTCAGCTGTTGTTTTTCCTCTAATCATAATTATATATGGTCATAAGTACGCAGGATTATATAACACATATTTTGTCAATAAAAATTTTACCCATTCCGCATATTTCGTTTCTTTGTCATATCCATAATCTATGAGATTGGAAAATCCGCATAAACATAAAATCTAAACTACACCCGACATTAGTTGATCCAGTCTCTTCAGTAAAATCTAAACTACACCTGACATTAGTTGATCTAGTCTCTTCAGTAAAATCTAAACTACACCTGACATTAGTTGATCTAGTCTCTTTAGTAAAAATTCCTTCTCATTGTTCTCTTTCGTCAAAAATTCTCCTCTAAAAATATTTCAAGAAAGGAACTGAGTTTCTGCTCCAAAGTCTAATGTTTTAATCCCTATATATCTGCAATCCGATGTGATAGACCTTACATATTTCAAACAATGAATTCTATAAGAACAAATATTCTAAGTTTGAAATATCAAAGGTTTATGCCATAAGGTTACAAAGATATAGGGATACGAAATTTGATTTTGTGGCAAAAACTCAATTCCTTTAAACAAAAATAGTCTTCTCCTTCGCCCGGAACTCTCTTTGAAAAATCAAAATATTTTGTTGCAGGGAATTGGCAAAGAATTGAGTCTTTGCCACAAACTCAAATTTTGTAATCGCTATATCATTTCACACTAATTTAGTGTTAACACAAATTATTATTATATAAGGTCTACGACATTGGGCTGCAAAGGATATGTATAGTAGAAAACCAGATTTTGTAATTACTTTAAACTTCTTAATTTTCTCCTTTTGAGACAGAACCAAAAGAATGCGTAATTTGTAACTAAATGTACCTGGTCAAGATATTTGAGCAACTAGCTCTTAGTTCCTCAGATACATTTCCTGTCATTTTACATTTACAATTGTTGTTGATGATAAATCACGTGATTCAAAGCATGACTCTTTAAATGCAATGTATGGTAGTTGAACTGAGAATGTTGTATTGTGGAGAAATTTTTTATAAATCATTTACTTTTTATTAAAATACAAGAAGTTAGAATTGGATAAGTTAAAAATAAGATTGATAGAGCATAGTTAAAGTTTGGTAATGTTTCTTCAATATTCGAATTAAATTATAAAATATCCCTGAAGACATTCGAACAAGTTGTTTCATCAGCGCAAGAGGAGCAGGAACATCTCGGCTCTAGAAAGAAAAATAACAAAAAATAAAGAAAATCTATAAACGTAAATATAGAACACTATCATTTTGTTCACAGTGCTTTAAAGTTTTAGGACATCAATGTTTGAAAAGTTCAAGTATTTCTGGCCTTGAACAAAATATAATCTAAAAAGGGAAGAACTTGTGTGCACTTGTCTTGGTTCATTTTTGAGAAAATCAAGGAACCGTTCAAAGTTTAAAGCTCCATGCTATATTTCAAAAGTAATCTAACTTATATCACGGCGATTACTTAAAATGGCAAAATGCTATTTTAGAATTCACCATATATTTTCAATCAGTGATAAGGTGTGCTATAGTTTAAAAAAATTATACTATTAACCTGTGAAATATCCCTGATCAGGGATTTTTCTCGTTCTATTCGCTCCCGTACATGAATACGTTCCAGCTCCTTCATAGGTCGACCTTTCCGACCCTGATCAAGGTTAGATGATCTACTGCCAGATCTTGAAGCTGTGGATAATTTCTCTTTTTCTTTCATATTTCCGTCAAATTCATTCTTATCTTCCATCCCTTCAACTTTGTTGTTTTTGTCAAAATCAAATTAAGGTTGTAATTGTGCAATGAAATCAAAGGAAATGAGTTTTTTCCACAAGATCTGGATTTCTAATCTTTATATCTTCGCTACCCAATGTAGTAGACCTTTTATATTTCAAACTATATATTCTACAAATTCAAATAATCCTAGTTTGAAGTATCCAAAGTCTACCACATTGAGTCGCAAAGATATAGTTGTTAACCTTAAACAATTAGCTTACTACATTGTAAAGTCGCCTTTGACCAAGAATTCTACGACAGCCAAACCAAACATTTTCCCCCCCCCCCCCTACCCACTGACAAAAGTGTAAATATCTTCACATGCTGTACTTTCGCTTCAAATTCAGTTAGTGACTTACATATCTTTGTAACCAATTGTCATTTTATTTCAGAAGTTTAAATGTTATTTTATTTTTGATAACCAGACGCCTCAAATTCGCCCCACAATCCTCAACTAGTAAGGATGTTTTATAATATGATAAAAACACTGTTAACATTTATGTATCAATCAATTGTTGTTGTTGTTAACCATACTTATTTATAGGATTGAAATATACCTACTGCGTGTATTATCTTCTATGGATTTGTGGCGAATTTGAGAAGACCTCTGGAATATTGCCAACCTATTGCCTACTATTGCCAACTATTGTCACCTATTGCCTACTATTACCAACTATTGTCACCTATCGCCAAATATAGAAACTATTTCCAACTATTGCTTTTGATTGCCACCCATTGCCAACATTCTATTGCCAACTTGAGACCTTAAATTGTCCGGGACCATAGTTTGGGAAAAATATACCCCTCCTTGAACTCAACAATAGTGTTCTGAAAATCAGAGTCTGTGGCCAAGACTCAATTCCTTTAGACTGAACTGAAATGGAAGTCTGGTTTTATGAAAAATTTAGATTTAGCGACACTTTTCCTTTGATGAGCTTTGTTTTGCAATCATTGCTTTGATGGTATGATGATGAAGATTGACCAGCCACATCTTTATCCGGTTTTGTGGATCTAGAATTCCCCAAGGCAGTATCATTATCACTTTTAATATTACTTTTTAATGAAGTCTCTAGTTCAGGAGATAAGGTTCTATGAGTACTGTTTGTGTATTTGGAGTTTTCAGGAGATTTAACAGATTTGGATTGGTTGTATAATGTTATCGAACTTCTGTTTTGGCTTGATTGGTGTTTCGGAGACTTCTGGTGGTGATTTGATTTTTCTGGAGTCAGGTCTTGAACATTTTGTAGTTCCGAAGATTTGCTAGGGACAGAGAGAAATTGAGAGAATTCTGAAAATGTCTTTAATTCCTCTGGTAAGATTGATACTGGCTCCAAACCAGGAGGAACATCTGGAGATTTAGATTTAGACCTTAAATCATTTCTGATTCTATCCACAATGCTGAAATTATTCTGAAAAAGAAGAGGTATGGTTTGTTGTTACTTAATTTTGAAGAATTATAGAAAAAAAGTAATACCGGTGTGCGCTGTTTGCTTCTTCTGTAAGTTTCCACAAAATCATCATCAGAATCATCTTCCAGCTCTGATGCAAAATTATTTTGTTTTACAAAATTTGATTTATGTAATATCTTAAAAAATCATTTAAAAATACAATTGCAAAAGATTAGAAACAAATTATGAAGTTACGAAAATGAATTGTAAAATATAAATTATTATAAAGATTGTAAAGATTAGAAAAAAAATAAAATTGAGATTGATGTGAATGATATGTTAGTTAACATGTGCACGTACCTTGTTTTCTAAGGTTTCTTCTTCTTTCCAACTCCGAACTAGCTGAGTCAATGTATTTGGTTACCTTCAAGGAGCTACAGGTGCCCTGAAGTTTGGCATCAGATTCTACAGACCTATCCTTCAAGGCAATACTACTACTTGAATTCTCTGATAACTGTGGTTTTGATTTTGATTCTTCCAAGTTTAAAGTTTCTGAATTAATTTGGGGTTGGCTATTCATTTGATTCAGCAAAACTTGAGCCTTTTCAGGTGCATTTTCTGGAGTATCAATAACTAAGCTGATCCTTTTAGGGAAGTCCTCTGGTTTATCAATGATCGTGCTGACACTATTAGGGACCTTATCTGGCTTATCTACGATTGACTGGACATTTTCTGACAAGATGCTTGCTACCTGTGTGTTAGAGATTTTATCCTTTACAATAGGTTTAGGGAGAGTGATTGTAATTTGGACTCCATCCGACCTAACCTTGTTCTTTCTTCCTCCACCCTTTGTGAAGTTTTTCAGCTCATCTAAGAGGTCTTTATGGAGGTCTGGTTCAGCGCCAGTATGAAGGGGGTGTTTTGGTCTGGTCGTTGAACAGTCTGGACGAGGAGGTGGTGGTGGAGGAGGAGGTGGTGGTGGAGGAAGAGGTAGGGGGGCCAGTGGAGGTTGGGAAGGTGATGGAGGTAGAGAAGGTTGGGTTTGAGATGGAGGTGGAGGTATAGGAGGTGAAAGTGGTGAAGGGGTAGGAGGTAGATAATGTTGGCTGGGGGGAGGAGAAGGAGGAGGTGAGGGAGATGGAGGTGGAGTAGATTGGAATTGAGGTGATGGTGGAGACAGTTGAGGTGGAAGTGGAGAATTTTGTAGAGGTGGGGAAGGAGGTGTAGTAGGAGATACAGTTGTTGAAATAGTTAGAGGAGGAGGAGGGGAGGGAAATAGATGATCTTTATCATCAAAATGGGAACCATCCTTGTAATCAGTTATTTCTTGATCAATAAAATCAACAAAATGTGAAGGGCTGTTCTTTTTTGCAATATCATCAACACTCTCTTGATCATTTTTTTCAGCATTTGCATTACCAATGTAATTAAAAGATTCATAGTTTTTCTCTAAAGCTTTATCATTATCAAAGTCTGTTTCTTTGTCCAACGTATTGCCTTCATACTCTGTTTGATTTTCAAAATGTCTTAAAAGAGAATTTTCAATTTCCTCATCTTTATTTTTTTGGGTTTCATTGGTTTTTGGGGTTTCTTCGTTGTTCTCATTTTCTTTTTCGTTAAGTTTAGAGTCGGGACTATCTAGATCAGCTGCTGATTTAGAATTAAAGTCTTCTTGTTCTGTGAGATTTATGTTATTGACAATCTCTTGATTTTCAATGTTATCTCTTACTAGGTCTTTGCTTTTAGCTGATTCTTTGTCTTTGCAAGTAAATGTATCACCATGTTGTTCTGACTCTTGATGCTCAATGTATGTAGTTTCTTGATATCTAATTATTTTTTGTTGGTTCTTTAAATCCAATTCTTTATTATCTGTATTTAGATTCACACACTTCATCTTTAATATTTCTCTATTCTCTATAGCTCTCCTAAAGATTTAAACTTTAAAACAAAACTTTATCAGAAAAGGGAAAAATTATGAATCAATAAAATATTTGTATTTTCAAGAAAAGACGCAAGACCTGATAAAATTTACACATTCTGTATTTTCCCATTCTTCTGCCCAGGATTGAGCTGTATCTCCTGCACATAGATACAATTACGATACACTGTTCATTGTATTTGCATATGCGAGTAGTACCTGATTTGTTCACTAGGTCTTGTGATTAAGAAGTACCAGATTTGTCCACTGGCCGGTCTGGTGTTTAAGTAGTACCTGATTTGTCCACCAGGTCTGGTGTTTAAGTAGTACCTGATTTGTCCACTAGGTCTGGTGTTAAGTGGTACCTTATTTGTCCACTAGGTCTGGTATTTAAGTAGTACCTGATTTGTCCACCAGGTCTGGTGTTTAAGTAGTACCTGATTTGTCCACCAGGTCTGGTGTTTAAGTAGTACCTGATTTGTCCACCAGGTCTGGTGTTTAAGTGGTACCTGATTTGTCCACCAGGTCTGGAGTTGCTCCATTTTTCAGAAGTAAATCCACAACCTATAACCGATCAAAATTACAACTATAGATTTTTTTTCAAGAAGCTCTTGGCTTTCTAGTGCTTAACCAATAATGGTGTTTCGCTATAAACGGGCATGATAAATTTTGGGCCAAATTAAAGATTTTAAGATTCCAAATAGCATTGCCAAGCTTGGAGCAAACAGAAAATACAAAATGTTTTTGATATAAAACTATTTCTGTAAAAAAACATATATTTTTATATAAAAAGCAATTTATAGAAACGAGAATATTTCATTTGAATGAAATCTTTCATTCTCTCAAAATTCGTTTTTATTTAATTTTTTTACCTCTGCATGTCCTTCATAAGCCGCATAGTGAAGGGCAGTCCAACCTAAACAAAATCTTTATATTTCCTTGAACAAATTATCAAAATAAGAAAATGTCGCCATAAACAAAATCAGGGACATAATGACAGGTATAATTCTCATGTATCAAACATTTCTCTGCAAAGGTGACTTGCACATGTGTTGCTTATAAGAAGCAATGGAGAAATTCTCAGAACTACAGACACTTTTTAGTCGGTATTTTTCACATTTTTGATCATATTAAGGTTTCAAGGGTACCGTTGTAAATCGACAATTGCCATTTTTGCATGGGGAGTCACTTGAAATTACGCTCACATTCCCTGAGCAGCTTTTCGGGCATTATTTTAAAAAATGTTTTTATCATTGTTATAAGTATGTTTATTGTATATGCTCACCAATAGAAGTGCTGGCTGTATCGGGGTTCGCTCCATAATCTTAGGTTTTCAGAATTTTCAAAAGAAAAAAGAAAAATACAATTATGTTTGTATGTTGAATGATATATGAATCTGTACATTCAAGAACTCTTAAACACTACTTCAGTACAAAGCGAAGTGAAAGTATTCCTGTTTTCAGTCTTTGTAAATGTTTTTACAACGTAAATAACAAAACTGCGGTAATTAACTTTGGCTTATTTCTACTAAAATGTCAAACAAAAACTACTTTCATTCTGGTGAACACTGGTTTTATGTAATTAAATATTTTAAAATATCCTTGGTTAGATTACATACAGTGATAACCAGAAAACTTTGAGATTGGAAGACGACTTTTAGAATGAAGTTTTAACGTTAAACAGTCCAATGACCATGAGCCACAGCGATTGTGCAGTGTAAACAGACCAATTTCACTAAATTAGTGATTTATTAAGTATCTATTGAAATTTTTTGCTTTGCAACCACATCAAATATACTTAAGTATTGCTATATGTCGTCTTACTATTCCATTGTTTTCTGGTTATTATTGTGCATATTTTCTTAAAAAAATATGTGTAAAGAAAACACAATTTTATGTTTTCTTTTTCTTCAACTAGATTCCACATTGTTAATTGGTGGTTTTTGATGAATTAACTTTCCTAGTAGTATTTGAACTATCGGAGTAAATCCTTTCTCTGCTGCCAGGAGTAGAGCTGTATTCCCGTAATCATCAGTCTTGTCAATATCCTGCAGTAGTCTACGGGTAGAGACCACGCCAAGTTAGTCTATGCAACAAACTTAAATTTTCTATTTCCTATATCTTTAGAATTTGATAGTTTAAACCTTTGATATTTCAAACTTAGATATTTTGATAGAAAAAAACTCGTAGTTTGAAATATTTTAGGTCTATAACATTGGGTTGCAAAGATATAAAGATTGAAAATCTAAGTTTGTGGCAAACACTTAATTCTTTTCACGTTAGATTAAATCTTATATTGTTTTCAATTATAGCTTTTAGTTCTTTTTAACCCTGGAGTCAAATGGAATTAAGTGTTTGCTACAAACTCTGGTTTTTAAATCTCATTATCTTTGGAACCCAATATTGGAGACCTTGATATTTCAAATTATTAATTCTGTTAGATTAAATAATCTAGGTTTGAAATCTGAAAAGGATTACACAATCCGGTTTCAAATATATATGGATTCGAATATTTGAGATTGTGGCAAAGACTTAATGTTTAGATGTACCAATCTGAAATGGACATGCCACTATAATAAAATAGGGTCAATTAAAATTATAAACTAACTTGTCCATTATCTAGAAACTGTTTTGTTGCTGTAAGATCTCCTTGTGAGACACACTGTAGAAATCCACCCATTTTATATTCAGCATCTAAAACAAGCATTTTCTTTAAAACCGTTTACTGTTTGTGAAACGTTAAAGTTGTGTATTTTCAATAAAAAATTGTTTTTCGTTTGTTTTTAACTTGTTGTTTGCTTTTGCTTGTGTTTCCTTAAATCCATTATGGAATAAAACTTGTCAAATTATACACACATTTTAGATATGTTTGTGAATTCTCTATAAAAAACGGCAAAACAAATTGTTGATGTTTGAAACATTCCAAAATCAATGTTAAGAACAATAAATGCCAAATTGTAGCAATTTATAGAAATTGTTTTGCATTGCATTTAAAGTGACCTTCCATGTACAATAAGGATACGGTTTTAAGGGTACTGTTTGGAATCTGACACGCCATTCTACAAAATTCTACTAAAGAAGGGTCACTGGAATCTATTCCTGTAGTCCCATTAAAGAATCCCGAATTTTCTATTTTCCTTGTTTTTTAAATCTTCCGAATAATATTGTCGATAAGTTTGGCATTTTTCTTAATTTAAAACTTTCCAAATGGGGTTCCATGTCTATTTTTTCTCTTTTGGAAGACAACTGACTAACATAAAAACTATTTTCTAGTGTATCAGATAACAATGAAAAAAAAACATTTTTGTAAACTAAGCTTTTTGGCATAAGGTTATTTAAACACGATTTGTGCAATCCAAAAAAATCTGTGTGTTATTCTAACATGACCTATAAATAAAAGAACTTGACATGACAAAGATGAAAACATGAATCCGAACTGAAGCTGATATTTAGAAGAAAACTAATGTTTATATTATCTGTATATGTATAGCACTGTTATAGATGAACTGTTTAAACTTTCTACAATATCCCCTCAAACATTGTTCATGTTCTCTTTTATCCCCCCCCCCCCCCCTTTACATTCCACAAGCCCCCCCCCCGCCTCCAGTCGAGCAGGAATGTCACTTGACATAGGCCACTTCCGGGTTCGAGGTAGTGTGCCTTACTACACAGTACACAGCTTTCACGCAGGTCATCTCCAGGAGGTCATTTTAGTACGGGGGACTGTTTTACAGAGGGGGGGGTAGATTGATTTTAGTAACAGCTTTAAGATTTAGACCAAGATAAATGTCGTCTTCACCATACCGGAGTGTTTAAGCTGAAATTGAAACTATGAATTGAGCTCTGAGTCCTACACTTAAGACAGTTTCTTCATATTCTCCATTTTCCGAATCTCTTAAATCAAAATCTACAAAAATGTTAAGATCCCAAAAAGTAAACCCGAAGGAGTTCCGTTCAACGATACTCTTTTAAATTTCGGGCTCAGTAATACACACAATTCAAAATGACAAGATCATTTAAAATTTGTTCTACAGATTGACCCCGAGAAGTAACGTATTCATTGACCTTTTTGTATGACGAGTTAATGATGTGCAATTGTTTAGCTTTATAATCTGCATAAATAATCTATTCTAATGTATCTAGGAATTTAGAGCTTTGATATGGAAAAACAAAATAAAATCCATACAAGTTTAAATAATGGACTACAAATTGTCACAAATATTGTCGTGTAGTATATAGTTTTTATAAACTTTAAAAAGACAAACTCTAGTCACTTCACGTTTTTTAAAATTGTAAAAATGTTAAAAAATGCATTTTTAACTGTGACAACAAGTAATTTTAAATATAATTCCTGTCTCTAAAAACGCGTTATAAAATAATTATCTAAAATTAGATCTGCTGTTTTAGTAAAAGAAATCATGATTAATACTGACATATTTTATGTATAAACTGTTGGCTTGTATTTCCAGAATAAATTTGTTCTTGCAACAACATTAAAAACTGATATTAAGAAACTATACTTTACTAAACCAAAAATATGAATATATATTTTATGTTTATCCTATTTGTCCAATCTCTTATTAATTTGTCTCAGCGAAAGTTACTTAATACGTATTACGTACATACAAGTAATAAATATTTCCGTTGCACTATATTTCAGGTTGTAGATAATGAATAAGAATATACGTGATACATAATCCTAATATATGTTTATCATACATATATTTTCTATTTTTGGAGGTATATATAGTGAATGAGGGGGGGGGGATGAGATATTCTGAAAGTTCTATGCCAAACTGATTGATAAGATAATTTCCGTAGGTTAGAATAGAAAATAGAAGAGAATAAATCATGTTTCCATTAATATCAGAGAATAATTCCACTGTCAGAGCCCAAAACTTAAGACAGGGTATCGTTATGAAATCCAGTTTTGAAACCTGAGTTTTACAAATGGGGTTAGGCAATTTTGTGAATATCAATATTTTTGTTATAAAATATTATTTTATTTAGTTTCTTCATATTCTCCATTTTTGTCGAATCTCTTAAATCAAAATCTACAAAATGAAAAACGAAACTCGGGTTTGCTGTACAGATTGTACATATTAAGATTTTAACATCATATTTGACTAAATGTGTGATCTGATACAGCTAGAACATCCTTGCTTATGTCTAGTTGTATTATATGATCTTTATACAAGATAAACACTCCACGCCAAACTAAAGTAATTGCAAGTAATTTTGAAATCTTTTATGTTTTTAGTCATATAATTCTCTTGTTGAGTTATTCAAAATAATAAAATTGTAATCGGTTCCTTGTGCACAAAATCAAAACTGTAGTAATGTCACATCTCCTTCACCAGATTAAGCAAACATTAAATTTTAACTCATAAGATATGCAATGAAATATAAAACAAACAAAAAATCTACACATTTATTTTTTTTACCTCGATGTTTTTCTAAAATGTGAATTTATATAAAAACAATGCGATATACTTCTGATATTTTTCTCGAAGTTAATTCGAAAGAACAAAATCTGGTAAAAGTTAAAATTTGTTTATTTAAAGGAAATACAAAAAAACTTTGTAACTAAACACAACTATGAAACTGTGATATTTATATTTATATAAGAGAAACCAGATTAGAGAAATATTCCTTCCTTCCCTCCACAGTGTTAAAAACCATTTCTTTCCCCATCACCCAGTTTGCTGGAACCACAACCTGACCTTCTGCTCCCTTATCCTCAACAGTTTTCAGAGCTTCTACAGTTCGCAGGAGCTGCTTGATACTTCGCCCAATATATCTAGAAGAAGAGGTTTATTCCAGTTAATTATTTTTACAAGTATCTTTGACCTATATAGTAAGATAGAATGCTTTGCATACATTTTTAATTTTTAAATCTCTATTCTTTTACCAACAACAGCGCTTGCAACTTTTAAATGGAAAGACTTGATTTTTGGCTCAACGGTTTTAATTAGTCCCGCCCATAAGAATTTACAAGCTCTGGTAAATTTTGCTTTCATCGTGAGAGAAGATTTGTTCTATTTTGAGCGCAACAGGTTATGCTTTATTTTTAACTTTAAATCTTTAAAAAAAGCCTTTTCGAAAAAGTTGTATTAAATCTAAAAAAGGTATAGAGGCTTAAATTTTAATGGTTTATGACCAATCATCACTGAACCTTGATTAAAATATACAATTGTATCGACAAGCCCGGCCAGATAGTTTTTACGGATCATGTTTAAAATGTAACTTAAAATATCATCAATATCATCGCCTCACTCTCCAATCCTCATATTTTTGTAACATGATGTCGCATACCTTTGATAATTCCATCTTGAAATTTAGCTAAATTAAAAAGCCGAAGTTTTATATTGCAAAGGTATACATTTCACAGTATTCCATTAGTAAGGTTGAAAAGATATAGAAAATATTGGAGTTTGAGGCCAGATGCAGTGTATAGCTATAAATTGTCTCAGCTTTCCATTTTCAAATCTACTTACCTAGAGTGAATAACACTGTGTCTCACTCTCTTCTCCCTGTCTAGAATATAGGCAGCTCTGCAAGGTAATCCAGAGGGTCGTTTTACACTGAACTGGTTTGCAATGCTAAGATCAGGATCACTCAATATATCAAACAGCAGCTGAAATATTGATTCAGATAATTTGAGAATTCAGAAGTGCAAGTATCGTACTCATTAATATTCTGAGGTTCATTCGTGTAAACTTAATTAGTAAATAAGTTCAATAAGAAAATATATTTGATTGAAGTTAAGGTAAAAAATGATGCCAAACTCCTGTGAATTCGTTTGTAAAAACTTTAAAAGACCGTTTAAAAACTTGTTTAAAAATGACCTGTCCTCCAAACCCTCCAGCGCCAACTTCATCTTTGACCCAGTTCATAATTGGGAGTACTCCTTCGCTTGTACACGCAAAGACCGAACAGTCGTTCTTGTGAAAATCTTTTATGTGTTCCTAAAAAGTTTTGAAATTGGCAAAAGCAAATCAAAAATCGTAATCTTAATTAAAAATATTAATAATATCAGAAATGATTAGTTATAAATAAAAAAATGTGTACATTTAATGCCAGAATCTCAGAAGGATCAACACCACTGGTCATCGGAAAGAAGAATATCAGAGAAAAAGAGGTGTTGATTTCATCACTGGACCAAACTCTTGCTGCAGTTGTCAAACCATTCACCAGATTACACTGAAATGAAGCAACATGCATTCCAGGAAGAACGGTAAAGTTGGCACCTCTATCAGAGTCCATTTTCTTTCTAAACTAAGTTTGCGATGTTTCGCATTTTCAACTGGCGGATTTTCTATTCCTAGTTCAAACAAAACTGATAAATTTAAAAGCACATCTGATGATCTGAAAGAATTAACTTAATCTTTAATTGTTTTTTTAAATATTGAATCTTCAATTGAAGTAGATACATCGATAGGGTGTATGTAAATTTATGTTTTGGTTTATAACCATAGAGTGAATAGTTTCAGTGGTTCCATGTTGGATTTTAAAATGCTAATTTTATTCCTATTCACACAATGCTTCACACACTGACATTCACACACTCTCCAAACATCCTCTGTGTATGTAAGGCGTGAGAATATTTCAAAATAAGTATTTGCTAAAGCAGATTTTCACAGAGTACGTACGTAGAACCTCTATATATTGTATGCTTATATGCTTAAATTCCTCCAATCATAAATATAAAAAGTCAATATTAACGTTAGACACTTTTTTAAAGTAAATTTTTTTTGAATTAGTTAATACCTTTTATCAATAACCGTAACAGTTAGTGGGTTGTAGAAAAAACGTGTTACACCTGGCTCCCTGGGTACCATAAGATTAACAATTTCGGCGCAAGGGGTCGTTTTCTGCGGAGTGTTTTTTATTCCTCAAAACACCTCAAACAAAGAACATAGAAACAAAAAAATTTAAAATATTACATCTTCCACAAACTAAAGTAAATACACGTAAAATTGAGATCTTATATGTTTTTAACCATAACTAATCATATTATCGAAGTTCTATAAAAATATCAAAAATTTCTTGAATTTTTAATATAATAGGATAATTTTTTTTTTCATATACTTGTGTACGTGTAAAATCAAAACTATATGATCACACAGTCGTGCCATGCAGTAATGTTTTCAATGTAAATATGTGTATGTTCCTACCAAGTATGATCCTTAGTTTATGATCTAAATAATGTAATCCGCTAAAATATTTGTAATCGATTACCGTTGAGAGTACTCATCCCTGTACAATACATAATATCCGTGTTTATTTATTTGAATAAACAAACATTCAGCTAAGAATTTGTTTACAATAAAAATAATATGTTGTTTTATAACGTAAACAAACAAATAATGGTGTATGTATAACTAAATGCTAGCAGGTTTTATTACTATGTCAAATTGTAATACAAAGTATTTAAGTGAATATTCCATCCCTTTTATTGAAGACCTCCATGGACATCTCATTGGAGAACCCCAGATTTTCATTGGAGACCACCAGATGTTCATTGGAGATAATGTACACAATTAATTTCAATATTTGGAGTTGAAATTAACTAACTACACTTTATCAAAAATATTTCTAAGTACCAGAATAATCGAAATGCTGTATTAATTTTAATTTAATCATTTGGTTTTTGTTTGTGGGTGTCTTTAATAAGAGATCTAGCGTGGGGGAACTTATTTATATTGAAGAAAACAAAACAAAAAACAATGAGATACAATGCATAATTAAGATGTGAAAGAAGAATCGATAAAAAAGCATTCCTTTTGGAATATATGATTCTTTGAATATATATAGAAGTAGAAATATATTTATTACATTTCTTTACATTATTTAAATTCTGGAAAAATTCACCAACGTTTCCACAAAATGCCAAAGGGTGTCTCATCACAACACATTGTTCAGCAATAAAATTGAAAAAATAATCTGTTATTAATGTAAAAAACATATTATATTTTTAATTCATATTTTTAAACATCAAATAAAAACCTCGACACAGAAAGGGTACATGTCTTTTTTTCTTTTCTGATCAATAAACGATGACCTTATATCACGATTTGCTATCACACATACAAAAATAATTGTTCAATCTTTTTATTTTGATGAAAATTAATATTCTATCCTTGAGTATACTGAGGGTACAAATGTTGAACCTTAAATCTGTGGTTTCTGCGCTCAAAATTGTTTAGAGAACCCTTGGGTACCTTGTGGATAACAGACTAAAAAAATTAAAAAATATTTTTTAAAAATCAAATTTGTTCAAATGTCGATTTTCTTAATTCCACGGGCAACGCCGCGCTGGGATAGTTTATGTATATATCCATAGAGAATAACACAGTTGATGCGTTCCCGGTGTTCCTTCAAATGACCGAATATTTTACGTTAAAAGCAGTTTTCAAAAATTCTAAAGAAACATTTATTTTCTGCCACTGCAATTCTGAAAGTTAATTAATATTTTTAATACAAAACAGCTTGCAAACAAAGTGTTCAATAACTAAACGCGTTTCTGTAGATTAATAAGAATAAGTCCGACTGTAAACTACAAAAGGGAAACAATCCCAGATGAAGACGTGAAAAGGATGCTGTGGTCCTGCATCACAGGATCAGCTAGAAAAGAGATAGTGCTGTTTCATCCTAGGGTTAGCATTTAAGAACTATGGAACAGGAGATTTTTTACAGAAATGTTGAAAAAGTTCTCACAAGAAAAATATGAGGAAGGTAAGAAACAGGAATACTTAGACAGGAAACAAGAAAGTGGTGAAGATACCAATGAATATTATACCGACAACAAAAGGTTATGGATACAAGCATATGCTCCAAGCAAGAGGAGCCTGGTATGAATTCAAGGTTGAAATGCTCATGGGACTGTATGATGCAGGGTTGAAGGAAACATGCCTGTTCTTTATGCCTCAGAAGCTAAAGAAGGAAAAGAAGATTGAGGCAGTATACTAGATCGCCAGCTATCCCGTAATATAAAGAAGTTAAAAACTACGTATACAGACAGTTTTGAGACAGCAGAAAACAGAAAGAGAGCTGATGAGATGTGGGAAACAGGAAAAATACCCATGGAAGTAAATACAATGACAAGAATAATTGTGTACGAGCTTAAAGTTGCAAGAGTTGAGTCACTCATTCCTTACTTCACTAAGCCCTACTTTGTTTTGTCCTCTCAACATATAAAAAAGTGTTCTTAAAATTAAGATGCAAGATATCAGTATTGTAGATAGACTGTGGTAAATCATAGGGATAGGAATACAGTAAAATTTAACTCTAACAGATTAGAATTTACTTAAGGGATTAACATCTAATATTGGTTTTCGTTTATTTGTTTTTACACAGAAAATGGAAAGGTTAAACCTAAAATTACAAAAGGTGGGAATTCAAAAAAAATATCATGGAAAATTGTCAACAAGTCTGTCAATTATTAAACAATAATATTATTACCCCATTTAATTTCAGCAGTAAAAATGCAGAAATCTTTCTTCAGAAGATAACTTGCGGATTTCTACAGCACGTTTGAAAGACTTTTTTTCCCATTTGAGTATAAAAACACTTTCTTCAAGTGCAATCTTTTTTAAAAGGGAATCTTGAATTTGGTCGCTTTTAGACTCCCCTATAGGGAGGTCATATACTACAAATTATAATATAAATGAGACTGCACTACACACTATATATATGTATATTCCCTTTGTCCCAAATATACAGAACCTTTATTTATATCTACTGAGATTGCTATAAGTGCAACAGAGTCCAGGATTACATAATTAATTAATTGATTAATTAGATAATTAGATAATTGATAATAATTAATCTAAATAATTAGAATTTACGGTTTATACTAAATTAAAGTAGAAATTATTATCTTACATATAGTCTATATAACCATTTGCTAGGTAGAAAATGGTGCCTCGTGCCAGAAATAAAAATGCTCTTCATGCAAGGGTTCCCAAGACCAATTTTGCCTACAAACATCTAGAGGCAGCAACGAATGTATTGTAGTCTAAATTGGTCGAGTGCAATTTTCATTTTCCTAAGAAGTAGTCTTTTTCATCGTCTTTAGAGATAAAAATGCGCAATTTTCTTAAAGAAAACTTTGCAAAGCTGGAGGTAAATTGGCCCATTTTTTTATAGCGTCCCTTAGTGGTGGAATCATGTGTCGGTTTTGCTGGTCAAAAGGCAGCCAAAGTATGTTAACATATAATTATGAAGAATAAAAGGAAAGGATGAAATATGTTAACAAATAATTATGAAGAATGAAGGGGAAGGATAAAGTATGTTAACATATAATTATGAAGAATGAAGGGGAAGGATAAAGTATGTTAACATATAATTATGTAGAATGAAGGGGAAGGATAAAGTATGTTAACATATAATTATGAAGAATGAAGGGGAAGGATAAAGTATGTTAACATATAATTATGAAGAATGAAGGGGAAGGATAAGTTTAATGAATAATTTACATTTTCTAATCTAAAGTAGCAGCACTTTAAACTCTGCACCACTCAAAACTTTTAAACTAAATTTTCAAAAAGAATTTTAAAGTTTTTGTATTCAGACAGAATTGTTTAAATTCAAACCTTACATTACATCATTGATCGTTTACAATTACAGAATGAATCACAGAAAACTTTGATTCATTAAAAGTACTGGACTCTGACTTTTAGTAGATACAAATATAAATACAGCAGAGATAAGAGAGTAACCGAGATCAATTTAAACCTATAGCTATGCCTTATTTTCCACAGCAGGCACTACTGTTGTTAACCATTAATCTTAAAACCTCTATAAAATGTCGTCTTCTACTGGAATCTCCTGTCGGAGACAGCCAAACCAAATTTTCAGCCCGCAAATTCCATTGTCCTCCTCCGACGGAGCTTAAAATATTTTGTCGTTGTGAAATCATTAAAGTTAAGCAAAATATTTTCATAAGAAGCATAAGTGAATTTCGTTAAATATTCAACTGTAATTTTTCAGAAGTTAAAAAAAACGTATATCAATACTGATCAACAAATAAGTCACCCCTTCTATACTTAAATAATTCGTAAGATTTTTTCTACTATTAACATTCATTATAACATTGTACAATTAAACATGACCTATAATTTATGTTATTTTTTAGGAAATAAAGATTTTGTTATCGAATTTCTGTGACGGGGTTACTCTGTTGTGTGTGTATTGTTCGGCCATCGGGAAAGAATCGTCTGGGGATAATAAACACCCCTTTCAAAATCCTAACCGGCCTATTATCCGGATTTGTCTAGCGTGTTGCTGTTATCTGTCAACAACTGTGTATAAGTACTGTACACGACCAATCAGCAGACATCTGTATTCAGGGATATTTAAGGATCCATTGGATACGAAATACAAAATCTTTAAAAATATACTGAATTCATAAATGTTATTTTTCATGTTAAAAATTGGAGTATTTCTTTAAAAGTTGTAAAACGTAAACACTAAGTGGATTTTATATACAATAAGTGGCCGATAGATGGCAGTCAATAAACCTTTCATAAAATTAGCATGGCGTGCAGAAACATTTTAGTCAGCTTAGCCTATCCAGGTAGAGCATATGCGCAGTCTGGTTAGTCAGTGTGTAATAAATATCTTAAAACATAGATACCTGAGGATACGGACATATATGCCGGGGTTGGTATCGTATTACAGAACTGAATAGTTCTATGCCTCGTGGATTAACGAAGGGATTGATTTGTACCTGGATTGATACGAGTCTAAACAGATTTATGGGAGTAGGGAATTTACTACGTGTGGATACAGACAATATACGACAAAACGGTACAGTGCACCAAAAGAATCATGTCCTTCTCGTGAGGTAAATGCAAAATAAAAGTTCATTTTCAAGAAATAATCTTAAAAACACATTATTTCTTTTAAAAGGGTTTTCACAATGGAATTTCAATACGATTTGATTGAGTTTCTATTTTCCGATGCTTCTGAAGAAATAAATGGTAAAAATAGTTTTGATGAGACTGCAAAAATGCGAAAAAAAATAAAATGCGGGCCTTTTGAAGTCAGTTAAGGACGCATTCTTATTTCAATTTATCTTTACTAAAATATTGGATACAATTTTAACATGTGAAATCCAAAATTGTCTTTTCACAAAATCTTTTCTGTTTTTTAGACAAATAACAAAAATGAGTCTAAGAAACATATTTTATAATATTGTTCACTTAATTCTTGTTTCATTTTAAATTAGTGAGAAATAATCAGCCATTGAAACGACATCTAAATGTTTAACCCTATCCCCGCTGGGGTACTTGAAAACCAGGATACGCTGGGGGGGGTCAATTGTGTCCGGGATATTTGTATACATATTTTAATCTGGAGCAAGATCTACCAAATATCGGTTGACTTGTACAATATTTAGTGTTTAAATAAACTGTTTACGTAATTCCAAGTGACTCTGCATGCAAAGATAGTCCGAGTAACAGCCTTACCCTTAAAACCTTTGACTAATCCAGGTTTTCGGACTTATTCTCATTAATCTACGAAAACACTTTTGTTGAACACTTTTTTTGCCAGTAGTTTTGGGTTTTAAAAAAATATTAATTAAATATTAATAGAAATTTTCTTTCGAATTTTTGGAAACCGCTTTGAATGTAAAATATTCGGTAATATCGGGGGTCATTTGAATTTACGCTTACAGTCCCTTTAGTCGGATGGACGGAACATGAATTTATGATCTAATTAATGTATCAGTAAATTCACAGTGATTTAAGTTGCTATTTGGGGTTTTATAACTAGTGTCTAATTTTTTATTCCTTTTTGGGGACCGCTAAAAATCGAGTCTTTTCTCTAGCCACCCAGCTCATCCTTTCGCCACCCTGTACATTCCGTTCAAGTTATGAAAAATACATTAATTACCAATGGATTACTTTTTGTTAATGTATAATTTGTTTTAAAGACTACATATGATATTTACATTGTAAACCACAATCCTGTGATTTATATATCTCCTGTCACTTTAACTTTACTTTTCATGTTTTTGTGCATTAAATATTACTTACTTACTTACTTACTTACAGTACCATGTAATCTCAAATTCCCCAGCTCTCAATTTTCAACCAGATAAATAAAAATATCTTTGTCATCAATTTTCAGAGAAAGGTTCTTTGTATATTTTTGTGAATTGAACATGTCCCGCTACAAATGGAGGGTTACCTAAAATTACGTCGACAGTACCTTTAAATTTAAACAGATTTTTTCATAAAAACATATATTTTCTCGCGCACACTACAATATATTATTTCTGTAAATAATTGTACGTTCCTTAATTTCAGCACCTTAATGTAGATACACATAATAGTTGTTGTTAGAAATATGGTCCATTAAACTTCAGCATCAAGCAACCGAAGAATGCATTACAAATTTGCAATGTCCATAACACTTATACCTAACAATATGAAATCAGTCCACCAAGAACTTTAATCGAAAGGATGGATAAAAATTGTGTATTTCACTAAAACTAAATATTTAAATCAAATTTATTATCTATAATCGAGAAAACAGTTATCTAAGTAACATGTTTTTATTTATATTTTTATTTCATAATCCTTGATAAAAGTAGCATTCTATGTTGTTTGCTGTTCACATAAATATGTAGTAAAAACCATACTCCAGAACCGTTTCTAGCACGTATCTATCCAGGTACAGTTCAGTATCAATATTTAAACCTTGATACAATTCCGTAACAAGCAAAGGGGATGATCCTCAACCTGTTTATCAAAACAGAGAACCACACGGATACAATCTTGTGATCTATTAATTCTACTACCACTGGACGCAATCTCGTTAGCTATCGATATCAATCGGAAGCTCGCAACTATCGATCCCAAATTAAAGCGGACGATCCTCAGCCTGTTCATAAAAACAGGGAACCACATGGATACAATCTCGTGATCTGGTCGGGCTGATTTATTCGGTGAACCGTCCTGGTTCGCCTTAAATAGTCTCTTATATATGTACTGTACCGCTTGCTCTAGCTGCTTAAAAGTCGGCTCGCGAACTTGTAATGACTAATGAAGTGTAATTAAAACCATTTTAAAATTACATTTAGTAAATGTGTATTATGTAATATGTGTATTTAATGTATATTAAATATAATAAATTCACAACATGTACACAATACATCATAAATGACTCAAGAAAGAATACAAAAATAAAAGTAGTACAGAGTGTTAACATACACCGATTCAGGACAAACATGAAAATAGTACAGGGTGTTAAATACACATGATTCAATAATCCGCTCAGTGTTTGTATCAACCAAAATCTCACTATTTTTTATTTTGAAACTTATTCTACTGAAAAGTTTGCAATTGCTATATGGCAATGTATATATAAAAAAACAAAAGTCACTTTAAACGAATTGAATTTCATAATATATCTCTTTCGCAAACAGTGTGAATACACGATACGATGAGCACCCTTCATATTTCATTACCGTTCATCAATAAGAAAAAATATATCGACAATAACAACTTAATATTCATACATATTAGTAAATGCACGTCAAATCCAATAAATTTTTGGAAAAGGAAGACGACATTTAAATTATCTTGTATTGTGTTTGATGTTGTTTTAATGCAAATATTAGCATGAAAAATTAATATTTGTGTTAAAATGGGTGTGTGTAGGTGGACATTGTATTATTGTATACACTGCAGAATTGCTGTGTTTCATTTTCATTGGACTATTTAAATTCAAAATTTTATTCTTACGGTCGTCTTCCTATTCCATAGTTTTATAGGTCTCACTGTAAAACTGCAAATCCTGTTTGGATTGTTTAAAGTAAATATTATGTTTTTTAAGGACTTTTATTTATTTTTTATTTTTCAAATTCTTATATACAATTTTAGTTATTGAATGGAAAGCGCGTGTATACATGTGCAGAGGAACAATAGGGAGGAAAAAGGAGAAGGTATGAATTATCACAAAGAGTGGAGTGGTTCAAATGGTTTATACTCATGTGTGTTTGAGAGTAGACGATAGATAGATAGAGGAAGATAGATAGATATTGGTTTGGGGGAATACACCCTTAGGAGTCGGACGGAACTTTAGTCGAGTGTGGACTATTCAGGGATTAAGAGACCGGATATTTCAATAAATTATCTTAACACGTTATAATTCGTGTAATTTTGTACAGTTATTACAGTACATGCGGAATATCAACTTGTACATGTAGACGAATTTGTGTACATTGTGTCACTGTTACATATGTTAAAGTGAAAACCCCATTTGTGCGCGCGGAAATTTAGAAGTTTTAACAAAAGAAGATTTTGAGCGCATCTGCCCCTCTCTCTGCTCATTGAAGGTAATAAACTTAGATCTTGAAATATCATTCGGGGGTCGTACATACATATAATAAAATGAACTAAGAGAAACAATTATTTAAGATATTGGTACAATTATTGGTTGTCGATGACATTCTTTTGAAAGATTACAACCAATTTCCAAATAATTTCGGTTCCATTGTTTTTGTCCTTAACAATTCTTACATATTATGTAAACCTCCTGGTTTCTGAGATATTATGTAAACCTCCTGGTTTTTGAGATATATTATGTAAACCTCCTGGTTTCTGAGATATTATGTAAACCTCCTGGTTTCTGAGATATTATGTAAACTTCCTGGTTTCTGAGATATTATGTAAACCTCCTGGTTTCTGAGATATTATGAAAACCTCCTGGTTTCTGAGATATAACGTAAAACTCCTGGCTTCTGAGATATAATGTAAACTTCCTGGTTTCAGAGATATTATGTAAACCTCCTGGTTTCTGAGATATAATGTAAACCTCCCATGGTTTTGAGATATAAACCTCCTGATTTTTGAGATATTATGTAAATCTCCTAGTGAGAAATATTGTAATTTTGTAAACATTCTGGTTTCTGAGATATGATGTAAACCTTTTATAGTGAGATACTTTGTAAACCTCCTGCATTGTTGACACATATTAGAATCGAACAAAAAATGTAGGAATATCTTTTTCTGATGATTTTTATCATCTCTTGCTAGGAACTTGTAATGAGGTCCTGGGCTTTTATAGAGTATTGAAAATACAGAGTCTTAACATTATGCAGTACAATATGATAGCTCCATTATCTGTGGTTACAAATGCTCCAGAATGTGATCTTTTTTTTTAAGTACTCCATGATGGGAGCAACATGGTATCTCTATTATATAAATACTCGGTGATGGGAGAGCATGGTATCTCTTTTTTATAAATACTCCATGATGTAGCAGCATGGTATCTCTATTATATAAATACTGCATGATGTAATAGTATGGTATCTCTATTATATTAAATACGCAATGATGAAACAGCATGGTATCTCTATTATATAAATACTCCGTGATGTAGCAGCATGGTATCTCTATTATATAAATACTCCATGATGTAATAGCATGGTATCTCTATTATATCAAATACTCAATGATGAAACAGCATGGTATCTATTATATAAATACTCCATTATGTAACAGCATGGTAACTCTATTATGTAAATACTCCATGAAGGAACAGCATGGTATCTTTATTATATAAATACTCCCTGATGTAACAGCATGGTATCTCTATTATATAAATACTCCATGATGTGATAGCATGGTATCTCTATTATATTAAATACTCAATGATGAAACAGCATGGTAACTATTATATAACTACGCCATTATGTAACAGCATGGTAACTCTATTATGTAAATACTCCATGAAGGAACAGCATGGTATCTCTATTTTATAAATACTCCATTATGAAACAGCATGGTATCAGAGCTTATTACTTCATCAACAAAGAAAGATTAATGAATCATTGATGAATGTTTTTTTTTCTGATTCCTGTGAAACCAGGTTAATTATTCTACAACTATGTATCTTTATCTTTATATACACCCAGGATATAGAACTATGATTGCCGACTTTGTACTTACTTTGAAAGTGGGAAGGTATATTTTATTCTAATTAATGTGTAACTTATCAATATATGAATATTATTTTCAAAATGTTTAAACTCCTTCTAGATACATTTTAAATTGAAAGAAAGAAAAAAGACGACAATCACTCCACGGTCACTATATGATTTTCCGACTTCTAATTTTGTTTTTATGAAACATTGCTGATCTCAGATCACTAACTTTGAGAAAGGGTTGGAGTTAAATTGTCGTGTGAGGAGATAATGACATATTTCAAGCGAGTTCAACTTAGTTGGTCCAATCTAAAGTTACAAAATCAATTGGAATTTTTAACATTTATTATCTTACTATATTATATATTTATCTTATCTGAGCATTATTTATCATCTTGAGGAAAATATTTGTTAACTTTTTATCAATCAAAAAATTAAAGGTGTTTCCAAAAGATTTGTACAAATTTATTTACAAGCTTTGATTTTATTTTTATATTTATTTTTCAATCTAACTCATGGTGCCGAGAAGTGTTTTAAAACACGAAACAATTGTAAAGCAATAAAATGGAGAATAATATGTGTTTTACTTATCAAACATATTTATTTTTCAGTGGAAAAGGCTTGTTTCACCTATTCTGTTCTCCTATTTTCCTGTTCTTCTTTGTCTTCTACATGCTAGAGCTGTGAACAACAAGATATGCTTGAATACTGTTCACAATGAAGATGTCGTAAAGTGAAGAATGATGAAGAGTGTTTATCCTCTCCTGTTTCCTCTTCTTTTCTACTTAGGACACTCAGCTTACTGTCCTTTAGGTAAACACCACAGAGATATAGATATAGTTGTGTTTAGCTTTTTTTCATTTCGTTTGTTCATCGTTCGTTATCAAAATTTGTGTTCATTGTGTATCTATTTTGTTCGTTTTAGCAATGAAAGATCGTTCAGAAAATTTATGTGTTCAATAAAGTTTTTCGTTCAGGGAAAAAAAGGTTTACAAAAGTTCGTTCAAAAATATCTTTCGTCCAGTCAAAAAACAATCGTTTTTCAAGTTCGTTTAAACGATTTTAAATCATTTGTTTAAAAAAATACGTAATTTCATTTCTATGATTGATCCAAGTCGTTCGTCCATCGTTCGATTTTTTCTGAACGGCGTCGACACCATCGTTCACGAGTTTGTTCTCAAAAATTAAGTTTGTTCACATCAACGATGACCATCTCTACAGAGAAAAGCACTAAACACTTTCCTTGAACTTTAATTTTCTAATTCCTATGGCAGCATCATTGCAATTTGATGGTGTAAACCTTTGATATTTCAAATATTATAACTTTTGATCTAGCAGGATTCATTTCGGCACCGGCTTAAATCTTGAAAAATTGAAAACAATCTTAAGTGAAACCAGACATATTTGAGCTGCGGTTCAAATTCTTTAAATTCGGCATTGGGTTTCGGATACTGGATTTCTATAACGATACACTAGTTTAAGTTTCCGGATTAATGGCAGTCAACACACATGAACGTTGTTGCCATCTTTTCTTATAATTTTTTTAATAACACGACATTCAAATAAAGCATTACTTTTTTTTTTTTTTTACAATAGTGATTTAAAAAAAATTAACAGAATTTATAAAAAATATTTTAGGTCGGGAGCATCGGCATCTGGGAGCTAGAAAACTTAAATACTTTCTTCCAAAACAGGTTAAACTTTTACTAACTCGTTCAACCCGTTTTCTATCCTCGTTCTGAACCTTTTCAGTCCTCTTTCAATTTTTTTATCCTGTGTCTTTCGTTTTTCCGCCATTTTCATTTGTATTTCATATTTGTATATGTCATCCTTTTGATTAAAGGCTGTTTTCAAACAAGAAAAGTTTTTAAAGATAAACTTTAGTTTTCACATTTCCTATAATACATGCTTTTACTTTTGGCATTAAAGATGTTGTGTGTTGATTGAACCCTAAACATTGTTTTTTTTCATTAAAGTTTTTTTTTTAGTCTCGCGTTTTTTATGTAGCCTTGTAATTATAGTTTAGTTTGGTATTTTTTTTGTGTCTGTAATTTCATATTTGAATAAATCAACATTAAGAGTTAATTTAAGATTTTTGCACAGATTTGTACCGAATATTTAATTAGAGTTATCATTCATAAACATATGTACATAACGTAAATTTTAATATGAATTGAAAAAATTCTAAAATTGTTCTACCGCAAAATTTTGAAGGAAAATATATACACAGTACTTGATTCAAAATCTAATTTCTAATATCTATATCTTTGCAACTTGATATTTTAAACTTTAACTATTTGATCTAACGGAATTCATAATTTAAAATATCAAAGGTCAACGGTATCAGGTTACAAATATATATTTAGACGATTCAGCTTGTGTAAGAAAAAGTTTCAAAAATAAACTGACCCAATTTAAACAATTGTGTAATCATACCAAGCCAATTATTTGTCCAATTTACATATTTCTGCTGACTTTGCAAACTCAACTGTCAGTCTTAATAATAACACAAAGATATTCAGAAAACAGGAGAATAATCAGAAAAAGTGTTCTCTCATTTTACTAAATATTCGTGCTATTTACCAATACCATTAGGTTTTGCTGTTATCAGAGTAACTTTTGTGTTTATGAAACGACATCATCCTCCCCCCCTTCCCTCTGGACCCATTGTTTGAAAATTAATCTGACCGGAAAATGGAAATGTGAATTTGGTTAAAATTCAAATTAATATAGATGAAAGCTAAAACGATCTAATCATCAATATTTTTGTAATTTTAATAAATTTTTTTTTCTATTTTTGACTTTTGATACGTTTTTATTTTTTTTAACAATTGCAGAATGTGCACGATGGTGATGTGGTTCCATATAGTCCGAAGAATCAGGAAGGAGGACGAATTAGTGAAGACGACAGTTCGTCCAGATACATTAGTTCAGTTTTAGATAGTGAAAATAGTCTGGACTGGAGGAATGGTCCCAGTTATGCTAAACTTACTCAGGAGCCCCCTTCACACTTTTCAGGGTAAGGTGTTATTTTATTTTACCTTTGCAAGGACATAGTACAGGGTGTCACGATAAACATGGAAATAAAGAGACGACCCCAATTTCGTATTTGATTTGGAGCATTGATAAATGTTACAGATTGTATCTAAATGATTGGACCTTTTATGAATTTTCCAAAATGGCTTTGTTGCATCTTTAAACTCAATGGAGATATGCTTCTGGGGCGCTTCGCGTCAACTTTTGAGTTTTTTAAATTTTGACTTTGAAAGATCTAAATTTTTAAGGGTAATTTTTTAATTTTGACCATCCATAAACCTTTCCTGGGTCATGGGAGGTACCAAAAATAATGTATTAAACGATTTAATGTTTCTGTTTAGAAAAAAATATATATATATATTTTCTACAGTCCACAGCAAGTCCTGAAAATTAAACAATAATAAACTTAAACAACAAAGCCATTTCAAAATGTGTAATTTTCTCAGTAAAACAGTGTTTCATCGGTGTATTAAAAGAGATTGATAATAGTTTACCCATAATAAAGTAAAAAAAATTATCAATTTATGTTTAATTTTTCTTATATTCATTTATCACAAAATAAAGCCCAAATGTGTATCGCCATCATCATGTCGAAAAAGTATAAACTTGCAGAGTAGCACTAAGTCATGATAAACAATTGAAGAATAAATTTTTTTTTATAGATTAGCATTACACTTTTGTTTTATTTTTATTATTTAAACGTTTTGAAAAAAAATTATAATAAAAATACCAAAATTTAAAAACTTGAAAGTTTACATATATCAAACTGAGTAATATTTTTATTCAATTTTGATGAAATTTATCACACCTAATATAATAAGTGACTATATCGCCCTATACAACAGGACAAAAAAGTAACTTTTTCACCATGCTATTAAAATTTCAAATTTCATACCTAATTTGTCTCATTCTAGGGTGATAAAGTTACTTAATCACCCTACAACAGGGTGATTAAGTAACTTTATCGACCTGCTTTTAAATAATTTGAGTAAAACTGAATAATACTATATATGTTATTGAAATGGGTATCATGCGTGCGAAAAATTTTTGTTGTGATTTTTAATTTTTCTAGTTTGTTTTTGATCAAAATAAAAATCCCGGCAAAAACTTTTTCGCACTTAATAATGCCCATGACAATGACATAAATAGATATATCCAAAGAAAATGGAAAAAAAGGTCGAAATTTGGCATAGTATAAAAACAAGACGTTTAAAATAAACAATTCGCTTTCCTTTCACTGGGCCAAAATTCTACCCTGAAAGAAGAAAGGCAAAAGAAAGGAACCATAAACTAACAAACTTAATACACATCATTTTTTGTTTGTTTTTAAAATAACAAGAGATAGAAAAACATATAAGGGGAAAATGTTTTGCACGACGTGGAAGCCCAGTATAATTATATTTGAATTAAGATGGGGAAATTTTCAAAAGGAATGGTTGAAAGTAGTCCATTAAAATGATAAGTAGAAACAGGAAAGGGAGGGTGCGGGGATGTGTACATTAAAATTCGGCTGTTAAATTCCCACAAAACCACGAAGAATAATATTAACACAATAATGGAATTTTTTGATTAAAAAAGAAATAAATCTCTCTTACAAAGAATTAATAAAGTTTTCAACTTTTTTTTAGTTTTTAAGGTTTCCAAAACTGATAGAAGCCATAACATCATAAAATACAATACAAACCCTTCCTAAAAATATGTGAAGTTGCAGGAAGAGGGAGGAGGGGGGGAGGGGAGAGAGGGGATGGAAGAGGAGAGGGGGGGAGGGTTAGTATTTAAATTTGTCCTCAAATTTTTGTAAATAATATCCTTGTGTATAGGGGACTATTAATATTTTAATATTTATTTCAAATTTCCCCTTCTTAGTCCTATCAGATACAGAAAAATATTAGATACACTCCTCCCTAGATATTTAGACGATATGGAATCATAATTATATCTAGATATAACTTATATATATCTATATATATTGTACGATGACACACCATGTAAAGTAAATATATATAAATCCAGTGGTATATATTGTGTCATCCATACCCCCCCACCTCTAGAGATTCTAGGTTCATCAAGGTTTTGAATTCCCCCACCTTACACCTTATTCCCCTTCTCAATTAATATTCCCCCTTTTTCATTTCAATTTTGTCTAATTTGCAGGAACTCGTCGCAACTCATAACAAAGAGATAATCTACCATCCCTGGATTAAATAATCTGTGATTATAAATTTGAGCCGTGGCCTAAATCTACCAAAAACCGGTTTCGATTTAGCGACGGCTTAATCTTGCAAATGTTTTTTTGGTTTTCTCTTATATTAAATATAACTAGCCAAAAAAAATATTTGAAATTGTTATATCATAAACTTTAAATTCTGTATGACCAAAGTTAAAAATATCAAAGGTTTCCACCATAAGGTTGAGAGAGATAAAGAGTTTGAGGCAAGCAATCAGTTTTTTATTAGAGGACCCTTGATTATACTTAGAGAATACTAATTTATTAACTTTTTGGACATTTTTTGTTGACATCGATGTGAATATACAAGCCTAAGAAGCAATATTGTTTATCTAAGAAATTGAATATTGATTACTTCTTAAAATGTTTTCCTCTTTTTATACCCATTTTTTTGTGGTATAATTTCTTATAAATATCTTCATACCTTTACTCATTATAACAGATTTCCCCAATAATTACCCCCCCCCCTCCCCCCCATTCCCTCGACAACTACTATCTTCCTTCCCCCCGACCCTACTATCTAGCCTAGGGAAGTTCTTAATATATTTTGCAAAATTCTAAACAGTGTTTATCAACTTCCTCCCAGCAACAAACATCGTTGTTAGATGGTATTTACCAAGAAGAATTGAATAGAAGGAGGGGGCGATTAGGTTTCCGTACACTTTGCTATGACGTTTTTGGACTGCTGAAGAACTAGTTTTTGCGTAACAACAATAACAAAGGCAGCCGATCTAATGTAAACAAACCTGAGTTAGCATACGGTGAATCTTCATCTAACGCCAGAAATGCACCAGATGTCTGTTTATCATTTGTGTTATTGTTTACAATCTTTATTATTGTTGTTACGCAAAAACTACTTCAGCAGTCCAAAACCGTCATAGCAAAGTATACGGAAACCCAATCGCCCCCTCCTTGTATTCAATTCTCCTTGGTATTTACTATTTATATCAAGGATGGACAAAGTTATCTTAAAAACACTGGTAAGCGTATTTTCAAGTGACCCCTTTTATAAGATTCACGGACTTAAAAGCTTTGTCTCAGATATCAATGTTTATAATTTTGAAAACATATGATTTTTAATTGTGAGTTTATACTGCAGTGAAACATATAGAATCTTCATAATCAAACATTTTAGATCAAGAAAAACGACAAAATATTCCACATTATTGATCAGGTAATGGTTTCAAGGGTACTGTTGCGAAAAGGCATTGCCATTTTTGCATGGAGGGTCATTTGAAATTACGCTTACATTCACTTTTAATAACAGAAATGTAGAAATTAACAAAAATTCGGGAAAGAAACGTTAGTTAAAATAAATCTAACTGACCATTTCGTCAATTTTTTATACTCAGCAAAATATTAAACTATAAATAGTTTATATATTAGGCCAAAACTTTTCTTTAGATATTAGAAGGCACAGGCACAGACCGAGTCGACTTTAAAGTCTCCCAGCGCCTGCTTTTGATTTTTCCTTTAATTTGTTGTAGCCCTAAACATATACATTTTAGAACTATATAGCACTTGTTTTTAGCTTTAGTTTTTACAAACCTTGGATCACTGTGTAGGAATACGTTTACGGTAGGTTTTCCCAAAGTTCGGTTTCTCCAATTTTGTTTGTTTCCAATGTTCGGTTTCTCCAATGATGGTTGTTTGTTTCAAAATTTCGGTTTCTCCAATGATGGTTGTTTGTTCCAAAAGTTCGGTTTCTCAAATGATGGTTGTTTGATTCAAAAGTTCAGTTTCTCCAATGATGGTTGTTTGTTTCAAAAGATCGGATTTTCCTAAAGGTGTGTTGCTTGATTCTGAGAGGTTAATTTATATATGGATCAAAAAAAAATGAAATATAGTTTTAAGACTGAACTTCAAATCCCCAAAATTAAAAATATATCCGTATTTTGAAGATAACTTCTTTTAAACTGACTTAGAAACAAGAATGTTGTAGTTTTAGGGCTACAAAAATATCTAAGTGAGTTCATAATTTAAAACTTAAGACCAGGGGGATGAAATACATAAAAGTTGGCCAAGTCCTATACAATGATGTACAATATGTAGCTGCCTGGATCTCTGTGAACATTTCTGAATCGTTTTATTTTCTAGATTTATTCAAGTTTAAAACTTATGAAGCCTATGGCGGAAACTTTTTAATGAAAAGAGCTGAATACTATAAAATTGTGAATATCGAGAGATCAAAGCTTGATCTCCTCTTTTTTGACCTTAAGATTAATATAATTTTTATTTTTTATATCCAGGAAAGTGTTTAAAATTCAACCAATCAGAGTGTCGTTTGCATACACCGAGCAGCCAATCAGAAGTCGGGAAATTTGCTCAAAATTAATAAGAGAACTCTCATTGGTCGGAACCCAGCAGAGTTGTCCAAAAGAAGGAATTAAGCAGTGGATATTGAGATTTAGCAAATGGGATTACGGGTTTCCAACACAAGAGTTTTCAGCTGAGAATGAGTTGTATAAGACATTGTTTTGTTCAGGTTGTCTGCTCAGGAAATTTTCGAGATCATTTTCCTGTTGATCAGGTTCCAGAGAATACAACAGTACTCAGGGATCTTTATAATCATCATCTCTATGATCGATTAAATCTATATTCTATCTAAGCCTTGATCAGTGATCAGTAAAGACCCATCATCTCTTCCTCAATGTTTTACCTTTAACCAAAACCAAATGATCATTCAAGTGTTAAAATCCTCAAAGATAGTTTCCTTTATGTTTTACATAATTTAACTTTTTGTGAAAATTCAATTTTAAATTTTAAATAAAGGTTAAAAATTTAATAGTTTACATCAACACTTCAATTAAAGATTAAAATTTTTAGATATTTTGTATTTGATAAAAGCTTAATTAAAATTTGATGTGTTTAATAAAGATTTAAACTTTAGAGTTATTCCGAAACTAGGGATAAACACCCTGAACCTTGGTCCTAGTTTGAGACAGTTAAACTCATTACAGGTGAAATTTAAGTCTCACTTTAATATTATTTTCAGCCTTTACAGGGGTGTATATTTTTTCAGAATATTTATGATTTGAGGGAAAAATGAAAAACTAAACTTTTTTCAATAAATCATTAATTTCCCCCAATTCAGCGAATAAACCCCTAACTTAGGCATATATAACTTCCAGAGGGGGGAAAAATTCGTCGAGAAAATGTACACCCCTGGTTTCACAGAAAATCCTGCTGTATATACGATCCTTACTCTCTTTGATAACATAATTTAGTCATTCTACAAAAATAAATACTAGTGTTTTTAGTAAATGAAAACCGTGTGGTTAGCATTAAATTATAAGAAGTATAGTTAAATTCTCAAAAGAAGAAGGAGTTCTAATTAAAAGGTCGAGAATGAAATATTTGTAAATGCTCCTGGTTATATTTAAGGCTTTTATCAGTTGTAAAATGCGGAAAAAATCCCCCCTCCCCCTCTCACCAGCAACGTTGTCCCTTCATCTTAAGCCAAAACTCAGTTACGTCATATGAGGAGTGTCCATTGCTCTGGAGACGACATTTTGCGTAAACTGGAGCGCATCCAGAGTATATAAACTTTTCTTTTATTATTAACTGCGTATTTCTGAACTAAGTTTTGAATAGCACAAACATATCATGACTTATATAACTTTTTTTTTTAAATTTAAATATTTTTTTTATATTTAGGAGCTTCGTATTATCCACTCTACTATTCCTAACATAGGACAACGAACCCTTTGGGGATTAAAAGGTAAACAAAAAATTTTAAAAAATTTATGAATTAGAAAAAATCTAAAATTAATTTTTAGGTTTAAAAATTCTCGACTTGTCGTTTAACAATATAACAAGAATTGTCGAATATAATTTCGACGGACTCAGCTCTCTTCGACAATTGAATCTAGCCGACAACAGTATTAGGTAATTTCTACTTAATTACAGTGAGAACCAGAAAACTGTAGAATAGAAAGACAACTTTATGGCAATATTTTATTTGGTCAAGGTCACAGAGCAAATAGTTTTATACAAGGTGTCCCAAAAAACATGGGAATTCAGAGACGAATTCGATATCGTCTTTGTTATGAATTAGCATTTGTAATACCTAATTTCAAAATCCATAATATTATTATGTCTACTAGAGTTTATTTATGAAAAGTGTAAAAAACTGAAAAGATGTGTCTATAATGTCTCCGCAAGATGAACAGTGAAGACGGACAAGTTTACTCTGTTTGTATACTGTAATTTTCTTGTTTTACTAAGTACAACCGTATGCAGTCAAAACATAAACAAACAAAATGTGAACATAGCAGACGAAACTCTTACAGATTACAGCTTTCACAGTAGGTATCACTATACTAAATCAAAGAATTATTTTATCGAATTCGTCACTGAAATCCCATGTTTATTGGGACACCCTGTACAAGACACTTATGAAAGTACTAATTTAGTAAAATGGGTCGGTATACACTCCACAATTACTGTGTTCCATGCTAATTTGTGTCTTCCTATTTCACCGTAAAAAAATCTATTTCATGATCAAACTAATCATTAACTAATTCATCATTTTATGTATTTTTTTTCAGTTCTATTCCTTCAGCAGCATTTCACCACGTGGAACAGTTAGAGAGTTTATCTCTTGCCGGAAACCAGATTTCTGATCTCGCAACCAGGAAATCCACCATTTGCAATTTATCGGCCATCTTTTTTTCTTGACCAATTATTCACTAAACCCCCAAGGTTAAGTTAAGAAATACATATTAGTTTTAAATTTGTAAAACACACGTACAAAGGATATCACTTCAGAGACGACTGAACGGAATTTATTCAGTCCTTTCCTACGAGGTCGCTTCAGTTTAATTTTTGTTTTGCCAAATTATTTGGAAAACCATTGCCACACTGTAATAAAGAAAGAAGACCAAATAAATTCTTTGCGGGTGACCCTAATGTCAAAATTGTATCTTTATTTGCTTGGACTACTTTAGATTTTAGGATTTTTATAATTAATAATTCTTATTTCTAAAATATCTAGAATGAGTTTTGTGTGACGTAAGAGATTATATCAGGATAATTGTTGTTTTATCGTAAAATATCCCCCCTGCATTCCCCCCCCCCCGCCGATCCTCCCCGGGTAATAAAATAAAATTCCCCCTGCCCCCGGGGGAGTTTAAAATCAATATATATCAAATAGCACTTGACTTGAGAATAAACCTAGCTTTTTATAGGATTGATCTAGAAATCAATTAATTAAACAAAAAGCTGACTAAAATTAGATTAGAAAAACCTGATTTTATTTTTGATATTTAACTATTTTTAAATTTTTAATGTTGTTTAAAAAACAAGAGATATCACATTTTTTCGAGAATTTATCAATTACATTCCTATCCCCTCCCACATACTAATCTACATTAATATTTGATACAAATATTAAATAATTCGTATTGTAATATCAAATAAAATATTAGAAATCAATAGATTTTTAGAAAATATTTCTTCAGAATTTCAGATTTAAAGGGACTGTGCGAACTGGCTGTAACCTTTTATGTTTTATGGTGGCATGTCCGGTTCACAAGGGTCCTATTTCAACTTTTTTGTGATAAAGAAGGAATGAAGGAAAGAAAATTGTGAGAATTCAGCACTTTTCAAGATTTATTAATACCGATATCGTCCTCATTTTTACTCAGAAATAGGTTTTGTAAATATCGGTGTAAATCGTACATACCACTCATCTCTTGGAATAAAGTCTAAAGCCTCTATAACATTACAACTGATATTACAGTCTAGCTCTCATTAGGATCTCTTTCTCAATCCATTGTTTGGTGCGTATTGTTAAATTTTTTTTACAGGGTTAACAAAAAAAGATTAAGAATTTAATAAAGAGCTATTTACTGAAAATTTGAAGCTTAATTGGAGATTTCAGCCTTCAATATACAAAAACAATATATCTACATACTCTTCAATGTTTTTCTCTTCTTTAGGGAAGCCGTAAATGTAAAAAAAAATGACCACGTGCTCCAGTCCCTATAAATTATTGTGGGGAACTACGGAAAAATGCTTACCACTATTAAATTTTCATAGATTTCTTGAAAGTGATTTGCAATATTCTGGGCCCCAACTTCTCCATCTATACAATACAACAATTTCAAATTGTATAGATGGAGAAGTTGGGGCCCAGAATATTGCAAATCACTTGTATCATGCGTGCGAAAAATTTTTGTTGTGATTTNTAATGTCTTATCCGTGTATTGTCTTATCCATGTATTGTCTTATCCATGTAATATGTCTTATCCATGTAATGTCTTATCCATTTAATGTCTTATCCGTGTAATGTCTTATCCGTGTAATGTCTTATTCATGTATTGTCTTATCCATGTAATGTCTTATCCATTTTATGTCTTATCCATGTATTATCTTATCCATGTAATGTCTTATCCGTGTAATGTCTTATCCGTGTATTGTCTTATCCATGTAATGTCTTATCTATGTAATGTTCTATGTATTTTAAAAAAAATTTATTTAAACAAATTTTAACTACACCATTTATATATGTATTTATATCTTTGTGTGTGAATAAATCTTTATAATAATAAAATCATTGATATGAGCCTGTAATTATAAAATCACAAAATGACAGTCCACATTTTGTAAATGACAGGACTAGGACTATTCTGTGATGATTGTTTCACAAAAAAATATAGCTAAATTCACGTTACCAATGTTGAATGCTGCAAACTATATCCGATGTCAAAGACGACTTTGAAGTCATTATTCAATTTACATTATTCCGAATTATTTATGATATCAGTTTTAATGTTAATGGTGGGTTCTGGAATTAGAATATTCTACAAGCTAAACGCTCTCAAAACTCTGGATCTTAGCAGAAATAATCTTTTGGTAATTGATCAGGAGATTTTCATGGATATCAGGTAATTCATCCTCATCCTCATCCTCATCCTCATCCTCATCCTCATCCTCATCCTCATCCTCATCCTCATCCTCATCTTCATCTTCATATTCATATTCATCTTCATATTCATATTCATATTCATTTTCATCTTAATCTTCACCTTAATCCTCATCCTCATTCTCATTCTCATTCTCATCCTCATCCTCATCCTCATCTTCATCTTCATATTCATATTCATCTTCATATTCATATTCATATTCATTTTCATCTTAATCTTCACCTTAATCCTCATCCTCATTCTCATTCTCATTCTCATCCTCATCCTCATCTTCATCCTAATCCTTATTTTCATCCTCATCCTCATCCTCATACCCCTAATCATCATTAGTTATCCTAATTGTATTGAATCAGAAACGTTTTTTTTTCTTTGTTTATTTCCTTATTCATCTTAATTCATCTTAGCTTTTCATTTAACTACTCCTCAGGGTGACACAAAAATCCCTTCCGATCAGGGTTTTGAGGCCTAATTTTTGCGCACTTAATTGTAAAGGAAAAAATCCCCAGTTCAGACTTCAACTCAATACACTATAGAACGAAAATTTGAGACTTTAAATGTATAAAATTCTGCACACCCAGTATGTACAGAGTTCAACATTAAAGGTGAAAATATAATTTTTTAGGAATCTGCAGGAGTTCGTTTGTGTTGAATGTGGATTGCGAAGTTTAAAGATAGAATTCTCTCTTAGACATCTCCGGGTTTTAAATCTAGCTGGGAACATGATACAATCCTTTCTCCAGGTATATAAACCTAGCTGGGAATATGATACAATCCTTTCTCAAGGTATATAAACCTAGCTGGGAACATGATAAAATCCTTTCTCCAGGTATATAAACCTAGCTGGGAACATGATAAAATCCTTTCTCCAGGTATAAAAACCTAGCTGGGAACATGATAAAATCCTTTCTCCAGGTATATAAACCTAGCTGGGAACATAAACAATTCTTTCTCCAGGTATATAAACCTATCTGGAAACATGATACAATCCTTTCTCCAGGTATATAAACCTATCTGGAAGCAAGATACAATCCGTTCTATTCTTTTTATGATATCTTTACAATGTTCTTTCGCATGATATATCTTATCTATTCATAAAGTTGTCCTTTCTTTTGAATTTCCTGTCATATTAAGTTTTCTCTATGATATTTAAGTTGCTCTTTTTTTGCACAAACGCCTTTAGAGTTTAATTGCACACTAAGGGTTAGTTAAAAGTTTTATAAATATTTTTGAATAATTGACCCACAGGGTATTTTTGGCACAGGAGAGGTTAATAGGGATGTGGGTTTAAATGTCGTTTAAACACTATAAAGCAGAGCAGTAATAAGTCCTATTTTTGACCAAATAAATTATTCCTAATGGTATAATAATAATATAATATTTAGATTGAGCCTCATATACTGAGAACTATTAAGAATCTGGATTTATCAAGGAATCAGATCAATTTACTCACGGTTAGATATTGGAAAAATAAACATTAAAAACTTTCTTGTTTTAAAAGATCAACAAATATATTTATTTATGAACGGGTCACCCTCACAACTCACGGAATTATTATTTTGTATTTTATAATTTGAAAACGTTAAACTTATTTTAGAAATTTATTTGGCTTTTAATTTGTTCATTGAAGAGATTTTCTTATTTCTCAATAATTGTTTTATTTTCTATCCACTAGGCTCTCGAGATACCAGCAATGGAGACATTACATCTGGAGAAAAACAATATTACAGGGAACCCAGGATTTCATGTTTTTTAATCACATATATATTCACGTATAGTCAAATGTGATTTTACAATAATCAAAAAAGAGTCTGATCTCAATAGTGAGAACTTAATTCATTTATCAGTATAAATGAATGTTTTCGCTTTGATATAGAATAGTGATTCTAGTTATTTTAAGGCTTGAACGTAAAATGGAACTGAACAGTTGCAACATATTCTATTTTTTTAATCCATAGTGATGTCATAGACCTGATAAAAATATCAAAATAAGAATTCTGTTAAATCAAATAGAGAAAAGAAACAAAGAGGTAAAGCCTTCTTAAGATGTACGGTAATACGTAAACATATTGAGATGTATATAACCGACCACTCTATTCATTAATTAATAGGGTGGTTGGTTGTGTACAGCTGAAGTAAGCTTTACCTATTCGTTTCCTTTCTCTATGATTAAATCTATTAGTTACACCTACCGTTTTGAAACGATATGAATCTTTATATGTTCGGTTTTTGGCAAAAAGAAACATTATAATATACTTATAACTATTAGGTTTAAAGATTTATTCACACACATTGATATACATACATATTATATATTACATATGTTTAGAGTGTAGATAGTTCAAATGATATCAGAAGTATTCACTCTCATAATCTCTAATTTCATAAACCTGCTATTTCAAATAAATCTATTGCCAGCCTTTTTGAAAATTATTATGCACTGAAAACTTCGGTTAATTTCAGGTTGCTCCGCTGCTAGAGCAAGTTGTAAAGATTTATTTAAGCGACAAAACGGACAATCAATACATCAAATGTATTATTTTCTTATAAAGATATAAAATGATTAACTATGAATGTAAAAATTAAAATTCTGGGTTTATTTAGAAATGGATAGGAACCCATTAGAACCATCTTCTAAACTCAGAGAACTAAACATCGCATTCAATAATATTAGGAAACATATAAATCAATCGATCAATCAATCAAATTTTAGCTAATCAATTAATCAATCAATCAAAACTATTTCTGAAATAACTTAGCATTAAAATAAACAACATTTTGATAATAATACCATCTAATCAATTCTAAACTACGAAATAGTCGTTAAAAAAAATTGTACAAATTGTACGTTTAAACATAAAATTCTTTTAAAAAATTTGTATTTTGCTGTCAGGGACTTGAGCGGATTGTTTCTCTCGTCCCAACCTTCTCTCCAGGTGGTGGATATATCAGGGAATATGTTGAACCAGGACCAGGTTCAATCCTTACTCAACCTTACTCCAGGTCTTACTTCTCTACAGGCAGCAGGACTAGGTAAGAAAGTCCTACAAAATAAATATTGTGGCCAAACCGGAGTTTTGGAATTTTAAAATGTGAATCTGGATGGCCTTCTTTTCATGGAAGGTCATTTGAAATTACACTTACAGCTCCTTTAACCCAGTCTTAAATTTGATTATTGAAATTACAAGTCCTTGAGTACATGTTCAATGCCGTGCGTAGTGATGGTAAATAATTCGCTTCTGTTTTTAAAACTTTAAAGGTTTCATTGCCTCCTAAAAGGTACAACGAAAAACAATTTAAAACAGTAAAATACTGTAAAAGTGTGTGCTATGCAAAGTTTGTAAGAGAAAATATATATAATACGAACCAAGTCTTAAAACTATCGTCTTTTTGCATATCTTCACTCAGGGTTAAAAGAAACATGAGTCTTTGTAACCTCTGATTTTCTAATCCTTATATCTTTGCAACCCATAGATATTTCAAACGATGAATTTTGTTAGATTAAATGATCTATGTTTGAAATGTCAAAGGTGTAAACCATCAAGTTAAAAGCATAAGGGATTAGAAAATTTGATTTTGTGGCAAAGACTCAACTTTTGGTACAAAGTATAGTTTAAAGAAAGCAAATAAATAGAATTAGCAATTTTGAAATTTTCTCGTATAACAATTAAAGACAATATTTGATTTATTTATTTTTGTGAAACCGTTTCTTAGGATTGGTTTCTGTATCTCCAAGTATCTTCCAAGGTACTGAGCACCTGGAGAAACTAAACCTTAGTTCTAACCTTCTCACTGACCTCCAACCTGGGCTCATAGAGGCTCTACCAAGGCTGGTCAGCCTCGATTTATCCCTGAATCTGTTTGGAGGTTTAGAGGCTGGATTTTTTAATAGTGTATCCTCTAGCATTGCACTTGAAATGGTTTATCTTCAAGGTAAAGTATATTAATTTTAAATTATATATCGGACAGGTAGATAGATAGATAGAAGTGGGTGGTTCATTGGTGTACTTTTGCCCGTGTTTGTACTGTACAGCGTGCTCTGGCTGCTTTAAATGAACCGGAGGGAACAGTGGGCCGGAAATAGAGTCACCCTTAAAGAGATATAGTTAATAATTATCGTTTTCAAAGCACTGAAAACGATTTAAATGCCCAATGTTGAAATTTCTTATTTTGTTTTAAATGGAACCAAAGTTTATTTTGGTACAATTTGTATCATTAGTATGAGAAAAGAACGGTTTGTTCCTAGATCTTTAATATAATTTTTATTTGAATTCTAGTGATTAAAAATAATTTCTAAAAGCCATGACTGTTTTTTTCATGTTGGTAAATTCAAACAAAAATACCAAATCTGTCCATTACGACCCTTTCTTCTTTGCAAGTTAAAACCTATGTATATGTGCCTCAAATTCAAATTGAAAATTTTTAAACAACATTCACCCGTTAAACAAATGTCAGTGTAAGACGATGCTGAATATAGAATAATACATTTTTTAGATTTGATTCTTAAGTAGCAATGAACACATAATTTTTTTTTCAATTTTAAATATAATTTTAGGAAATCCGTGGATCTGTAATGAATGTAAAATAGGTCCACTACTAGACTGGTTGGACAAGGTATACTTATTAATTATTAATTACATAGATTAATGCAAATAAAAACACTGACTAATCACCAAAAAATACAATTTTTTAATCACTTTATGTTTTCATCAAACCACGCCTCTCCAACAAACAAACAAAAAAGAGTAAACAAACGAACTAGACTGACCTCTTTAAGTTTTTCATTGATTGCTTTGGCAGTTTAAAGAAAAGTACTAAAGATTATATGAAATTATGATTTGAAGGAATAATAAGAAAATAAAAAAATAATGTAAAAACAATTTAATCCTTTTTTAGAGTTTGATGTACTGGGGAACATGTTTTCTTCCCTCCTCTTCCTCCTGTCTCCGCTGCGCGGAACCTTCAAACCTTAGGCGCACTCCTGTGTCCCAGCTAGTGCGCGCCGACCTAAACAGCTGCTCTGACCCTCAGCCTGGGTTTAACAGCATGACAGCTGATGTATCAACCTGGAGCCAGTTTACTGTTATTGCAGCTGTTGCAACTGTGTCTTTTGTTATCACTTTAACTGTGGTGAGTTAAAACATACTTTCAGGAACTGTTAACTTTAATTTAAAGAGTTCCAAATTCACAACTAGCTTTTAAATGTTTAACTAGATATCATTAGGGATCGATATCATTATTTTTCTATCTTCAAATAGACTAATTCCGTATATATCCTGCCGTTAATAGGAAACTGGGGATTGAAAATATGATTCTCTCTATCATTTTAGCCAGGAAAAAAGTATATAGGTTAACATTTTCAATCGGGTATGTAACATTTAAATAGATGTTCACTGGAAAAAAAATGAAGGAATGAGTGCAAATTAAATATTCTCGAATGAATTAACGTGACAAAAATAATAATTAAGGTATCACGGTATCGACATTATGGTGTTTATCTAACTGGAGAAAAGGAATCCTCTGGAGGTTTAGAGGAAATCCTTGACAATCCTGTGTATGCTTTAGACAGGTGAACATGATAACTTTATAAATGTCGTATTTTCGCATAACTTTCTAATTATTACTTTTTTCGAGTTTTTCAGTCTTTTAAACAGATACATAGCTTTGGTAAATAATATAATTAAATGACAAGTTTAAATTTTACCCAGGCAAAGCTCTAAAAAACATTTTCCATTTTGCAAACACTTTAAAATATCCTTCACAACTTTCTTTTCTAGAAATCAAGATTCCTATGTTAATTTAAAGTATCCCTCGCCAATCTGACAAAATACAGGTAACAAATAACGACAACGACAACGACAACGACAACGACAACGACAACGACAACGACAACGACAACAACAACAACATTAACATTAACATTAACAATAACAATAACAATAACAATAACAATAACAATAAAAATAACAATAACAATAACAATAACAATAACAATAACAATAACAATAACAATAACAATAACAATAACAATAACAATAANATACTAATACTAATACTAATACTAATACTAATACTAATACTAATACTAATACTAATACTAATACTAATACTAATACTAATACTAATACTAATACTAATACTAATACTAATACTAATACTAATACTAATACTAATACTAATACTAATACTAATACTAATACTAATACTAATACTAATACTAATACTAATACTAATACTAATACTAATACTAATACTAATACTAATACTAATACTAATACTAATACTAATACTAATACTAATACTAATACTAATACTAATACTAATACTAATACTAATACTAATACTAATACTAATACTAATACTAATACTAATACTAATACTAATACTAATACTAATACTAATACTAATACTAATACTAATACTAATACTAATACTAATACTAATACTAATACTAATACTAATACTAATACTAATACTAATACTAATACTAATACTAATACTAATACTAATACTAATACTAATACTAATACTAATACTAATACTAATACTAATACTAATACTAATACTAATACTAATACTAATACTAATACTAATACTAATACTAATACTAATACTAATACTAATACTAATACTAATACTAATACTAATACTAATACTAATACTAATACTAATACTAATACTAATACTAATACTAATACTAATACTAATACTAATACTAATACTAATACTAATACTAATACTAATACTAATACCAATACCAATACTAATACGATAGCATCTATTACAATACATCAATACATTGAAGACGACTTTTCTATTTAAGTTTTTATTTCTAATTTTTTTTTTTCAAAAATAAAAAGTTTACAAGAAAACAAAGAAAAGTTATTAACTGACAGCTTCTTGTTTCCATGCTCTATGTGTATCCATACCTCACAAATTTCACTAGATCAAAGGGGATCGATTATTTGGCGTGCAACCCCGATTTGCCTCAAAATCTGTATTTGTTCTGTTCAACTTGCTCTAGATGATTAAGTGGAGATTATACAGAAACTAAATAAAAGAACCTACAAAACCAGGTTTCCCACACTAGGTTTCATGACGATACCCTGTTTCAAGATTTGGACGCCAAAGTCTACAGTAATGCAGTTTAAAAGCTTAGTAGAAATAAAAAAAATAAATCGGATGTCGTCTTAATTGTATTGATATATACAAAGACGACTCTATGGTAATATTTTCCAGGTTCCACTGCTCACCTCCACCATTCCCACCAACTGTATCTCCTTTACAGCAGCTGATTCAAAACATGGCGGAAAATAAATTTTTGTAAAAGTATCCTTGCAAAGGTTTTTCTAATTTTATGATATTTGCTACTTTCTTAAATTGTAAAACATATATGTGAACAAGAATAAAATTAATATGTTTATATATAGATCTTTTTACAATAGTAACTAAGGAAAACATTAAGGCATAATAAGGCATGTAAAACTGTAAAATTACAGCGAGATCTAGAAAATTGTGGAATAATAAGACGACTATTAAACTCGAGTTATGCTTTTAAATAGTCCATTGAACATTGAGCAGTGTACACAGGCACAGTTCATTTTAAAAAAAACTTGATTTTTAAGCGATCATGGTAAATAATTACTAAAGAACAACATCAAATACACAGAAGATAGCTAAAATGCCATCAAAATCTAGAATTTGAAAGTCAAAAATTAACGACTCATCAAGCCACACTGTAATTCCACCGTCGTAAAATTAGAATGCCTTGTAAGGACTCCTGATTTAAAAAGGCAGTTAAGCTTGATTTCTGCCACAAATAGGAAGTTGAGCCCAAACCTTCTTGTTATATTTCTCTAATTAGAGGGAGAAATCAAGAGTCCTTACGAGGAATTCCTCCAGTTTTGAACGATGTAAATACGGTGCAAGAGATTATAGAGCTTGAACTCACAGAACTGGGAAGTCAAAACCAGAAAGGATCAGAATTCCTGAGTAAAATTAAGTCTCAGGAGTCGGGGACAATTCAGGATTTAAGTCTATTAAGAGTCAGGGCCATGTCAGGATTCAAGTCTCAGGAATCAGGGGCAACTGAGAATTCACATTTAAGGAGTCAGGGGCATCTTCGGATTCATATGGAGGAAGAAGTTTTGATTTTTAAAATAATAGATTTTCCGACAAGAAAAATGATAATAGATTTTCCGACAAGAAAAATGATATTTAATTGATCTTTGATCAGAAAACGATTAAAAGAATAAAATTGTGAATCGGACATACCATTATTTACATGAAGGGTCACTACTATATACAATCTTATAATTTTGTTTGAATTTTAAATTTTCCAGACGTCAGGAGAGACGGACGTAATTAATTTTCCTTAGAAATAAAATATTATCTCTAATTTTTGTTAGAGGGACACAGTTTAACTCAACAGCTTGATTTTTAAGTACAAAATAATCAAATCGTAAGGTTTGACAACAAAATTAGTGAAGACGACATTTTAGGCACTCTACTTTTGATTTTGTTCACCCGGGACCTAACTTAATGAATTTGAGCTACATCGCTAAACTACCCATCTGCCGGTACAAATTTGAACCACCGACTCAAAGATTAAGGAAGTAGTTGAATCAGTGATTCAAACTTAAACCGGCGGCGATAGGCAGTTCAAATTAACATATCTTTATTTTATCCAGATTAAAAAATGACTGAGGTGGGACTGGGAGTGGGACCAGATATCAAACATTGAATCGATTATGGTACACATTTATTTCCGCCGTCTTCTTATTCTATATAGTGGTTGACCGTCGTAGGACTTCTCCAACGCATTACACAAGAATTGAATGAATAAACATTTATTTGTGTTAACACATTTTGTAATTTTTACTAACTTTAATTGTTACCTTACTTTTAGTTTTAGTAAATATATTTTCTTTATCCGTCCTAAAACATGTTTAATGTATGGAGCTACTCATATAGGTAAGCCGAAAGACTAAGATTTATAAAGAATATTGTCAACGTGCTTATAAATTTTCCATGCGGGTTGAAAATATGTGTTAGAATTCGCAAATATTAGTCCCCCTATGAACTTTAGTACAAACAAATTTACGTCCGATGTACTATTAGTGCATTGGATACAGCAACCTATGGGACACATGACTGCTCTAATGACTATAAGGACTTAAACAAGACTGATTAAACACACCTTTATTGTTCTGAAAAAATGATATTTATACATAAGAATTATTCTCATAATACACAAAAAATCTTTCGACATTTTTGATGATATCGGGCCGGAGTTAAACAGTGATATTACAGAAGGGAGTTAAAGGGACAAGAAGCATAATTTCAAGTGATATCAATGCCCGAATTTTAACGGTTTATCCTTATAAACCTTGGCTAATCAAGTATGCATTAGATTATATATTCAGGGCTTAGATTATTTTCATTTGTTCAGTTTCTCTTCAAAAGTTACTTGCTGATTTCTTACTTTCAAAAACAATTAAGAAATTCACAGAAATAAACGCTTTTCTATAATCAGAATACATTTTTGATTGGGCTTAGGTTTCATGGGTACCGTTGTTAATCTGGCATTGCTATATTTGAAATGAGGGTCACTTGAAACTACGGTTACAGTCCATTTAACAACTCAAATTATAATTAAATTTTCGGCACATAAGGTCATTTATTCATTTTGCATCTGTAGCTTCCAGAATTTTCTTGATTTTATCAATATTTATTTTTTCATCTTTTTCCCCATCTTGGTTCTCATCAGACAATTCTGAAGGAATAACTAGAATAAACAAGTTGTTAAATATTACAAGAATAATGTTTTTTTTTTTATGGAAGGGGGGGGGGGGCAGAAGGGATTTTATGTCATTTCCCTTAATCTTAAATTGTCTCTTAAACATGTTAGTAATTGTACCAAACTGTACGTAGATCCATTATATTGAACATGATTTTCAACTGATAAATTTATATGTTTTAAGACAGCATCAATTATACACAATATTAATAACATTCCACAGTTTTTTAGACCCTGGCCAATTGCTTACTAAACATGTAAATACCATAGTTTTGCTGTTTTCTGATGTGTATACCTGTTTCCTGTTTCTTCTGCTGTAAATCCTGCTTTTGTTTAACTAGCTGCTCTTTAATATTCAGCATCTTGCTTCGTATTTTATCTAAACTCTCTAAACTCAAATAAATTTTCAATCTTTGTGGTTTTTTATATTTTTTTTTTGCTCGAAAAACCGACCTTAAGAAAGAACGAACCTTATTGTCTGAAGTCGAAACACTAACGCTTAATCTCGATATCCACTGTAGTAGCTTTTGAATTCAAAAAGGAATTGAGTCGTTGAACAAATTTTGAATTTTTGAATTCCTATATCCTTGTCATAGACCTTAGATATTTCAAACTATCAAAGATTTACACCATCAGGTTGCAAAGGTATAGGGGTAAGACAATTTTAGTTTGTTTAAAGACTAAATTCCTTTTGTACTTGATCTCTTCATATAGTTTATTCCAGTGTACAATTACCACAGAAAATCAAAGAAAAATAAATCAAATCACATATATGCACAAGAAGGAGTTAATGTGTGCTTAATCCTGAGATTCACATAAAAAAAAAGGTTCTGACCTTTCATCAACTTATCAGATAGTTTCCATTAAGTTTAAACGTAATTTAATACCGAAAATCTCTACTTCAGTCCTAACCAGTAAAGTAGAGTAAAAGTCGTCTTTATTCAGCCATTTATCACAAACTTGGAAATTAGATTAAAGTCGACTTTTTTTAGCCATTTATCACAAACTTGGAAATTAGTAACTTTAAAAAATTGCTGTTCAAGGGTTTTCACTTTTAAGTGACCTTATTTATATTAAGAGCAGCATCCCCCATTCACAACGGTACTCTTAAAAGTATAAATACCCCTCTTTAAAGTTTAAATACCTCTCTTTAAAGTTTAAATACCTCTCTTTAAAGTTTAAATACACCTCTTTAAAGTTTAAATGCCTCTCTTTAAAGTTTAAATGCCCCTCTTTAAAGTTTAAATACCTCTCTTTAAAGTTTAAATACAACTCTTTAAAGTTCAAATGCCTCTCTTTAAAGTTTAAATGCCCCTCTTTAAAATTTACATGCCTCTCTTTAAGGTTTAAATACCCCTCTTTAAAGTTTTAATACCCCTCTTTAAAGTTTTAATACCCCTTTACAGTTAAAATACCCCTCTTTAAAGTTTAAATACCCCTCTCTTTACAGTTTAAATACCCCTCTTTAAAGTTTAAATACCCCTCTTTAAGGTTTAAATACCCCTCTTTAAAGTTTAAATACCCATCTTTTAAGTAAAAATACCCGTCTTTAAAGTTTAAATACCCCTCTTTACAGTTTAAATACCCCCTTTTAAAGTTTAAATACCCCTCTTTAAAGTGTAAATACCCCTCTTTTAAGTTAAAATACCCCTTTTTAAAGTTTTAATACCCCTCTTTAAAGTTTAAAGTCTAAAGTTTGCTCTTAAAATTTTCAAAAATATATCAGCATTAACTTTTTCAAATAAGGTGATTTATTTCTAAATCAAGATAAAACAAAGACGACTTTTTCATTGATATGATTTAGTCTGTTTCTTCAAACATAAAACAAAATTGAGAAAAGTAAATGAATTTTAAAATTTAAAAAAAAATAACTTATTTGAACATTCCAATGTTCCTTGGGTCTCGGGAAGTTTTTCCGAATCTAAAAAAATATAATGTTTTATTGTTTCTCAATATAATTCGATTCTTATCATTGTGTTCAATAATAATACAGATTTTAAAAAATTCGTTTACTTTTTTATCTAAATAATTTTAACTAGTGTCTAAATTAGTAAAATTACCATTATTACTAATTATTGGTGTAATAATTATAGTCCAGATTTAGAAATTAGTTGATGACAATAATTTAAAATGCAAGGAAGAAAAAATATGCTTGTGATGAAAATAATATTAAATTAATTTTATAAAATATATTCTTGGAAACACCTAAAATGGTATTTAATGTAATTTGTCAAAATTTGTAATTTCTTCGGGATAATGAGAAAGTTATTTTTCGAGTATTAATTTTCAAACATTTATCCACCGGAAATTGATTATACAATATTTGCATTAATTCTAATTTGTTTGAGAGCAAATGATACATTTTAGTAAGAAGATTCGGAATTTAATGCTTTTAATTAATATTGAAATAAATGAAACTGCCGTTTGTTGGGGATCGAATGTTCGTTTTAAACGGTACTGAATAATACTTTCAAAGCTAATTTCCCGACTTTTGTAGTTCGCGTTAATTATCTAAATAACGGTTTTAAGTAATTTGTGTATTGTAATGAATTTGTGTATTGTAATGAATTTGTGTACTGTAATAAATTCGTGTATTGGAATGAATTTGTGTGTTGGAATGAATTTGTGTATTGTAATGAATTTGTGTATTGTAATAAATTTGTGTATTGTAATGAATTTGTGTATTGGAATGAATTTGTGTATTGGAATGAATTTGTGTATTGGAATGAATTTGTGTATTGTAATGAATTTGTGTATTGTAATGAATTTGTGTATTGTTATGAATTTGTGTATTGGAATGAATTTGTGTATTGTAATGAATTTGTGTATTGTAATGAATTTGTGTATTGGAATGAATTTGTGTATTGTAATGAATTTGTGTATTGGAATGAATTTGTGTATTGGAATGAATTTGTGTATTGTAATGAATTTGTGTATTGGAATGAATTAAGGGACTTTTGACTCAACTTTAAAGTGAATGGGTCAGAAAATGCCTAATTAAAGCATTTTCTTATAAGCATTATTACAGTGAAAACCAACAAATAATGGAATAGGAAGCTGACATTATAGCAATACTTAAGTGTAGTTGGTGTTGTAACAATGCTAATAGTTTTACTTTACACCTATTAAATCACTGATTTTCTGATTTATGTCTGTTTCATTATTTCACATGCACTGCTCCGTCTCATGCTCATTGGACTTTTTAAAGTAAAAACTGGATTCTAAAAGTCGTCTTATTATTTTAGAGTGTCCTGGTATCACTGTATATAGATGTAAATATTTTGCTTCACAGTTGTATTACCTTCCAATGGCTTGAGCGTTGGAGGTTTCTGAACAGTTGAGTTTAAAAGCCCTTGGAGCCGTTCTAGGTCTATTGCACCCGGTCTAAAAACAAGAAATCGACGAACTTCACAAATTTCACACTTATCTTATTTTCGACATTAATCAAGGTTGTATAATAAGGTTGCTTACTCTCGATGAGCTCCAATGTACGGCAAATATCGTCTCCTCAGCATAGAAAGATAAAATCAGTATATGACGTCACTCTCGCCTCTATGATCAGTGACGTCATTTGAGAATGTTATCAATCTATGCTGAGGAGACGATATTTCCCGTACATTGGAGCGCAACCTCATTATACAACCTTGAAATTAATGTAGAAAATTTGAAGAAAAAAATATTTATTTTTTCTATTTTTATTTTAGTTCACAGTGAAGTTTTTGGAAAGCTTCAAGATTCAACTTTCAAAACCTTTTGAATTATACTTAGTCTCGGGCTTTAGCGAGAATGAAATAAAATAAAAACTAGTTCCTTCGAGATACAGAGAAAATTGAAGTCAAAACACTTTAGAAAACTTCGTGCTAAAATATTAGTGTCATATAGTATTAGCAGGTAAGCTTATGAAATTTGTATGTAATTGTCTTGATGCAAAGGTTACTTCTAGTTATAATAAGCTTGTTTAAAAAGCAGAATTAAAAATAAAATCTAATGGAAACAATTCTAAAAGTGCAGAATTAAACTCCAGAATTACGGTTGGATAATAGATTAAACGACTTATTTTTGCTAAAAGAAAATGAAGTTGGGGTTACTGGAGCTTAACATATATTATGACTCTAATATACATAAATGGATTTAGTTGGCTAGGTAATTATTCTAAATATAACAGGAATTAACTTAACTATTAGAAGACTTAGGCAAAAGTAAATATAGAGAGTCCCAACAGGGTGTGTCAAACAAAAATTAAAATAATTAATAATTTCTTGGGTAATTCACATCTGTGATTAAAGAACGAAATTATACGTTCGGCTATAGCAACAGGCATTTACAGGCGAAAACACAGGTTTTTAGGCCAATGGCATCTTAAAATATGGAAGTAAGAGATTATTTTCTCATAAATGTTTAAAGTTGGTCTACATGGACGCGAAAAGGTCAGAATTCCCAGCTCCGGTTTTTATATCACTTAAAATCCAGCCTGTTGTCTGTTTTTTTTTGGTTCCAATGTTAAATTAACTGCACTATTAAAACCTATGCCGCAATCTTATTTAATACATTGAATAGAATGGTGAAGACGAAGGTAGGACTGGGGCACATTCAGACTTTTTATGAGCCGTTCCTTAAAGATTCTGTAAAATTGTTTTAACAAACCTAGCACGAAACATTCCGTTCGATAACGGTATTTTCCGTTATTTTTAAAAGTTCGTGGCAGTAACACAAGATATTTCAGAAATTGTTTTTGCTAGCCTTTGAAGACAACATACAAAAACATTAAAATAAATAAGTTATGCGCCATTTCAAAATAAACATTTACATTGGCTTTAAACAATTCATTAAAGTTGATTGATGTCAGTATATATTGTTAACATATACATTAACAAAAACATTAACCTGTAACATTTATATGTTAATATGAATTAATATTACCATTTGTATAGTTGATATTAACATTTATTAAATTAACAAATAACATCAATGATCTCATATCATGTCTGTTATCGTCGAATGAAAGTCGCCGATTTTGAAACACGTCCTTTCGTTAATTTTTATTTACCGTTCATTTTTTTTAATAACGGCTACTTGCATTCGTTAAAGATTTCTTAAATAACAGGTTTTGCCGGTCATTAATTTCTAAAACTTACATTACTGTAGTAGAGAACAGATCATCAACCGAAGCTTCAGTAACTGTAGGAAAGGTTTCTTGAGACATGCTTGTAGGGTTGAGAGTGTTAGAGATGTTTTCCAAAAGGGAACCCGAGGTTTTCTCAGAAGAGAGGTTTTGGGAGACTTCTGACCTATTTTTGGAATCATATTGAGAGTTCTCATTTCTCAGGAGAATTGGAATTCCAGGTTTAATTGCAGGAACTTGTTTTCGCAGATGTGGACGCACATTTGTTTCTAGTTCAGGATTTTGTACTTTGGTTTTATCAACTTCAAGAAGAACTGGACTTGCTACTAGGTCTTCCTCCTTTAAAATAGGATTTTTGAAATAATTAATGCATTAAACATTTCTCTTTATTTCAACTGAATATGTTAAGGGAAAAAACAGACAGTTTTCTTTAGACTTTCAATCCTATGATAACCAATGAAAATAAGAAGTTGAAAAAAAACTTTAAAATATGAAATTTTCAAAAGCTGCATCATAGGGATTAAAAATTTGTAAAAAATTGAATTAAATTGAGTAATAAAAGTTATTGGAACAATTTTCAATAAAATCATAAAAAAATTATCTATCAACAAGATTAATGTGAATTAAATTATCTTTCAACAAGATTAATGTGAATTAAATTATCTTTCAACAAGATTAATATGAACTAATTAGTAATTATCTCACACTAATATCCATTAATAAACATTAAAAGGCCTGGGCAAAGGGGTCTAAATATATTTATTTAAAACGGCTTTAGAGTCTGGGTATAAAGTTGTGTAACATGTTCATATCAATTTTTAAGACCAGATCAATAAAAGGGAGCTTTTAAAAAATAGAAAAAAGTGTCCAAAAAATGTAAAATATAAAAATGTTTATATTTGAAATCAATCAGAATGACAAATGTTTTAAAATTAATTCTTCAAGGTCTTTTCAAAAATGTAAGTTATAAAGCCTTAAAAGCTTTTAAAATGCCGTCCGCCACCATAGTAAATCGTATATGGAACCCTTTAAATGCAGGGTCACTTTTACGTTCACAACCCCTTTAAATGAAGTTACCTGTGTGACCCGATCAGCTTTTGGGAAATAATCCTTGAGGTCTGCGTTTTTTAAAACATCTAAAAAGTAGAAACATTTAAAAAATCAATTTTTCAAAACTACATTTAGGAATTAAAAAGTAGTGTCAAATAGTAAGAATTCAGATAAATTAGCGGCCGTAACATATTTTAAAATATTTCAATATGAAATGAGATTTTAAAAATCTGACTCCCGGAGTTCGCAATAAAAACAGGCAAAAATATGAAAAGCTTTTGAAGGGTAAAGTTCAAAGATTGCTGACGATGGTTGAGGGACCGAATTTAATAAATTTGAACTACCTAGGTTCAAATTTGAATCACCGATTAAAATCATTCATACATCTTCAACTTTGAAACAGTGGATCAAATTTGAACCACAAGAAGGTAGGTATAGGGTTATTTTACCCACAAATTTTGAGATTGTAACCTTTATCATGACGATTTCTAGATAAAGTTAAGTCATCTGCCCTAATTATGGTCTTTAATAGTCTTTTATAGTCCTTTTACAGTCCTTTTACAGTGCTTTTACAGTCCTTTTATAGTCCTTTTATAGTCCTTTTACAGTCCTTTTATAGTCCTTTTAATGATCACAGAACAAAAACCAATTTGCAGTTGTAGTGAATTATAAATCTAGGGAAACAGACGTGTATAAATCCCGTAGAGTCGTCTCTGAAGTCTCGTCCTTTGTGGGTAACCCTGCTGTTCATCAACGTAATTAAATTCATTAAATTCGGTCGACAGTATTTTATTTGATGTAAACTGAGACCCATTAGCTGTGAATCAGGAGATGACTGTTAACCTCAAATTACGGTTTAAAAACAGCAATTGTGCAGTGTGCACAGACATATTTCACTTAATAAGGTGATTTTCAGGCTATACTAAAAGATTTAGTAAATGTATTTCTTTGGAAGATTGTTGTGAAGACGACTTGATTAATGATGTATTAGGTTAGGGGAGGCCAAGGTTCTTTAATAAGGTTGGTTACTCTGGATGCGCTCCAATGTAAGGAAAATGTCGTCTCCTTAGCATAATTAGAATCCGCATATGACGTCACTTATTATAGAAACTGTATACCTGGATATTTTCCTTGACATTTCTTCAATTTCTAAACAATTAACATAATATGTCATTTTTTCAAACATATTTTGATTTATTTGGTGTTTAGAGAGCGGAGGAAGGCAGGCAGCCATGAGCCACCACTATTTCCCCTTCTTAAACTGTTTTACAATGAAATTTTGACACATTTGACTGAGTATTGCATCTTGAAATATCAGAAAATTGGTTAATGAGTGATTTTAAGATGGATTTAGTGTAATGAGTCAGTAATTGAATAATCATTAGACTTTGTGATATTTCAAGATGCAATACTCAGTCAAATTTTTCAAAAAATTTCATTGTAAAACAGTTTAAGAATTCGACACACAAAAAATTTATCTTAAGAAGAATTGAAAAAATGGTTTGAGTTGTGCTTTTTTGAGTGACGCGGCTGGATTTTTTAAAATCAGACTTTAAAGGCCCTAAATATACCATTTAAAAAAGTAGTTTTGCCCAGAAGAGTCAAATGTGGTGGTACGGAAGGGGAAATAGTGGTGGCTCAACGCTGCCGGAAGAGAAAAAAGCTAATATGTGGCACGGAAGGGGAAACAGTGGTGGCTTATGGCCGCCTGCCTTCCCCCGCTCGTTTAGATGCGAAAGCGGAAAATAATATTGCGTTAAAATTGCAATTTTATAAAAAAAATTCATTTTCAAATCTTCGAAAATAAGTATTATGGCCTAAAATAATTCAATTTTGATCATACACATTCAAATCTCAGTCCTTTCCTTGGTTTCCATCGATGTTTGCATACTTTTGCACAATTCCGCGAAAATTTATACGCAAAAATGAATGCAACAAGCAGAACGTTACGATACGCAATTACACATTCCGTAAATTATATCTTATGTCGGGAAGCGTATAAAATGCGGAATATAAAGGTTCCTTGCAAAAATGCGGAATTTAAGAGCAACGATTTGTCTTTTCTGTTGGAAACCCTGCCATGTAAAATATCGACCATGAAAAAGTTTGTAAAAAAAGTTGAGTTTAACTGATTTGGAATGTTTTAAATAAACCGATATTCAAGAATCGAACTCATTCTCTCTTCACTAAATAGTTAAGATTTCTGAGATTTGAAAAATGTTATTAATTTATCCCGCTATAATTATTGTTGTCATTTCAATAGATGACAAATGAAAATTTAAATTCTACTTACTGTGATTAAATTGTCTTTTTTATCGTTTAACTGATGCATCGCTGTCTTAATCTCTTCAACAATATTCAGATAAACTCCTTTTAATAATAAGTTTTTTAATAAATACTTTGTTTGTCTGTTTGTCTATTTGTTTGTAACAGATAAACGTCAAAACGGCTGTACCGGTTGGGCCCACATTTTTTATGAGACCTCAAATAACTCCAGGAAAGGTTTATGGATGCTCAAAATTACAAAAAAATATCTCTAAAACTTTTTGATTTTCGTTAAGTTTTGAAAATCCACGAAAAAATATTATTATATTCGTGAACTTTTTTTGTTAAAAGATAGAACAAGAATTAAAAGTTGAAATAGTTTTTTCTTCTATATTTCTTTGCTTTTTATAAACGATTTCACCTGTCAAATTGCTTGAATCCGTTTCTATGATTCGGCGTCCAGAGATCTCTGTCTGAATTATTTGATTAAAAGGAAAAATCATTTTTTATCCAACTAAGTAGCTTTATACGATCTGAACGTCTTTAGGAAGACAATCCGCGAATGATTTGATTTTTCTAGATAGAAGACGGTTTGGTAACCAACAATTCCACGACAGTGGACTGTGAAATTATGATGAAGGATGTTTATAAAAAAAACCTTTATTTTGATTTTTACAGTTGAAAGACTGCACATAATCTGTTTTATTTCCCTACTTGGTATGATTGATGGCTTATCTGAGATCCAGTCCAATGTCCAAACAAGTACTTCAAGGCCTATTCTGATTCAAATATTTCTGATTCAAGCAATAATACGTGTTGACTGTTCTTTAACTCTCAACAGAATGAGAATTCTAGTTTTTTTTTTACTTTTAATTAACAGAAATTTAAAGGATTTTTTGTTAATGATTTTTTTTTTAATGTATAGGGTAGATTACAGGGCCCGGCAGTTTTTTTGTTGCATTTTTTCAATCTTCCCATTGCACCCAAACTGTAAAAGTTATCGATCTAATTATTTTTTCAATGAGTTGGTTTGAAAAATATGGGCTATGAACATGCATTTCAACCCTAAACCTATTCTCTATAATAGGCCCTCTTTTTCTAGGCGTGGTACATACATTTCACTATACGTTACAATATCGTGGATGTCTCTAGATCCCGTACTTAAATGCGAAAACATTCCCTTTTAGAATTTATTATTTTGAATCCCCTTTTCAGTAGATGATAGATTTGAACTATTCCAGGATCTCAGAATTTCATCTTTTTCTGAAAAAATATCTTATTATTATCATTATTTTAAACTCGGTTTTATCATAATAAAAAAGAACCTTTTCAACACTCAAAGGGGCATTTATTTTATGGTGTCCCTCCCGTGATAAAATGCCGTGTCCGATTCACCCTTAAGTACCCTTAAACCCTTTTTATGTTCAAGAATGAATGAAATAATCTTTAATCTTTGAAAACTGATTATTTATAATTGGCAACTGTCGAAATTAAACTAATTTTTTGAAGTTAGAATTACAAGGGTATCTTGCCCATTATTGTTCATATTAATGTTTAAAAGGTACCAATGTAAAATGAATATTGATTGAAATTTTAATGTAAAAAACCCTTCGAATTGTGTTTACCTCTTGAAACTCCAGTGCTGTTCAAAATCTGATCATACAGAACCTGCAATTTTTGATTAAAAAAACTAGGACTAGAGATATTTGGTACATATTTATGACTTGTTTGCTTCAGAAATGAAAGAGTGACTCTTCACACAATTTCTGACCCTAAAGTAAAAGTAAATTCAACCGCGTCAACCTTGTTGCACCGGCTAGTTCTATTGAGTGTCTGCTTTATTTAACCAAAGTCCGGGCGATACAGTAAAAACTGGGACCGGAAAGGTTGACCTGGTCCAGAAACGTACAACGGCTGCCCGTGTCTTACTAGAACCCCTGGCACATGCTAAAACCAAGAGTCTTCATCCTTGATGCGGCGAAATAATGTCTATTTTTGTATCTACCTTGTGTTTTATGCAGGACAAAATGCTTTAGCCGGGATTTCTTTCTTTTTTATTTGTTTAAATGCCAGTTTAGCATCCCCAATTGTTAAACTGGAATTCAAATAAAAAAGTAAAATCACCAAAAAATGTTTTTACAGGGTTTATAAATTTATTCAGTTCAAGTTCCACAAAAAATGTGGCTTTTTATGAAAACCCGCGAAATGTAAAATGTTACTTATTTGCTTTGGAACAAATAAGAAACTTTTTGTATACAAGATCATAAAATTGTGAGTAAAGCCCAGGGTAAAAACTCTCTCAAGAAAATCAAATAAATTTCAAATAAGTTGAGTTTGCCAAATCCTATATTGAATTGAAGAAAACAAATAAAGCATATACTTGAAACTTTTATTTGTATTTAATTCATCTTGGAGTTTCATAATTTAATTACTGATAATAATAACCTCATAATTTGCGTAAAGAAAATTGTTGAATCAGAAAAATTTCAAAAAACAAGTTCTTAAACTGATATTTATTTTGCTTTTTTTTACCCAATTTTTGTGTTAGTTCAGTCTGGATCTGTTTCCTACCTTATTTATTCTTAAAACATTTTCTTGATTTTTTGCCGTGTAATCAGATCTATCAGAGTCATCTTTTCTGTAATCACAGTATATTAGTACAGTACAGTACAGTACAGTACAGTACACTGTACTAGATATTAAAGGCCAGTAAAGGACAGTAAAGGACAGTACAATGCAGTACAGTTGAGTAGTCTACTGCAGTACAGTGCAAAACAGTAAAGTACAATTTAATGAACGCAGTAAAATGCAGTACATAATTAAGGCATATATGAACCCGATTACTGCAGGATCAGAACCAGTACAAGGAAAAAAGCCGATCTAGTGTTTACTCGTACAAGCCCATATTATGTACAATATATCCCTAATTATTCTCAAACAAAAATAAAATAACATACCCAGATTGAGTATGATAGTGTCTGGTCAATGCTATCATTTCAGTCATACTCTCCTTTAACCTTCTCTCACAGTTTTCTTCCTAAAAATAATAAAAAATATTAAAATTCAAAGTTTTTTAATTTAAAAATTTGCTTATATCCAGTTTTTTAAGTTATCAAAGTTGTTGAAGTTAATTAACCGAAAGTTTAAAGTTTCTCTCAGGAAAATGCCAGGATTTTCTTAATTCTTTTAAAATAATATTTTTAATTGAACTTACTAGAGAGAAAATGGAACCAAAAACTGTTAAAACGTGTTTATGAATATTTTCATTTTCATCTTTAAAAGAATTTATCAAAAATAGTTAAAATTTAGAAACAGAAAGCAAAACTGACTCGTTTAAAAAATGCATAAAATAAAGTATAAAATGGGTATTTTGTTATTGGAAAACATGAATTGCATTTTATGAGTTATTGACTCAAAGTTTTAAGAAAATTGTGCAAGTAATCCATTTTCTAAACTGCTCTAATCCTTTATTGTAAGAAAATATTTTCAATCAATAAAAATCTGTTTATTGGAATCATCTAAAACCTCAAGGTTTTCGCAGATTTAAGTAAAGTGTGATCGCTGTTCTGATGACTTTTAATGACAGAAAAAAAAAGATTGCCAACACATATTTTCGACGTAAGCCTATACCCTCTTTAATTTTTCGCGAACTCTCCCTTTAACCTTGATTAATTTGTTAACCTCTTCAGTCTCTCTCATAACCTGTTCAGTCTCTCTCATAACCTGTTCAGTCTCTCTCATAACCTGCTCAGTCTCTCTCATAACCTGCTCCCGTCAACAACAAGCAACTCACTCTCCCAAACCAGATCTAACCAGCTGACCCGGCTGTATNGGCAGACGACTTCAAGTAAAATAAATAGTAAAAAGTAATAATGTGATTAATACATGCATTTTTTAAATTGTAATTCGAATTTTATAAACCATGAATAAATATTTAGATTTAAAAAAAATTTTTAACCTTATACCTCACTTATTTTCTTACAAAATTAATTTAAAAAGAAAAGTGACAAAAAAAGATTTTAAGGGTACCTTAGGTTCACTTTTTAAAACAAGTGTCGCTTTAAAAATGTGAACAGTCCCTTTAAATAAATATATACCTTCTGTGCAATCCTAGCAAACTTGTCTTTCTGTTCTCTTATCTGATCAAACAGATAAGTTGGAGAATTCTCATTCTGAAATAATCAGCTTGTTTAGTAAAATTTAACACACAAAACATGACAGTTTAAAGAAGTCTTGAAGATTGTATTTCCCCTTCAAAGTAATTTATGGCATTCATTCATCAATCTAGTGAACAAGTTCTATGAATCTTGAAAAAAATATTACAAAATTCACCCTTGCCTCAAATTTCCAAATTGTGGTCTGTCTTTTATAAATACTTTTTTAATTACCAGGCGGAGTTAAACAACTTTTATTACAATTCATTAAAACAATATATAAATTGTCTTAATTTAAACAAACTTTTTCATATTCTGGTAGCTTTAAACCAAACAGGCTGGGGGGGGGNGGATCAGAGATAGTCAGGACAAGAGCATAAACAAAATATAAAAGCATATTGGCAACCCTTTTTAAATTTTTCAACTCAAAATTTGTATTTGGCCCAAATTCTTAAATAGAATTTCTTGGGTATATGCTCATAAAACCTCACAAATATTATATAATATTAATCTCATCAAGGATAAAAATGTAATAATGGAATTCTTAAACTCAATGAAATAATCTTGATGCACTCTTTAACTGAGGCCTGTTTTTTAGATCAATATCATGTAAATCTACTACATAATGATTACATAACATTGACAACATACATTATTTACAACTTTATTACGTAATTTGGCAAGCAGGGTAATAAATGTAAATCTACTTACATATTGAGCTTGCTGCTGACACGTGGAGAGTTTTCTCTTTAAGATTTCCATATCTAGATTCAATCGTATCATTATTCTTTATTCAAGTATTATGGGTAAAATTTCAGATGGACTTGAGTTTATGTCTGCGCAGTTTCAAATAAACCTTTGATAAAAATGTGTTAAATTAACAATTCTCTTCCATGCATCTTAAATAAGATACTAGAGAAAGTTTGTTTCCTACACAACGTTTTTCAAATCCGAACTTTTTAAACTTGCGTGTAAGATAATTTATTTCTCAATCAGGAAATTCAGCGCATTTTTATCTACTATACACGTGTCGTGTATACTGGAGGAAATACCTTACTTAATATCTAAATTTGACTTTTTTTGCTCGTCTGTCTATGGCTAAATAATGTCCAACGGCTAAAAAGATCGGGCCCATATTTTTTGTGACATTTCACTCGATTCCTGGCCTCTCCAGTAAAAACTAGTAAAAGAGAAAAACTTTGCGTTTAAAAAATTTGACGATTTTTAATTTTATAAATCTATCAATGTTTATATGAAAAATTCGCAAAATTTACAGTTTTACAATAGCAAAAAAAATGGCTGCTTCAAAGGAAAATAAAAACGCTTAATTTGTTGCTACAATAGGGACCCGAAGCACCCTAAAAGCCTAGTTCTTTTAAAAGGAAGGAAAAGTCTAGTTATCAGCAAATACGATCCGTCTTTTTTACCAAGCATTATTTCGATAAAAATTCGATAAATATACAGAAGTGAAATCTATCCGTTTAAATGTTAAAATAAATATTCTAAAAAGTTTTTGCAAATATAATTTTAATAATTACTTGGAAGAGTCTGATACCAGCTTACAAGCCCTTGACACTCGTGACGAAGAGCCTGGAACAAAAATCATCAATAAAATATATTCGATAAAAAAATATAAAATTACAAACAAAAATTGAAATAAAAAGATGAAAACCTGGAGATTGCCTGTGCAATGTCCCATAGCAGCGTGCACTGTGACTAGATTATCTCTAAATAGATTAATATATAGTCTTTTTATTTTCTTTCATTTATATCAAGCTTTTGTTTTAAGCAGCATAAACATGGAAACAAAGAGAAGCTTCACTTTAATACTTGTACAATTGTAATTTAAAAAAGCGGGTTAACAGTAAAAACTTTAAAAAAGCCTCTGCATTGTATTAATATAATCGCCGACCAGTATATCTGATTGCGCGGTTATCCAGAGGTGCAAAGAAGTGGGGGGTAGGGTGTGGAGGCCGGTGGCACCCCCCTATTCAACCTCCTTCGATAAACAGAAGGTTAGTTACCAAAATGTCAGGTTAGCAAATTATTATGCTCCTTTAGTAAATATAATTTATGAGTTAAGCGCAGCCAGTTGGAAATTTGTGGAAATTTAACACATTAAAAGTTGAAATTTGTGAAATTTTACATTGGATGAATTTTTATTTGTTACTTGTCACTGTAACTTAGAAAAATGTCTTTTTAACAGTTTTGAGCAACTTTGAAAGTGTTTAAATTTCCCTTTAAAACATACAGATACACAAGTGTTTAATGACTAACAATCCTATGGAACCACATTTAATGAATAGGAGGAGTAGTTTAACTACAAAGAAGGAGTTAAGCCACTTATCTTTTTCACTGGTTTAAAGAGAAGTGGTTCAACTCAGACTAAGTAGTTCTACTACTTTTCGCTATACATTAAATTTGGTCTAAGAAAAATAAAAAAGAGAAAGAATTTTTAATATTTTGTTGGATATTTTCTACAAATATATATATATATATATACATGTAAACCAATTACTCCTCTGTAAATATGCAATATACAATATGCATTGTGTCCTGCATATATTACATTTGTTTCAAGTAAACCTTGAAGAGAGTACGCTATTGTACTGTGTGCTATGTGCATTACCATACGTTTACAGCCAACCAAAATAAGCAAGTTCTCAGGAAAAAATATTGACAGTATTTTTTTCAATTACTGCTTTTAAACTGAAACTAGAAACAAGCACGTTGAAGTCTTTGAAATGTACATGCCCAAGACTAGAAAAAATTGAGTGGTGAAGTAAAGCCAAAGCCCAATGTATTGCAACTTGCAACACTTTAAAGCCGACGCGGTCTTAAAATCTGAAGCACATCTTTCAAACTTGTCTAGATCTCTGTGCCTTTGTCTTCCAGTTTATGAGAAAAGAAAAATGGTTTGACTCCAAATTTATAACCAAAACAAAATTCTACATCAAGAACCAAGAACGGTGGAATTCTTACCCTCTTCTTTCTATAATGTAACTGAGGATTTTACAGCTTGAAGCCAAATTATAAAAAAAGTTGCAAAAGTTAGCAATACATTTCAATTGTAACCATTACAAATCTTATAATGGGAAATCTTATCTAATAGAACAGAGACGACATTCATTCCACAGTTTTTGATCCTCACTGTACTCTCTTTATAGCTTCTTTTAACTACAAGGTGACTAAACAAGTTTATTTAAGCTTTTTAGCCTACTGCACTTACTTTTAAGGTTAAAACGGCATTTTAGAGCAAAATGTTTTATAAGTTTGGAAACACTTGTTAGTACAATAGAACAGTTTTTTCAGAAAACCTTTGAATATGGTAGAGGAACTCACTATACCTGAGATTTATACCGATGGAACTTACTGGAAATATACCTGAGATTTATACCGATGAAACTTACTGGAAATATACCTGAGATTTTTACCGATGGAACTTAATGGAAATATACCTGAGATTTATACCGATGGAACTTACTGGAAATATACCTGAGATTTATACCGATGGAACTTACTGGAAATATACCTGAGATTTATACCGATGGAATTTAATGGAAATATACCTAAGATTTATTACCGATGGAACTTAATGGAAATATACCTGAGATTTATACCGATGGAACTTACTGGAAATATACCTGAGATTTATACCGATGGAATTTAATGGAAATATACCTAAGATTTATACCGATGGAACTTACTAGAACTATACCTGAGATTTATACCGATGAGTTTAAGATTATGAATTCCATCATGTAATCTTACAAGACGATCCATTAAATAAATATAGAACTCATTCACATCCTTCAACACTTTCTGACCACGGTAAAATCTAAACAAATAAGTATTCACCCAATCTTGTAGTTTTTTGTGTATCATACTCCATTATTTTTAAACGTCAATTTGGCAATAACCAAAAAATAGGCCAGGTCCTGCCATTTTCAAAATTTATAATCCATATAAGTCCATTATTCCTCATTGATTATTACTTATAAGAATTTAATTCCTAAATTTGATAATTTATATTTGATATTTACTTCATGAATGTCCTAAACTTGTGTGTTTTTTTCTTAATTTTTTGTACAATTGCTTTCTTATTTCCGTTTAAAGCCGAATCGACAATTTTTTAAAATTTCCTTCTAAATGGCTAAGCCGGAAAATTTTTAAGTTTTAAATGTTATCTAAAGCCCGGATAAAAAAAATAAATTTTGAAAGATCTTAATGTCATAACAAAGAATGCTGAAAAGGAAAAGGAAAATTGGACACAAATTTTTTTATTAAAATAATATTTTTAGAATTTATATTCTAACACTGTTAGAAGTCAGGTAAAGAAAACACAAGGCTTAGTTTAAACTTTTACAAGAAGAATACTTCATTACAAAAAAGAAACTTGTATTTGTCTTTCAAATTGTTTTGCAAATACTATTTCAATGGCCTCTAATTAAGAATACTTTTTTACTATTACTTAAGAATACATTTGTAAAAAATATACAATTACTGAACAATTTTATACAATGTAGAACTGAAAAGAGACCCACTAGCTATAGTAGAAGACGACATTTATAGTAATCTTCTGTTTCAATTATGTTGTTATGAAGCAAATAGTTTTAACAGAAGCTTTAAAATCAACTTATTAATTGATATTGGTCTGCTTGTACTGTATAATTTATATGTTTGATGTTAAAAAGACAATTAAAAATAATAATAAACTAATAATAAACTTGAGATTATAAATCGTCATCCTATCGTCCCATTGGAACATGCATGGAAAGTTCTGGTTTTACAAGAACTTTTAAATACAAGAATAAATTATTTATATGTTGAAGGATTCAATGATTACGTATTAACTGAAATAATAAATATGTTATGTAATGAGTAATGATCAATGTTGTCTATTTGTGCATAATTTTGCATATTTTTCTCTTTTCTTTTGGAAACCTCCCGGGTAGAATCTAAGAGTCTGAAACCTAGTCTTAGACGCCGGGCCGACCTCCTCAGACCCTCTGTTTTTGGAAAAAAATATCAAATTTCACCAAATATATGTAATATGAGCAAAAACCATTAAAATATTTGAGCATTCCTCTCCCCATCCCTTTCTTCAAGCACCCCTCCATATGTCCCAACCCCAGTTTCTGCTGTTTCCCCCCAAGTCTGATAGAGGTCGTTGTTCAAGACTCTCTTCAGTTTTATTNAGGGAGATAATGGCCCCCTGCCGTGACAGAAACCCGACACCCATCCGTTTTGAGGAGAGACGGATTCAGGGTCTTTTCGGTCTAAAAACGACTCTCTTATTAGTACTAAAATAGAGTCGGGCCGGCGCCCGTTTTTGTGGTCGTGCGGGTCGTTTTCAGACTCTAAAACAGCGTCGCTTGTTCTATGCGGGCTGTATTTTCAAAAATTTATTTTAAAAATTTTAAACTACACCATTTATATATGTATTTATATCTTTCTGTGTGAATAAATCTTTATAATTATATAATAATTCCACAGTTTTTCATGGCCGGGTCCCACTTTAGATTGCAGATTTAAACAAATTTGTTCCCGCATTTTCTTTTTTCTCTGAAGAAGACGATTTTCATTATTACCTAACATTACACTTGTATAACTGCATTTGCTCTGTTCTAAGATGAGTCCTATATTCTTCCTTCTCATCTAGACACAGCTGTAGTTTCTCTTCACAATCCATATCAAACCTTGGAGAAAATTAAAGGGGAGGTGCATTTACATTTATAGAGTAGTAAATCCCATTAAACCTAGTGTATTTATATTTGATCAGAGTAGTAAACCCCATTAAACCTAGTGTATTTACATTTGAAGAGTAGTAAATCCCATTAAACCTAGTTTATTTACATTTATAGAGTAGTAATTCCCATTAGGCCTAGAGTATTTACATTTATAGAGTAGTAATTCCCATTAAACCTAGAGTATTTACATTTATAGAGAAGTAAATCCCATTACGCCTATTGTATTTATATTTGATCAGAGTAGTAAATCCCATTAAACCTAGTGTATTTACATTTATAGAGTAGTAAATCCCATTAAACCTAGTGTATTTACATTTATAGAGTAGTAAATCCCATTACGCCTAGTGTATTTATATTTGATCAGAGTAGTAAATCCCATTAAACCTAGTTTATTTAAATTTGAAGAGTAGTAAATCCCATTAAACCTAGTGTATTTACATTTATAGAGTAGTAATTCCCATTACACCTAGAGTATTTACATTTAAAGAGTAGTAATTCCCATTAAACCTAGTGTATTTACATTTATAGAGTAGGAAATCCCATTACGCCTATTGTATTTATATTTGATCTGAGCCCATTCTCTCCATAGAAAGTGGTCGTGTATTTCACGTACTTTGGGGGACGATATGTTGGCCGCTAGATGTCTCCTGCTAAATTCTTATCTGATAGATAGATAATAGATATTTCTCCGTACATTTTACGACCAAAATAGGAGACGTCAAGTTGTCGAACAATGTAGTTTATGGAAGGAACGGCCTCAGAGTAGTAAATCCCATTAAACCTAGTGTATTTACACTTATATAGTAGTAAATCCTATTAAATTTTTATCTGATAAACATTAACAAAGATAACGTCAATCCTACATTAATGGTGTTCAGTTCTGACAGTTGCCTTTATTGGCTCTACCGCTGAGTGCTGAGTACTGCATAAAATTAACAAACACTCATTTTTCAACGAAGATTGTTTAAAAAAAACTTACTTCATTTTGTTTTTAAATTTCTCCAGCTGGTCCTTGATACTAAAATAGAAAATGATATTTTCCACGCCATTAACCTACAGTAAAACATATAAGAAAATATTTCTGATGAGCTTCCAGATTTTCTTTTAATACAATAATGTTTTTTTTAAGGAATTTAAAATGGTAAAAGAATTATCGTTTTTTAAAGAAAATTTAGATGAAAATTTAAAGAAAGCTGAGAATCAAAATTATAAAATGTTTTTTTAAAATGATTGCTGTGCAGAGCAATAATAAGCTTTTTTGTATATAATATAATATATAATATATAATATATAATAAATATAATATAATAATATAATATGTTTCTATTTCGAAATTTACAACAGTATATTGTTACCATTTAAAAGTGGTATGAAATAATGCAAATCTAAAGCCTGAAACTGATGTGAGTAAATCTACAAAGAATAGAAGGAAATGTATTTACAAGTAAAAAATAAAAAATAATATAATACTATTGATCACGAAAAGCCTGAGCTCTCTGGCAGACTCTCCACCTTTCATTCCCTGTACAACAAGTTAATCTTCCGTCTTTCGACCCTTCGTGAATACTAACTTTCATTTTGGCCGATCCTTTTTCCTCCTACCTTGTGTCAAGTTGTGTTTAAAGCTTATCGGCTTGAATTTAAAATATAACTCCCGGTCCAATGGTGGTTTGGTTTTCTACTCGTTCAAATCTTCCAAACGTTCAAATCATGCGTTAAAAGCATGTTATCTAAGTTGGTATCTTTTTATGGATAAATCTCTCTGTACAATATACATGAGGCGACTTATCATCCATCCCACTGCTATTGTTGACTACAGTTTATTTACAAGCAAGCCTCTCTACAAGTTTACAATATCAAAGCTTTATAAAATTGAAAACTGTATTTACTGTTTCAATATACTTTTTACGTATTTACATATTAATGTAATATAATGTTCATAAAAACAAATTTTTTTAAGGGGATAAAGTAGTAATGCCAATGTCTTTGATTTTTTCATCTTTATTTAAAGTCAACTTTAAAAATTTCAAACTTGTAAAGAGAAAAAAGATTATATACCTTACAAAGCTTGCTCTATCTTCCTTCAGTTTTGTCTTATATGTTTCTATAATTCTCTGAAAATATAAATATTTATAAGAAGGTGTACCAATGCAAACTTCACTGATTCTTTTTGTTAGATGTCGCTGTGAGTGCTCTGGAATATTGGGAGGACGTCCCCCTCCCTGTAAAACTGAAGGAATGTCCCAACACTATACAATTTTAAGCTGTAGAGAAGAGTTTACAAATTAGGCTAATCTTTTTCATATTAGAATTTTTACAATCTTTATTAATAATAAATATACTCTCTGAAGTTCATTCTTAAGTACCTGCATATTATTCATAAGCATTCCGAGATCCCCTCCAATGTTATTTAATCTGTAACCATAGATTTCATAGATAGATAGAAAATGAGATGAACTCATAAGTTTATATCTGCTTAAACTCTGGAATAGAGAGATTGCTGCTGTTTCATAGTTCTGGATCAGTCCAGGGCTCAAAGTATAAGGTATAGAAGTCTCAACAACTCAGAATGATAACATATTTTCACGAGAAGCCAGGCTTCTACAAAGGGAGTTTTACCGACAGCGCGCAAGGTGCGGCATAATGCCTGAGTCCACGCAGTTTGAGAAAAAGGGTTAAAATCACCATTTTGTGTAAATGCGTAAGAGCTGTGAAAGATCATTAAGGTTCTTAAATGATAAAATTTTGCAAAAGAGAATGGTATAAGGTTACTCAGTACTACAAATGTTTAGAATTACCAACTTACCGAGCACCATAGGCAATTATTAAGAAATAAAGAAATTGAGTCTTTCCCACAAACTCAAATTTTCTTATCCCTATATCTTTGCAACCTGATAGTTTAAACCTTTTTATATTTCAAACTTAGATTATTTGATCTAATTGAACTCATAGCTTAAAATATCTAAGGTCTACTACATAGGGTTTCAAATATATAGGGATCAGAAAATCAGAGCTTGTGGCAAAGACTCAATTTCTTTAAGGGTTTGATCGTTCAGGTTGGGTTAAATATCTTGGTGCAAAGAGCCCAAATTTATACCCTATAGTAACGTTGGTACCGAACCAAACCATTATGGTTTATATCCTCAGATATCCCTTTCCTTAACCTTCATTTCTCGACTTCTTGCGATTGCGGAACCGAATATCTACCTTTGTTCCGTACTTTCTCATTTGGGCTCTAGATCTGGTCTACACTGTACCGGTTGAATCCTTGCTTATTCTATGATTTATATGCCAGTTTTTTATCTGTCTTGTATTTTAACTAATGCGCAGTATGATTTTATGATTTAAATTCGTTTCTAAAAATCGCCGTTTTATATATAAAGATTATACTAATTATACTTATTTCTAATTAGAAAAAACCACGGTTCATTAACTCCTTTTTGCAGAATAAATGAGAGGCATCAACCTAGGCGAACCAGCGTGATGGACGACTTGGCCTCATTCAGCACGGAAGAGTTGGGTTCCGAACTCCGCCAGTCAAAGCGGTCCCACTTTCGAATTTTATAAGATTAAGATGGAGTTAATTGTATCACTACGCAGCAATCCTTATTCAGATTTTAGTTTAGTCGATTTGTTGCGTAACAGCTGTTAGACTCTCAATTATTTTGTCCATTAAAAATGACCATGAAACAAAGACTTTTTTTTTTTTTTTTTTTTTTTTTTAAAGAAAGTTATCCGTAGCGCTCTGTAGCATCTAGTAGGTAGATTTATTCTTGAAGGGAGAGACCGGATAACATGGTAGTTGAGCTGAGAGTGCAGTATTGTACAGATTTATTGCAGGATTCATTTGAGAACTATAATGACATTAATGTAATTGTTCTGGACGAGCACAAATTCAATCTTTAAAATCCTTCTAGCTTACTGTAACATTTTTCATAGTCGCTATCAAATAATCTTTAAAAACCGTTTCTCAAAATTATTCCTCCAGAATGGACAATTCAGGAGGATTTTAAAGATTAAATTTTTCACTCTTGCTGAACAATTATACACCGTAAAAACGTCTCATAGGTTTAGGTCAATAGTTTATCATTCTGAACAGCTACGGGAAATTTCCGGAAGGGGTCCAAGGTGACTCGAAAAAATGCCTAGTTCATAGTTAGTCAAAATATTTTTCTTGGTTTTATCTTTCTATGTGATCTATTCCTTTGTTCATCATGCTTTTTTAACTCTGTCATATTATTCTTAACACTTGTATATGTATCTTCTAGTTGGAAATATTTGGCGTTAAACTCCTGAAACTCCAGTTTGAAGTGCCTTAAAAAACATATTTTGGTTTTATTTTTTGCTTTCAAAATTTTGTTGTAAACTTCACTTTGAAATCATCTGATGACCTTCAGTTAGAAAGTTAAATAAACAAAATTTTCTGAACAAAAATCTAAAGAAAATGGTTAATTTCCTTTAGGACCATATGACGTCAATCAATTTCAGCTTAATGTTTAACTCCCATCTTTGCAAAGAGGGTCACTTGAAATTATGCTTACAGTTTTTTAAAACCGCTCCAATTCTTGATTTTCAGCATAAGTGTTTTTATTTTAAAATGAGTGTTCATCTGGCGTATAAATACAGTGTGTAATGAGCTTGTTTTCGTTTAAAAATTAGAACCTAATATGGTTGAGACGTTGACACGTTATTAGAGACAATAAAAAGCCCATTATCTAAACCAAAGACAATTACAACATAAAATACAATAATCAGAAATAAATATTGTGTGCAATTCAAAAAAAAGGTTTTCATTGGTATTATTTTTTGTGTAAGATTGGTTAATTTTGATAAAAATTTACCTAATCGTATTTTCAACATGTTCTAGAGATTTGTATAACTGCATTACTTCTTTCTCCTTTTCTTTCCGCATTAATCTCTCTAGTTCCAAATTCTAAAAAAAGAGTTCTTGTGAATATTTGTATGTTATAGATTACACAGGATTATGGTTACCCACAGTTTATAGGTTGAGGGTTTAGAGTCGACTAGAGTATATTAAGTTATTGTTCTTTAATTTATGGTTTCCTACAGCTTTAAACTTTTTTATTCAGACAAACCATTTACATATACTAAAATATATTCAAAGCAAAAATCCAAGGACCAAGATCATAAAGTCCGTTATTAATGTTTCATTCTTTGAGGGTAACCCTGCACAATGTAAGCAAACATAAAGGAATTAAGATTATTGGATCTTACAAAGTGCAACTTTGAAATATCTACGACATTGGGTTGCAAAGAAATATGGATTAGAAAATCAGAGTTTCTGGCAAATACTTAATTCCTAATATAAAAAAAATGGTTTACATTAGTAAGGAATAAAGCTCGGCATGGTACTGAGATGGTTTTGTAAGGAATATTTTTTATCCAAATATTTATTAAAAATACTATCAATAATTAATAGTAAAGACAAATGTCGTACATTCCTTAACATTCATGGTAACATTTATTAAAAATATCATAGATGAGACCCATAAAACTAAGGAATAGGAAGACAACTGTAAGACTCAGGCCCAGTTTGTGTTGTGGTATCTCACAGGATCCCAAGAAAGGTTTATAGTTGGTTAGAAGTTTAAAATGTTGCCTTTTCTAGGGGAATCCTTCATGAGGGTACCGTTGTAAATCGGGCATGGCCTTTTTAGTATGGAGGTTCACTTATAGTTACGCTTACAGTCCCTTTAAAAGCCTCGATATTATATATTTACCGACTGATAAGATTGTAACTTCTGTATAAGCCTGGTAAGATAATCTCTTCTAAACGCTTGTACAGCTCCCTTGTACTGCTGCAGTACACTTAAACTGTTATCCGCCAGCTTCTCCATCTCATGTACACGGTATGTACAGGCCAGGTAATCTTCCTTGTACAAGTTTTCATTTTTGTACATATTGTAAATTTTGTGAGAATCTTCTTTCACATCCTCTGCACAAATATATAATATAATGTTATAATTATTTTAATTTTAGGGTATCAAAAAAACCAAATTTGGAAATTTTTAGCAATGTAAGGTGTTGCATTGTTAATCACTAGAATTTAAAGACAATTAAATTAATGTAATTAATATATCTATGGTATAATAATGAGTACATTATTATTTCTTAACAATTTTTTAGAAGTCGTTAACATTCAAATTCCAAGTTTACACATAGTGCAATAGCATACATATATGTATTAAAAACCTACAATAAATTCATTTTGAAGTATAAAATTAAATTTTACCTAAACCGTATTTTATCTTTACAAAATCCACATTTTTCGTCTTAATAGTGTCATTTAACTTCCTTTGTAATCCAGTATATTTTGATCCAAAAGTTTTCATCTCTTTCACAAAATGAGTTAAGTAATCTCCTATTTTTTCCAACTCATCCTCGTTCATTCTGAACAATTTGAAATTTGAAATTAAGCCACAAGCCATTAAACTTCCCCATTATATTCATATTTGCGCAAAAATATCTGAATTAAAATGTAAATGAAAATATATAAATTAAAATGTAAATAAAATTATAAACTTTCAAGAATAAATGAAAATATGTCTTTTTTATTGTTAAAAAAAAAATATTTGCATGTTTTCTTAAAACATTTTAAATATATGTAAAACATGCGTTTTTATTTTGAATGTGAAGAAAAAGGTTAAACAAAAACTGATATTATTGTGAACTATTATTAAAAAATAATTGGATTGGATCAAAGAATGATGATAATTAACGAAAGACAACTCTCATTATTTTTTAAAACTTTTGTCCTCCTTTTGTCCTCTTAGTACATTATTAGAAATAGGATTTCAAATATTTAAACAAAAATATTCATGGTTTTCATCAACATTTTAGGGCTGCATTGACACTATATCACGCTTTAAAAACTATGACAATTAAACAGAAGTAATTCAGTAAAAATTGTTTTTTTTTTAATAGAATATTTAATATCACAGTTCTACGAAAGAATACAGTTTTAAAATGCTGACTCAAATATCGAAAAACGTTAATTTATCGTTAATTTTTACAACGTTGCTTGAAAAAAGTTTGTATGTGAACGAAATGGAAAAGTCGTTGAGCCCAAATTTTTCATTCAGCTGCAAAGTACGCAATTTTTGGGCTTTTATAAATAGGTAAGAAAAAACACGCAAAATCCGCAAAATGTGCAATAATTATGACGTAAATTCTGTGAAAAAATGAGCAAATTGCGTGAAGGGAAAAGTTTAAGAGCCAAACTAAATGATAATAATCTCAAATTAATTTTGCCTGATGGATTGCTGTTGTCTCATGATAGTAAGGGACTGTTCCTTGTTCTTCTGTTGAAGCATTTTCATCTTTGAAATTAGTTTAACGATGAAATCCTCTCTGAATCGCTGAGCTACAGTCCGGATTGTGTTTACTAAAATAATATTTATACATACAAGGTGTCATAAATATAACGTGTTTTTAGGTACTGCGGCTCTAATCATGCTGCCATTTTTGACATTTTGGACACCAGGAAGAGGTCTGTAGCATAAAAACAGAGGGAGTTATGAAACAAATACAAAAAATCGAACCATAATGACTTTTTGTATGATTGAAAATGAATGAGTGAGCTTTTTAGGACTTGTAAAGTTGTAAACTACTAGGATATTTTTAAAAATACTTTAGCTTTAGCCTTTAAAAATGTTTTTGTTGTTTTATTTACTAAAAAATGTAAATTATTACCTAACATCATTGACGTCTCAAACTTTGACCGATAAACATCCAGATTGTTTAAACAAAGGTTAAACTTATTCTGATCCACAGCTGATCTTTTTACAGTGTTATACTTGTGCAGTACCATCAACATACTGTCTTTAAAATCTTTCAGCTTCCGGGACACTATATACACAATATGTTAAACTTATAAGAGATCAAATTATATTGTAGATTCCGCCATATTTTGATATTTTAAAGTTTTACATAGACATAGACATGGAGATTTAAAATATGATATGTTATTTCTTCTGTCTTAAGCATTAATTCAAAAAAAAAGGTTAAGGCACACTAAGGGGCTAGAGCCATAATATCAAGTAACTCTCCATTTATAGAGTTGCATGTCTAATAGTTTCCCTAACCCTTTTTTCCAAACAGGACTGAATGAGACAGCTTTATTTTAAAGATAAAAAATTGTTAGATTCAATTTAGGTGTCTTAAGAAAGTTATAGTTGCGGCAAGATTTAAGGAATTTTTCAGAATTTAATTCTTTTTTAGATGAAAAAAAAACGACGATATCTTTCTGATTGTTACTCAGATAGTTGCTTGAAGGGTACCATTACAAATCAGCCATTTTAATATTCGTTAAACGGAGAGTCATTTTATAGTATGGATTATCTATGTGTGGTAAGTTCCCAATTCATAAATTCTTAAAATTATACAGCCCAGAGCTAGTACCATGTTCAAAAACAACTAAACAATTTTTTTTCTTTTTTTTTCGATTTTTTGTAAAACAAATTTACCTGTATTTAGACCAGGTATTTGCTCTATCCTTGTCTTGTTTGAATCTAGAGACTAGAGAGGTTACCTGTATCAAGAACAGTATCTGCCTTCTCCTTGTCTTGCCTGAGTCTATAGAGACTAGGGAGGTTCACCTGTATTAAGACCAGTATCTGCCTTCTCATTGTCTTGTATGAGTCTGGAAACAAGGAAGTTTTACCTGTATTAAGACCAGTATATCTGCTCTATCCTTGTCTTGTTTGAGTCTGGAGACAAGGTAGGTTACCTGTATTGAGACCAGTATCTGCCTTCTCCTTGTCTTGTCTGAATCTAGAGACTAGGGACCTGTATTGAGACCAGAATCTGCTCTATCCTTATTTTGTCTGAGTCTAGAGACTAAGGAGGTTTACCTGAATTAAGACCATTATCTTTTCTATCCTTGTCTTGCCTGAGTCTAGAGACTAGGGAGGTTCACCTGTATTAAGAACAGTATCTGCTCTATCCTTGTCTTTTCTGAGTCTGGAGACAAGGTAGGTTTACCTGTATTAAAACCAGTATCTGCTCTATCCTTGTTTTGTCTCAGTCTAGAGACTAGGGAGGTTCACCTCAAGCATCTGCCCTCTCCTTGTCTTGCCTGAGTCTAGAGACTAGGGAGGTTTACCTGTATTAAATCCAGCATCTGCCTCTCCTTGTCTTGCCTGAGTCTATAGACTAAGGAGGTTCACCTGTATTAAGACCAGCATCTGCCCTCTCCTTTTCTTGCCTGAGTCTAGAGACTAAGGAGGTTCACCTGTATTGAGACCAGTATCGGCTCTTTCCTTGTCTTGTCTAAGTCTGGAGACTAGAGCGGTCAAACCATCAATCGTATCCTTACTCCTCCCCGCCTCTGATACCAGGGATTGTATTAACTCCTCCTGACATACCAGATTTTATAAATGGTGAGATGTAGTTGAACTTCATAGACGTAACTTCTCTTGTGGACCGGATTAGGCTTGAAGGGACTCTAAGTGTAATTTCAAGTGAGCCTCCATGCAAAGATGACTTTGTCTGATCAAGTATTCATCCATATTTTTGTTAGCTTTTAAACTGTTGATTTTCATTTTTGGTTTCCCAGCAAAAACGACTTTTGCATTTTTGTGAATACGAAATTCAAAGAAATGAACACTTTCTGAAACACATTAACGACGTTATTCTCAACATTTTTGATTAGATTAAGGTTTGAAGGGTACCGTCTTAAATCAGAAATAGTTATCTTTGTATTGAAGGTCACTTAAAATTACACCCAAAGTCCCGTTCAACGTTCAACTGGCTATGTATCTCTTGTTATTCACCCTTGGTTAAAGAACAAGCACTATTAAAGTGTACAACTTAATAAACAGTTTAAATGTTGTTTGTTGAATTCCAGGGTTTTATAAGTATAACTTAGATTGAAGATAACATGTTTATTGTTTAATTACATGTTGAAAACATTAAACATATTTTAATTTTCTGTTCTTTCATTAATGTAATCAATTTCAGAAAGAGAGTTAAAAATTAATATTTTTTATTTAAATGTTGTAATAAACTAATCCAGATTTCTAACTTGCATTTTTTCATACTTAACCTATAAAAGAACCTATTTAACATTCCTAACAGCCTTCTCAATAACGTTCTTACAATTTTAAAACGTTCCTTACAACCTACCCAATAACGTACCTACACTTTAAAAATGTTCATAACAACCTAGCCAACAACGTACCATTACAATTTAAAACGCTCCTGACAGCCTAGCCAATAACAAACCTACAATTTAAAAACGTTCCTAACAGCCTAGTAAATAGCGTACCTCTAATTTTGAAACGTTCCTAACAACTTACCCAATTATAACTTGCCTACAATTTTTAAACATATCTAATAGACTACCTAACAACGAAACCTATAAAATTTAAAAGGTTCCTAACAGCCTAGTCAATAGCATACCTACACTTTAAAAACGTTCATAACAACCTACCCAATAACGTACCTACACTTTAAAAACGTTCATAACAACCTAGCCAATAACGTAACTACAATTTTAAAAATAGCCTACCTAACAACGTACCATACAATTCAAAACGCTCCTGACAGCCTAGCCAATAACAAACCTACAATTTAAAAACGTTCCTAACAGCCTAGTAAATAGCGTACCTATAATTTTGAAACGTTCCTAACAACTTACCCAATAACTTGCATACAAATTTAAACATATCTAATAGACTACCTAACAACGTACCTATACAATTTAAAAGGTTCCTGACAGCTAAGTCAATAGCGTACCTACACTTTAAAAACATTCCTAACAACCTAGCCGATAACGTACATAAAATTTACAATATAAAAACAATCATCTCATTTCAGAGTTCTAAAATTTTTAATTAAAAAAGATTGTCGAAATGAAAGGTTTGGTATAAGTAACCTACAGCCGCCATGACACCCAGATATCTCTCAGATCAAACGTTTCGACACAAAAGAAATGTTATCTGTCGAGAATAGAACGATTTTCAAATACCAACCCGGGCAAACCCAACGTTTCAACAATAGAGAATACAACCACTGGTTCAATTAAAAACAAAGTCACTCCAATCTCAATAATATATGCTTTGGGGAATAAACTCCGCTGTAGTGATTTAACAAACGGTTAAGATTTATAGGCAAGACTCAATGACGTAATTCAGCATAAGAAATGCAATTTTTTTTCTTTCTCTTTTCAACCTCTCCATATTTGAATTGTAAAACAAATTCGTTTTCCTCAATTTCTCTTCAAAAATTGAAATGATGATTAATTTAAGATTTAAATCTAATGCAAAAAGTTAAATTGAAGATGATGTTTACCTGGATTAAGAACAGTATCTGCTTTAAAATAATTATTTAACCAGGTAATTTTCTGCACATAGAATTTTGTGCAAATCGTTTAAACTTTCAAGAGATCAAAAGCTAATTCGGTTCAAGTAATTGAAATTTCTCATTAATTTCATTCGTTCAGGGGGGGATATTTTCTTCATATGGTAAGTTCCCAATTCATAAATTCTTAAAATTATACAGCCCAGAGCTAGTACCATGTTCAAAAACAACTAAACAATTTTTTTTCTTTTTTTTTCGATTTTTTGTAAAACAAATTTACCTGTATTTAGACCAGGTATTTGCTCTATCCTTGTCTTGTTTGAATCTAGAGACTAGAGAGGTTACCTGTATCAAGAACAGTATCTGCCTTCTCCTTGTCTTGCCTGAGTCTATAGAGACTAGGGAGGTTCACCTGTATTAAGACCAGTATCTGCCTTCTCATTGTCTTGTATGAGTCTGGAAACAAGGAAGTTTTACCTGTATTAAGACCAGTATATCTGCTCTATCCTTGTCTTGTTTGAGTCTGGAGACAAGGTAGGTTACCTGTATTGAGACCAGTATCTGCCTTCTCCTTGTCTTGTCTGAATCTAGAGACTAGGGACCTGTATTGAGACCAGAATCTGCTCTATCCTTATTTTGTCTGAGTCTAGAGACTAAGGAGGTTTACCTGAATTAAGACCATTATCTTTTCTATCCTTGTCTTGCCTGAGTCTAGAGACTAGGGAGGTTCACCTGTATTAAGAACAGTATCTGCTCTATCCTTGTCTTTTCTGAGTCTGGAGACAAGGTAGGTTTACCTGTATTAAAACCAGTATCTGCTCTATCCTTGTTTTGTCTCAGTCTAGAGACTAGGGAGGTTCACCTCAAGCATCTGCCCTCTCCTTGTCTTGCCTGAGTCTAGAGACTAGGGAGGTTTACCTGTATTAAATCCAGCATCTGCCTCTCCTTGTCTTGCCTGAGTCTATAGACTAAGGAGGTTCACCTGTATTAAGACCAGCATCTGCCCTCTCCTTTTCTTGCCTGAGTCTAGAGACTAAGGAGGTTCACCTGTATTGAGACCAGTATCGGCTCTTTCCTTGTCTTGTCTAAGTCTGGAGACTAGAGCGGTCAAACCATCAATCGTATCCTTACTCCTCCCCGCCTCTGATACCAGGGATTGTATTAACTCCTCCTGACATACCAGATTTTATAAATGGTGAGATGTAGTTGAACTTCATAGACGTAACTTCTCTTGTGGACCGGATTAGGCTTGAAGGGACTCTAAGTGTAATTTCAAGTGAGCCTCCATGCAAAGATGACTTTGTCTGATCAAGTATTCATCCATATTTTTGTTAGCTTTTAAACTGTTGATTTTCATTTTTGGTTTCCCAGCAAAAACGACTTTTGCATTTTTGTGAATACGAAATTCAAAGAAATGAACACTTTCTGAAACACATTAACGACGTTATTCTCAACATTTTTGATTAGATTAAGGTTTGAAGGGTACCGTCTTAAATCAGAAATAGTTATCTTTGTATTGAAGGTCACTTAAAATTACACCCAAAGTCCCGTTCAACGTTCAACTGGCTATGTATCTCTTGCTATGGATTAAATCTGGTCCCTGATCCTTCAGCCGCGCAACTAGTTTATTCGACGCGGCATTCTTCTTCTCCGACATTTTGGCAATAATGCTGTCAAACAGTTGAATTTCTTTAAAATTGATTCGTTCCATTTGATCCCGCATCTGCTTTAACATGGTCACTGTTCCGTCGTCTGAGGCTGGCGCAGTAAGTTCCAGATCTATAAAAACATTTGGTTTAACGTTGCTATATTTTACAATTTTGCTGCAGTGAGAACCAGAAAATTCCGGAGTAGAAAGATGACTTTCAGATTAAATTTATGAATTTAAATAGTCAAATGAATATGATGAACAGCAATTATGCGGACAAAACAGACCCATTTCACTTAATGGTCGAATTATTTAGTTAATAGTAAAGCTATATACTTCCTACGTCGTCAAATTCACGTAATTTTTGCTTGAATGTCGTCTCCATATTCCACAGTTTTCTGGTTCTAACTGTACATTGCCCCATAAAACTGCGGAACAGAAAGACGACCTTTGAACAATCTTACGGAAATAATCATGAGGTTTATAATAAATCGAACGATCTGAGGGGTTGAATTTCAATTTGGGTTTCTGACTAATGATGAGTTGGCTTACAACATGAGCAAGTGTAAAGAATAGGAGAGAACCAAGATATTGTAAGAAGAAAAGAAATTATTCTGTACAGTTGTCTCTTAAAGTTTTATCCTTTGTGGTTAACCAATTGTACTATAAAAATGTTAGTTATATTTATTCAAAAATTCAAGATTTTCTTTATATTAAAACCCATTAATGTTTTATCTTTAAAATTAGTTCAAACGCAAGATACATTTAAACTAATTAATTTTAAAAAAACTGTATACGTAAAGTTAATACGGCCTACTCTTTATTTATTAAAAGTGGCACAACTGATTCCCAGCTGAACCCTTTAAAGCTGTGTAATGTATATGAGAATGAATGAGATATCTATACTTATACATTTGAAAATGTATTATTTTTAATATTGGTTCGTCTTTTAATGCGACTTGCGGATTTCTTCTACAGAAATAATTAAGGAAATTGCCAGACACACATTCCCGGCTAAACAAATCAGCGATCAGAAAGAGATTTAGAGAGAAGGGGCCGATACAGGGGGAGGGCAACAGAACATTCGCACCCCCCTGAGATTTCAGAATAGCTTCTCAATAGCACTTAAGGGAAAGAAACCCTAGTGCAAAGCAGGAAAAATAGCTATCTTAAAAAAAAAATTCCGAAATCTGTTCCGAAATAAATCTAGCACCCCTCTCACTTAAATCCTGTATCTGCCCTTGTTAGAGAGCAACATTGTGAATCAGGCATTCTTCTCATTAAATTAAACTTAAAGTTGCTTGAAAATACGTCTACAGTCCCTTTAAGTTGAAGTTTAATTGTTTAAAATGCAAGATACCTTTGGGCTCGAACTCCTGTATACTTGAAACAGAAATCTTGCTAAAAATGTATATTGAATTAATAACATGTATTCCTTTTTACTTCTTCATTCTTTCAAATAAGGAAAAACAATTCCTGGAATAGAAATTAAGGAAAAGATAATCTCGGCCCGCTAAAACCGAGACGAGGGCTGCAACTAGAACAGTCTATGGGGCCGAGCACTGTGGCTAGGATAGGTCAGAGGACTAAGCTCTACTGGAAGTAAAACTGCAAGGACTATATATTTCCCCAAACGTTAATTTCTTGAAATTTAAGAAATGTCTTTATCAATATAATTTTCCTGAGTGTTTGTTTTAACCCTGATTCTGAAGTTTTATAATCTTGCACCAATGCTGTTAGTTTCTTGATGTCACCTTGACAGCTCACGTTATCTTTGTATGACTCCGCTGTCTGGATTTCAAGCCGAGCTATCAAATCTTTCATCTTTACCCTTCAAAACCAGTTGTAAAACGTTTCTTTTTTAAAATGAAAAAATAAAATTTGGAAGTAATCCAGTAGTTTCAAATCTGTTATCCCTATATTAGTTTTTTTTACAATTAGTCAAATAGGACAAAAAGGGTTAAACATTTTTTTTATTTCATATGTTTTCTGTTCCCTTGAAATTTGGCAACATATGTAGGGTCTCATTAAATTAGAAGATTTAAGAACCAAGTTTTTCACTGCTTTGCACTGCATCTTAATTTTCATTTCAAAATTTTACAATCTGCCTTCCTCATGCTTTCAAGATTATTCATCGTCAGCTTAAAGGACTGTTCACAGGGATTAACCTCTCCTGCATTAATTAATAGATTGTTACCATTTTATTATAATTCTAAACATTCCAAAAATGTAATTTAAACAATAATCCTCTAGACTCAAGGCTTTATAAATGGAAACTAAACCTTAAAAAATTTAAATAAATTTGTTTGAAACAAATCCTTTTAATCATTTTTATATCTTTTCTTCTCTTATAAAAGAAATTGTCAATGAATTTTAACAATTATATTCTCTTTTGAATAATTCGATAAAAGAAAAGAATTAATACTGAACCTGGAAGACCGTGGGTATTTTTAGCTCCATATCCATAGTCAATTATCTTCTTTAACTCAGAATTATCTTCTTTTAAGTTTTTTAACTTTTCCATCTGATCATTATTTTTTTCAGGGCTTATACATCCAGAATATGAAGTCTGCAATTACAGGGATTTATATATTTCCCCAACCCTTCACAGAGGGGGGAATGATTAAAGTCTAATTTAAGTGACTCAAAGAAGTTCGTAGTAAGATTTTGACTCCACTGGAGACCACCGGAGGGATTTTATTTTCACTGGAGGGGTTTCAAAAAATGCCTTTTACAATTAAACTTTACGCAGGATGATTTACATTCCACTGGAGGGATTCAGATGTCCTTCCTGGGGGGTTATAATTCCACTGGAGGGATTCAGTTATCCTTCCTAGGGGTTTATAATTCCGGGATTCAGTTATCCTTCCTATGGGTTTATAATTCTACTGGAGGGATTCAGATATCCTTCCCGGGAGGTTATAATTCCACTGGAGGGATTCAGTTATCCTTCCTAGGGGTTTATAATTCCACTGGAGGGATTCAGATATCCTTCCTAGGGGTTTATAATTCCACTGGAGGGATTCAGATATCCTTTCTGGGGGTTTATAATTCCACTGGAGGGATTCAGATGTCCTTCCGGAGGGTTATAATTCCACTGGAGGGATTAGGTTATCCCTCCTAGGAGTTTAAATTCCACTGGAGGGATTCAGATATCCTTCATTGGGAGTTATAATTCCACTGGAGGGATTCAGATATCCTTCCTAGGGGTTTATAATTTCACTGGAGCTATTCAGTTATCCTTCCAAGGGGTTTATAATTCCACTGGAGGGATTCAGTTATCCTTCCTGGGGGTTTATAATTCCACTGGAGGGATTCAGATATCCTTCCTAGGGGTTCATAATTCCACTGGAGGGATTCAGATATCCTTCCTGGGGGTTTATTATTCCACTGGAGGGATTCAGTTATCCTTCCAAGGGGTTTATAATTCCACTGGAGGGATTCAGTTATCCTTCCAAGGGGTTTATAATTCCACTGGAGGGATTCAGATATCCTTCCTGGGGTTTTATTATTCCACTGGAGGGATTCAGTTATCCTTCCAAGGGGTTTATAATTCCACTGGAGGGATTCAGATATCCAGTCCAGGGGGTTATAATTCCACTGGAGGGATTCAGTTATCCTTCCTAGGGGTTTATAACTCCACTGGAGGGATTCAGATATCTTTCCTGGGCGTTTATAATTTCACTGGAGCTATTAAGTTATCCTTCCAAGGGTTTTATAATTCCACTGGAGGGATTCTGTTATCCTTCCTAGGGGTTTATAACTCCACTGGAGGGATTCAGATATCCTTCCTGGGGGTTTATAATTCCACTGGAGGGATTCAGAAATCTTTCCTAGGGGTTTATAATTCCACTGGAGGGATTCAGATATCTTTCCGGGGGTTATAATTCCGCTGGAGGGATTAGGTTATCCTTCCTAGGAGTTTAAAATTCCACTGGAGGGATTCAGTTATCCTTGCTTTGGGTTTATAATTCCACTGGAGGGATTCAGATATCCTTCCTGGGGGTTTATAATTCCACTGAAGGGATTCAGATTTCCTTCCTAGGGGTTTATAATTCCACTCGAGGTATTAGGTTATCCTTCCTAGGGGTTTATAATTCTACTGGAGGGATTCAGTTATCCTTCCAAGGGTTTTATAATTCCACTGGAGGGATTCAGATATCCTTTAGTGGAATTATAAACCCCTTGGAAGGATAACTGAATCCCTCCAGTGGAATTATAAACCCCCAGGAAGGATATCTAAATCCCTCCAGTGGAATTATAAACCCCTTGGAAGGATAACTAAATCCCTCCAGTGGAATTATAAACCCTTAGGAAAGATATCTGAACCCCTCCAGTGGAATTATAAACCCCTAGGAAGGATAACTGAATCCTTCCAGTGGAATTATAAACCCCTAGGAAGGATAACTGAATCCCTCTTGTGGAATTATAACCCCACAGGAAGGACATCTGAATCCCTCCAGTGGAATGTAAATCACCTTACGTAAAGTTTTGAATTATAAAAAGCATTTTTTCAAACCCCTGCAGTGAAAAAGAATTCCCTCCGGTGGTCTCCAGTGGAGTCAAAATCTTACTACGAACTTCCGTGACTCAATTTAAGTCGACTATTGTTTGTTAGGTCTGAAGGCCTGGGTGGAAATGGAAAATTGTACATCAGAGAGAAGTTTTTTATTTCTTTTTGATACTTTTTAACCAAAATTTTAATTTTTTTACATACATAAGTTTTTGTAGGAAAAACTTTTTTTCGAAAGGGAAATGGTTTTTGAGAAAATATACACCCGTGATTAGATTTTTTGCAAAAACGTTAATTGTATCATTTATTCTCAAGGCAAATTTCCATTCATTCTAATTTGTCTCAGATAAATTACATTCCTTTGTAAAAAGCTGGTTTTCACCTGGGCCAGCATAAATAAAAAAAGTAATTGAATTCCGGTAGGATTTTTCATTTAACAATACATTGAATAATCATAGAAATGCGTAAGCCTGGTACAAATTTAAAGTTTTCGCCTCAGCTTTCTTCTTGTAAACAAGATGGATTAATATGATAAGGGAAACATTTGTTATTTTAAGCTTTTAAACTATTAAATCTGACGGATCTTGTGTTTGAAATATCAGGTTGCAAAAAATGATATACGGATTAAAAGATTAGAATTTGTGTCGAGTTTTCAATTCCTTTGGTGCTTACCTTTAAATTATTGTAATCCGTTTTCAATTGGGTATTTTTATTTTTTAGAGCTAGATTTTCCTCTTCTACTTGCTTCAACTTCTTTCTTAAAAGTGATGCTTCATTTAAAAAAACATGGATTTCATTTAAAGACATTATTCTTTTAGAAAATTTTTAAACCAGAACATGATTATAATAATATGATTATGATGCAATGAGGCAATGCGGCAATGCGGCAATACGGCAATGGGGCGATGACGCAATGAGGCATTACTGTAATATGGCAATGATCTAACGCTAACGCTAACGCTAACGCTAACGCTAACGCTAACGCTAACGCTAACGCTAACGCTAACGCTAACGCTAACGCTAACAATAACAATAACGATAACGATAACGATAACGATAACTATAACAATAACGATAATGATAATGATAATGATAATGATAATGATAATGATAATGATAACCATAACCATAACGATAATAATAATGATGATAATAAAAATGAAGAATACCTGGTATTTTCAAGCTCACTGGACTCTAGGTAAGAGTCACGCCTAAAGAAATAAAAGTAATTTAGAAGAACAAAAAAGTGTCACAAACTCCTCTCCCACATCTTAGTGAAGGTAATTAGGACCCCTCCTCCCCGTTCCTCATTATATTTCTCAATTTAACCCTAATTATACACTAGGCTAGGTAGGATACGTCGAGTTTCCAAGAAATGGGGGTCCAAATCACCTTCACTCAGTTGTTACCTTTTTTACTTACATTTGTCTGGACTGTTGATGAACAGTTTGAATGGTTGAAACCCTTTTCTCCAAATTGTCCAGAGTGCCAAGGGTTTTGTTAATGAACTGCCTTGTTCACAAGATTCATATCTTTAAACATTTTAAAATGAAAGGAGTGCTTGCCAAAAAAAAAAAAAGTGTTTTGGAAGATTTATTTATTTCAATCAAAAGTTTCTATAAATAACATGACGCCTTGTTTTTGTGTGAAGAAAGGAATTTTATGTACAGAAACATAAAATAGAGACACAATTAGACCCGAAAAACTGTGGGTTAGGGAGATGACGGTTAGGCTTGTGAAATGGTCTTTAAAATAGTCAAATTAACATAAAACACGCGTTTTAGAGACGTTTTTTAAACTGACGGTAAATCTACAGTCTTAATAACAAAATCAAGTACGAATAAGATTGCTTAAATGTCGTCTTTTTACTCCACAGTTGTATGAATGTAAGAAGTTTTATATTTAAGTTTTGTTTACAAGCTTTTTTCGAATAACATGTAATGAAATCGAAATTCCTCTTCATTTTATTGGTATAATCGCCTACCACCGTATGTCATTGCCAATAAAGTTGCATATTATAATTCTGTTTCTACGTCTTGTGTGCCCCCATTTATCTTTTGCACACACTCCCTTTATTTCAATGATTTTCAGACACTTCAGACTAAAGTAAATTGTAACATTAGAATAAAATCTAATGTTTTCAATCATAACTTGTCTTCTATTGAAAATAACAAAAATGTTTTTTTTACTATTTAACAGAATGAATTTGCTGTTATCATACTGCATAAAATAAAACCACAGGAGCCGTAACAGTGATATCGCATAAATGTTACCTGCCCCTTATGTCCAGTTTGCAGTGCAGAAGAGTAAAAATTACAAATTAACAAAGATGTTCTTAAGACCTTCACTGATCAAAAATGTGTCAGATATCATAATTTTTTTGGCCTAAGCAGCACATCACGTTCTCCAAAGTTCTTGCATTGTTTCTGTAGCAAGAAACCCGCAAGTCAATGCATGTCATTGAGAAGCTACAACTCAAAACAATCAATTTGAAGCTAGAGAAAATAGGGTAATTAAATCATTTTGCCGAGAGAAAGGTTAAAAAGGGTACCATTGTGTATCGGACTTGCCCTTCTATAGATGAAGGGTCACATAAAGTTAAGACATACAGTTGTATTCTATCACATATAAATCTTCCTGTAGGTTTCTAATTTATGTGTCGTCTTTCTTTCTTTTTCCACCAAACTTCTAGATTCTAAACAAAATCATAAAAAGATGAAATATCATCATCAATGTTGTGTACATTTCTATAAATATATATATAATATATATCTGATAACTAATAGACAGATTATGTTTCCATGTTATAGCTGTACAAATTTTTTCATGATTTAAACACTGCTCGGCACCATGAGTTAAATTTGAAAACTAAAGTTTTAAACATTTTTGGAGAATGTTGGTAGATTTCTGTGCATACTCCAGTTTTTAAATTATATATATCTTCTTAAAATAAGTATGTTTTTGTGTTTGCTTGTTTGTTTATCCGATCATAACTCAGGAACCCTTGGACCGATTTGCCTCAAATGCTTGGGGAAAATCAAGAGACCCACCGGAATGTTCTTAGCGTGGTTTTGAGGTTCTAAGTTGAGTGGGGGTCGACCTTTACAGCGAAAATTTAGTTTCCCGGTGTAAAAACGTTCAAGTGCGGGTAAACGGCGGAGTAAATTAAATAACCTTGGCAGCTCTGGGTTCCTAAGCTAGTATAAATGTTTTATTTGAACTTACTTCCATAAAACCATATTTCTATCACTGAGTTTTTGTACTTTCATGATTTGGGGAATTTGCAGTTATCAAACTTATTACCACTTTATTGCCAAGTTTATTCAAGAAATGAAAAAATAGATCTTCAAAGATTTAAGATGAAAAATATTGTAGTTGTTCTCATATTCTCATGTTCTCATGTTCTCATGTTCTCATGTTCTCATGTTCTCATGTTCTCATGTTCTCATGTTCTCATGTTCTCATGTTCTCATGTTCTTCTCATTTTCTCATGTTCTCATGTTCTCATGTTCTCATGTTCTCATGTTCTCATGTGTTTCGATAAATGGGATTTCAGTTTAAATTGTTGCTCATGTTCTCATGTTCTCATGTTCTCATTTTCTCATGTTCTCATGTTCTCATGTTCTCATGTTCTCATGTTCAATGGACTATTTTAAGTCATAATTATAGTCTTAAAGTCACCTTCCTATACCAGATTTTTATGGTTCTCGTTGTAGCCAAGTAAATATTTCATTTTTTCAAAGTGTTTCGATAAATGGGATTTCAGTTTAAATTGTTGCTCATGTTCTCATGTTCTCATGTTCTCATTTTCTCATGTTCTCATGTTCTCATGTTCAATGGACTATTTTAAGTCATAATTATAGTCTTAAAGTCACCTTCCTATACCAGATTTTTATGGTTCTCGTTGTAGCCAAGTAAATATTTCATTTTTTCAAAGTGTTTCGATAAATGGGATTTCAGTCTAAATTGTCTTTGATATTCGATAGTTATTCATATCAAAGAGAATTGGTGAGAGAAACTGGACTGTTAAACTTTCATAAATATAAAAAGAAAATTGATAAAACTTCATTTTCAAGAGCTTTACGAAATATGGCCCAACTTAAGAATACGCCTTTAGTATTTCTTTCCAAAAAAAATAGGAAATGGCTTCTTTGTTTGTTATAGACAAATAAGAATAGGTTAACAGTTTTTCAGAATTAACGTAGTTTGCCTTAAAATTATCTTTTTTTAAAACCTGTTGGATGAAAACATAAAATTCAACAATCTATAATTTTTAGGATTAGAATTTTTCCCAAAAATTAATGCAGATAATGAATTTGAAACAGGGTGGGCAAAGCCCTCTTACACAGTTAAAAAAAAATAACTTACAAGGTTACCCACAAAGGATGAGACTTCAGAGACGATTGTATGGACATGTTTGGTCCGTTTTCTTGCTCTCGGGGTTCCTTGTAAGTCAAATCTGGCTTATTTCTGAGATTAACCCTTCATAAACCCATGATATACAAAATTGAATGCAGAAACTAAAAATCAACCTTTCAATTAACATATACATAGAGTGTGGGGCGTCTTTACTGTCTCATCCTTTGCTGATAACCCTGTATTTTAAATTTATTATGATCTGACCCGAAAATTAATACATTTTTTTAACATATATAACTATTTATAATTTACCTACAAAATAAATTCAGTTTTTTGGGGGAGATGGGAGAATTATACCAATGACATAATGCATTAAAGCGTAATGTTCAGTCAATCTAGATTTATCAGTTTTCACCTGAAATGATCTCTTCATTGGAACATGATTGGGTTAGATTTTTCCAGTCTGTGCACTTGGTACCAGACCCCATCTCAGGTCTGCAGACAATACAATTAATTGCTCATTATAAAAGGGACTCCTTCAAAATTGTAATTAAAAATTGCTTATTTGAGTTAACAGACCCCTGAATTACTGAAATGTGACAAAATAGTAAATTTTTTATAATTTATTGAAAAACATTAAAGTTAGCCATCAAAAAAAAGAAGATTTTTGAATCTTTTGTTGACTTCCTTTCATGATGATCAATTTTTCCTTGATCTTTTCATTGACTTGGTTTTTTTCAGTGTACTTAGATCACATGTACTCCAAGCAGAGTTCACATAAATGCATTCAATATCTAAAAACAAATATAATTGATCAAAATCATGATTCATCAGTATCTTAACATTTTTTGCAGCAGAAAGAATTACCAAACAGAAAAACTTTTGAAAGTGTTTGTTATCAAAATCAAAATATTTAACTGAAGAATATTAATGTTCTTTCAAACTCAGCCACTTTCCAGTGTCCGTACGTATATTGTTTTAAAGAATTCATTAATTTCCAGTGTCCGTACGTATATTGTTTTAAAGAATTCATTAACAAAAAACTATGAATTACTGGGAAAATTAGCATTTATCATAAATTAACACTGTATGAGATATTGCAAAAAAGATCATTTAGAAATATCAAGGGCAATTACAATAGAGGGGGGGGGGGGTAAGGAAGACAGTGGCCCATTATAAGTGTTATTAACCCGTTTTGAAATTTTCCCCCATGGTATAATTCCCCAAACCCGCAGATTAAACCTCCGCAAAATACCTTTTTTCGTTGTCTGTTCAGAAGGGTATGCTTCCATTCCCCTTCTAGGATCAGATGTGCTCTGGCTGTAAGGTTCAGAAGGATGGCTCCTGGTAATTTCCTCTGCAGTTCTTTTTCGTCATGAAAACAAATTGTTAAATAACTGCTGCTTACCTTATTGACTGTCATTAAATATAATAGTTGCAGTTTATGGTTTTTTAAATTCTATTCAAAATTCTACAGAGCTGGCAGAATAATGTGGTTCAATTTAGACAATGCCAATATGAGGGTTGACAACTTGTCGATCTAAACAAATGAGTTTTAAGAGTTTCTTATCTTGAACAATGTTTTCCTGGAGTTTGGTATGCACCTCACAGCGTGAACTAAACACATAAGTAGAGTACACTTGTACATTCTAGCTCTGTACAAAGTGTACAAATGTACACTATCACCTAAACTAAACTGTCACAGTTCACTGTACACTTTCACAGCGTAATTTGTAATTATCACTCTAGAGATGAATCCGTGTAATGTAACTCTTTCAGAAAATAAGAGTATCAATATTAGGTCATAAATCAAGTTATCCAATTTCAAGTGAAAGCCCTCAGAATCAGATGGCTTGTTCTTAATTAATAATCTTCTCCCAAACGGTACTGTAAATAGAAATAGTGTTACAGGTTGCCTTTTTATTACCCTAAAAGTATAAGATTTGAATGACAAGTTTAAACTCTATGAATATCAGGAGTATAGAACGGTGGCGTTTTATAAAGGTGTATTGAAATTAGATTCATTTATTTTTTAAACAAGTTGCCCCCTCCTTCTGGTTAGTTTTAAGGGGTTCTCCATAAATTTCCTGTGTGGGGGCTACCCCCCCCCCCATATCAATGTGGGATATTCCTCCTTGAACATTTTCCGTGGACGTATTCAGACATTTGTCCAGGGGGGCTTAATTTTTTTTGTCTTCTAGAGTGGGACTGAACACCAAGGGGTCCTACAAATTGTGGATTTCACTGATCCAGTAGGGGGCTAAGCCCACATAGCCCCCCCCCCTCCCATCCTGAACCGCTCTGACTGCCACTAGGACAGACACAGATTGTGAATGTGAACTGGTAGTTGTTGCAATTAGGGATGTTAACGTTTACATTTTCAGAAAAAGATCGTTAGTTATGAAAACGACGACGAAAAATCGAAAACGAAACGATCGTTTAAAAAACAATCGTTTTTTAAAAATAGTCGTTTTTAAAACGATCGTTTTTTTTTAAATTCGTCGTTTTGTTAACGACGACCCGTTGTTAACGATTGTTAACAACGACCCTTTGTTAACTATCGTTAAAAACAAGCCTTTGTTAACGATCGTTAATGACGACCCCTTCGTTATAACGATGAGAGGAAACTTACCTGAAGGGCATCTGTACTTATCATTGAGTAGTTTTTCAGAAATTATCAAGGAGTTTTAACTCCCCCACAACTGTTAAACTTCATGTAAGACGACATTCAATAAAGTTGCATGTAATATTTTTCCAAAAACGAATGTTTTGGTAAAGATCGTTGTTTCGTTAACGATCGTTAACTACAACCCTTCGTTAACGATCGTTAACGACAACCCTTTGTTAACGATCGTTAACAACGACCCTTCGTCAACGATCGTTAACATAATTGTCAATATTTTTTTTCAAAAGCGATCGCTTTTTTAAAAAAAATCGTATAAAAAACGGTCGCAAATCGTTTTAAGCAAAACGATCGTTTTCAAAAACAATCGCTATTCATTTTCTAAAAGTTCAAAACGAGTGGGTCATTTTTAAAAACGATCTTTTTTTTCTGAAAACGAAACAATCGTTTTTAAAAACGAAACAAAAAACGATTAACAACCCTAGTTGCAATTGATGATTTACCCATAAAATTAAAGGAGATTAGACAGCAAAATAAACAAATTAATATTCCAAACTTGTTCTTAACATTTCTAACTTAGATTAATTCTTCTCTTTTTCTTCCTAGTGGCCAACTCTGAAGCTTAAAACTTTACACATCCTAAAAGCTTGTTTTATGTTTATTGTTTATGCTAACTTCTAATTCAATATTTTTAACAAACAAATCGGTTTTTTGTTCGAAAAAAAGTTATAGCAGTAAAAAAAATTTTTTGTTTAACAATTTTTTAACATATTATGATAACAGGATAATTTTTCAAGAACATTCCTTTTAAGTTTAAGTTTCTATGGTGTATGTTTAATATTCTGTGAAGTTGTCCTAATGGATTGTGGAAAGCATGCGAGAAATAAAACCTGAACAACATCTGTTGGGAACAGTGCTATGGTGGAACCAAATGACCTCTGAGCTCAAACATTTTATGGTGGAAATCCCAAAAATTAAGCAGTTATCTGAATCTTGTGTCTTCTTAGGGATAAAATTAATTCCTGTTGGATATCAACTAGATTAAATCCATGGCAGTTTTAGCTGTGAGCTGGGAGCTCAACATTATTTGATAATTGTTAATCTGAGGATTAAGTAGTTGCCCTATAATCTTGTGGCATTCAATGGGATTATTTAATTTATTTTGAAGTAGCTGAAGGGCCTTTAAAACAAAAGTTTTGACCTCAAATAACACAGGTTTACTGACTGGTCCGTAAAATGCTTATGATTTTCAACGATTTTATTTTGTTCCTTTTGGGTCATTCTAAAGTTCCTGCCTCAAGGCAATTTTCACTCCAACCTTGCATGCTTCAATTACCAATAACATTTTTGTTAATTAAGATATCAAGCTATTTTAAACGCTATTTTTTACTTAATAAGTTTTAAATTTAGATTTTTTATTTTAGTTATAACATTTGCTCCGAAATTATTTTTATATTTTTTGACCTCGCTTTTTTCAGAGTCCATCATCTAATTTTTGCAAAAAATTTTTTCCTTTTTTGAGTTGAAGCTAGAGCTTTTAACCTTATTTTTAGGATTTTTATGAAAATTTGCCTTTGCAAAGGCAAACGGACAAGTTTTCTTACAAGACAGACGAATGTAGTAGAGTATTTTTGCAAATGGCCTAAACCTTTACCTAAAACGAATAAACCAGAGAGAAATGGCTTGCACAATGCACATGGTGGTGTAGTTTAACTTCTGTAAACAACCTAAGTTTAAACAAGAGAATGCTGGGCAGATAACATTAAAAAAACATTAGCACACAAAAATTTTTCTGTAAATTTTTTTGCAATTTTAAGTTTAAAATTAACGGAAGCCACTGTTGGTTTTATTTTGAAACACAACTGTTTGTTATTTTAATTAATATTTGAATTATTTTTCTTAAAAATGGCTACATTTTTGTTTGTTATCGATTTCAAAGTTAAAGGGGTTTAGCAGAAGAGAAGATACTCTTTCAAATTAGTCTTTAATATATGAATTTATGCCGTTCTATATCCTACTCCCCCTCCCTTGTAACAACGTCATAGATTTCCAAATATTTCCTCTGGAAATACAAGGACTGTTCTCCGGTCTCTACAAAAACTCTTCGTCACAATTCTCCGGTCTCCATGTAGACCTCAGTTAAACCTCCGTCATTCCTCTACAACCTCTCAGCCCAAGAGGTAACCCCCCCCCCCCATCTCTTTGGAAGATATAAAGAATTTGGTTCAGAGCTAAGACAGTTTTGGTTTTCTTAAAAAAATGAAATTTGAAAAAAAAATTTTACATTTTAAAATAACAATAAAGGGTTAACAAATAAGGTTGACGATTAAATGCCGCAAAATTTATTAAAGAACATAAATGTGTCTTCATGTAGTTTGTCAATGGTTTCTAAAAAATATTTTGTTAGATTAAAAGAAGTTCAAAATCATGGTCAAAGTACTTGCAGCAGCATTTCTACTTCTCTCAATCACCCTCTCCTACCAGGCTTCAATTGATCCTGCAGAAGGTAATCAAACACTCTCTTCTTTTAATTACCCTTTCTTACCAGGCTTCAATTGATCCTGCAGAAGGTAATCACACATTCTCTTCTCTTAGCCTCTCTTTCTTACCAGGTTTCAATTGATCCTGCAGAAGGTAATCACACATCTCTCCTACCAGGCTTCAATTGATCCTGCAGAAGGTAATCACACAAAAAAAGACTATTTTATACTCATGTTTAGGGTCTGAAAAGAACTAATTTCTATCTCATGTTAAGGTTTGAAAGGGAATAAGAACTCATGTTTAGGTTTGAAAGGGAATAATCTAACTCATGTTTAGATTTGAAAGGGAATAATCTAACTCATGTTTAGGTTTGAAAGGGAATAACTTAACTCATGTTAATGTTTGAAAGGGAATAATCTAACTCATGTTTACGGTCTGAAAGGGAATAATCTAACTCATGTTTAGGGTCTGAAAGGGAATAATCTAACTCATGTTTAAGGTTTGAAAGGGAATAATCTAACTCATGTTTAGGTTTGAAAGGGAATAATCTAACTCATGTTAAAGTTTGAAAGGTAATAATCTAACTCATGTTTAGGGTCTGAAAGGAACTAATTTCTATCTCATGTTAAGGTTTGAAAGGGAATAATCTAGCGCATGTTTAGGTTTGAAAGGGAATAATCTAACTCATGTTTAGGTTTGAAAGGGAATAATCTAACTCATGTTAAGGTTTGAATGGGAATAATCAAACTCATGTTTAGGGTCTGAAAGAGAATAATCTAACTCATGTTTAGGGTCTGAAAGGGAATAATCTAACTCATGTATAAGGTTTGAAAGGGAATAATCTAACTCATGTTTAGGTTTGAAAGGGAATAATCTATCTCATGTTCAAGGTTTGAAAGGGAATAATCTAACTCATGTTTAGGGTCTTAAAGGAAATTTTTAACTTTAAAAATTCTTTTTATTTAAATTTTACAATATTTTAAATATTTATATGATATCAGATGGAAATATTTTGAGATTTCTACATTTCTTGTTCTTCATTTTTTTCTTGTTGGTCCCCTTCAATCATACTTCAGCTAATTTTGAAAATAAAAAGAAAGAATTTTGTTGGATGTCCTTGTAGTTTGCTGTGTTACAAGTAAGAATTATTTTTAAATGATCTTGCTTTTTTTCTGAGCCATCTTGCTTTCTTTTCTTATGAACTCTGTAAACTCTTGCATCTGATTTTTTTTTCTGAACTCTGGATTGAATATTTTTTTATCTGGTCATACATCTGTTTTCTGTTCTTCTCTTTTAGATCTAAGCATTCTAATCCCTTGTAGACAAGGGAAAAATGCATTTTGACACATATTTATCATTCATACTATTCTTTTTTTTTATATCTTGGCGCCAGAAATATCAATATAAGTATAATATAAGGGTACTGTTTGTCAGGAGTAGATTTTAGATGTGTTTGCGGTTTTTAATATTTTTTCTGATCTAGGAATGTCTTGACTCAACATCTCTAATGTTTGGTGCAGTCTCAGCAGCAATTAAATACACTGTTCGAAGAGGTTTCTACCTAGGGTAGAAAAATTTTAGAAGGGGGGGGGGTGGATGTATCCTTCCCTTTCCCAATGTTTTCTACATTTGCTGTTGGAAAATATGACAGTGTACAGCTTGACACTAGAGATTCCCTTCCATGTTTTCCTTTTCCTGTTCGATTTTCTTTTTTTACTTTTCTTTATTTTCTTCTTTTTTCTTGTTTAGCTCTTTTTTGCACTTTAAGACCTTTCCAAATAGTCCTTGTAACATCTGAGTTGTGGAAAAGGTAGAGGAGAGAGATTAGGAGATTTGTAAGAAGAAGGGTATAGGGAATTGTTTCCTGTGTTCCTTCATTTTATACTATTTCCCAGTTAGGGGAATTATAAGGAAACTCATAACTGCTCCCCTTATGCAAAATGAGGAGTTGTAAGCCCTGTAAAGCCCTCTTGAGGGGAATCTATTTTAGCAGTCCAGTCCTCAGTCCATTCCTCACAGCCAGTTGAGTAAAAACCAGTATCATTGTGCTTACAGTAGGGAAAGTGCTATGTTTAGTTGTGCATCTAGTATACTACAGGGGAAGCAAGATATAAACATAGATTAAAACCTTCCTTTCTGGTTTTGTGTTATCTGGGTTCTCAGGAGATTTAAGAAGTAATTTATTCCCTGATAGGTATACATGGCTGATACAAGGCTGGGACCCATTTAAGATAGGTCCTTACTCTCTGAAGTCAATCAGGCAACTGGTCTGAAAGGGAATAATCTAACTCATGTTTGGGGTCTGAAAGGGAATAATCTAACTCATGTTTAAGGTTTGAAAGGGAATAATCTAACTCATGTTTAGGTTTGAAAGGGAATAATCTAACTCATGTTAAGGTTTGAAAGGGAATAATCAACTCCTGTTAAGGTTTGAAAGGGAATAATCTAACTGACGTTAAGGTTTGAAAGGGAATAATCTAACTCATGTTTAGGTTTGAAAGGGAATAATCTATCTCATGTTAAGGTTTGAAAGGGAATAATCAACTCCTGTTAAGGTTTGAAAGGGAATAATCTAACTGATGTTAAGGTTTGAAAGGGAATAATCTAACTCATGTTCAGGTTTGAAAGGGAATAATCTAATTCATGTTTAGGTTTAAAAGGGAATAATCCAACTCATGTTAAGGTTTGAAAGGGAATAGTCTAACTCATGTTAAGGTCTGATAGGGAATAATCTAACTCATGTTTAGGGTCTGAAAGGAACTAATTTCTATCTCATGTTAAGGTTTGAAAGGGAATAATCTAACTCATATTTAGGGTCTTTAAGGAACTAATCTAACTCATGTTTAGGGTCTGAAAGGGGACAATCTAATTCATGTTTGGGGTCTGAAAGGGAATAATCCAACTCATCTTTAGGTTTGAAAGGGAGTAATCTATCTCATGTTCAAGGTTTGAAAGGGAATAATCTAACTCATGTTTAGGTTTGAAAGTGAATAATCTAACTCATGTTTAGGTTTGAAAGGGAATAATCTAACTCATGTTCAGGTTTGCAAGGGAATAATCCAACTCATGTTAAGGTTTGAAAGGGAATAATCTAACTCATGCTTAGGGTCTGAAAGGGAATAATCTAACTCCTGTTTAGGGTCTGAAAGGGAATAATCTAACTCATGTTTACTGGTTTGAAAGGGAATAATATATTTCATGTTTAAGGTTTGAAAGGGAATAATCTAACTCATGTTTAAGGTTTGAAATGGAATAATCTATCTCATGTTTAAGGTTTGAAAGGGAATAATCTAACTCGTGTTTAAGGTTTGAAAGGAACTAATCTATCTCATGTTAAGGTTTGAAAGGGACTAATCTATCTCATGTTTAGAGTCTGAAAGCTAACTCATGTATAGGGTCTGAGAGATACTTATCTAACTTATGTTTAGGGTCAGAAAGGGACTAATATATCTTATGTTTAGAGTATAAGTGACTAATATAATGCATTTTTAGGGTCTGAAAGGGACTATGAGCTGTACAATGAGTTTATGAGGGAAATGATGCAACCAGCTCAAAAGTAGGAATTATTATTATTTTTTTATATTTCTAAGTAAATTTGTGGTACAAATATGTGTCTTTGACAAACGATATAAAGTTATGCACAGAAAAAAACTAAACCATCTTACAAAATCATAGGCAGGGGGGTACCCCCCCCATCAATATTAGAGTTTAATAATTTTATAGAATTATAGAGTACGCAACACTAATTTGTCTAATAAAAAGGCTAAACGTAGATATTCTTGAGTTGTATAACGTTTTCTTATCTCTTTTACCTAATATTGGCAAATTATCTAAATAGTCTAGAAATGTTAAGTCATGTATATTTAAATACTTGTAGGCTTCAACAGAATTTAATAATGAATATAAAAAAATAATCCTAGTTTTTATTGGCTAATGTTTATTCATATACCTGTATCCCCTTCTCGGCCCCATCGGGCTCTCATGTGACATATGCATGAATTTTAATCCATATTTAAGGACTTTTTATATGTTGTTTGATATTTAAAATGTTTCTTAGCTACCTACTAACCTTAAAATTGTTCACTTGTCTCCTCTGTACAATAAACCATACACTTTACACCCTCAACATTATAGTCTCAAAAGAAATCATCATCATATCGAGAAATCTTTTCACCAGAGACCCCCTGCAATTTTATTGGATCTGCACCCAAATATTCATAGGAGACCCCAAAATTTGTAGAGGAGATCTACCCCTTCAAATTTCAATGGAGACCCCTGGATTTCCATCAGAGACCCAAATTTTTTTTCATTAAAGACCCTACATAAGTTTTGTTTAAAGACCCCCTTTTTTTCATCAAAGACCCCCATATTTTAGTCAAAGACCACTTGTTCATTAGAGATCTGAAGATTGCTCCTAGAAATCCCCAGTATTATTGGTGACCCCCCAGATTTTAGTTAAGTGCCACATTTCTTTGGAGATTTCAAGATGATGTTAGGTACTTTCCCAAAGGATTTTTTCCAAGTATAAACTTCCCAAATGTGCAAATTCCCAAGCGGCAGCTTCCCAAGTCTGTCCTAGCCACAGTGCTTCCCCCCAACTATGCTAACCACGGTACTCGGCCCCCTAGCCCATCCTAGCCGCAGCCCCCCATGGCAGTCTGTGGCGCCTCAGAGGACCTAAACTAACCTTTGGGTAATTGCCGTTTGGGAAATTGCATGTTTGGGAAGTGCCACTTGGCAAAATACCCTTGCGAAGTTGCCACTTTGGGGAAAAAACCTCATATTGCCCTTTGAAATACCCCTGTATTGAAGACACTTATATTTTCATCAAAGGCCCTTACAGAAAATTTGTAAGTCTCCAATGTTGATTTTCTAATTTTAATACAATTAAATCAAAGTTTCAATGGTTAACAAATTTAGACCCTCTTTAGGTTTTAGCTCTAAACAAGTTGGCATGTATAATAAATTTTCTTTTGTGAGATAAAAATAAAAATAAGTATTTATGAAATTTTAGTATTTTAATTATTTAAATTCTACCACATGGGGAAAAATATAGTTCACAAATATAGCTCTTTCAAACTTATTAAATACCTAATTTTACATTGATACAATGGCATGCACTAGAATATTTGTAATTGTTAATTATCTGAAGGAAACCTCATTTACCAACTTTGTATCCATTTTTTATCTAATTCTTTGTTGCAATGAAAACACTTTCAAAGTAAGAATACTCAACAATTTCTAAATCTTTAAATCCAACAGCATCCAGTGCTTGTGTGATCATTGTACCAAATTCATACTCCATCATATAAGGTTCAGGTCCTTTTTCTCCAGGGGCATCCCAGACATGTCCCCAGGTATTGAACTCTACAAGAGCAAATCTCTCAACAACGTTATCAGGATAAGGAACTTCAAATCCATTCATGGTTCCCCCAGGAGCTGTGAGCCTGTACATTTCTGAAATAATCCGAAGAGCGTTCTCTGCTGGCATTTCATGGAGTACATAGGCATAGTTGATAAAGTCAAAAGACTCAGATTCCAGCCAGGAAAGGTCTTCAGCATTGGCATGATAAAATTCAATGTTACTCACATTTCTCAATGACTGCCATTGTCTTGCCATTCTGATGTACGGAGCAGCAAGATCAACAGCAACAACCTCTGCATCAGGAAAGATTTTAGCTAGAACAAATGCTGAAAACCCCGGTCCAGTTCCAATATCTAAAATTCTCTTGGGTTTCTTATCTCCATGCAGCTTGATGAGCCATTCAGTCAATAGGTCCTCATGGAGAAAATTGAACTTTGAACGTCCCAAATATGAGATCCTGACAGTGTGTCCATTAAGGTATCCACCAGGCAAAAAGTGTACATATGTCTGGTTGAAATGGGAAGGGATGTCAACAGACACTCCAGTAGGCTGAACATCTGAATCATCTTCTAATCCAGCAAATGAAGGATAAGTACTTACAAATGTGTTGAAAAAATTTAAATACTCTTCTAAGTTTCCTCTTGCTCTGAATGCCTGCAAATAAGTGTAAACCTCAAATGGGGTTTCAGGTGCTGTAATAGAATCTTCTTCGCATGAGAAAATTGGGGGTTCAGGAGCAAATTCAGGAGCTCTGTAAAGTTGAGGGATGACAATTTTCATAAACTCAGGGAGAGACTCCATAAACTTTAAATCAAATCCTGACCAGTTAATTCCCAAGAAATCCTGAAGCTCAGTTGATTTAAACACCTTTTCGTGAGCAATAGCAGCTTGTAGGTAGTCATTTAATGAATCTTTATCTGGATTTTCAGGGAAGACAACATCATTTACATTTCCAAAGGTGAAAAACCTTGAGTGAAGAATGTCGTTGAACTTTTCAAAATCTGCCAAAGATCTATGGATCATACCAGCTTCAACTTCCCCACTCTTGATGAGAAGATCAAACTCTATCCTGTAAACCTCTGCTCCTCGAAAGTCTGGAGGATCCAGAGCTACAACTGACATAGCCAATGGTTCACCCTAAAACATAAAAATTTATATTTATGACTTTAATTAAACATAGAGAAGCTTTTTAGGAATGATAAGTTATTTTACACTAATTTTTGCACAAATAAAATCTTGATATTCACAAATTGTTAAAAACAAAATATCATCTGAAAGAATAGTAATTCATAAAGAATGATTAGTTTTCATTCAGTTTTCATTCATGCAGAATCAGATTGTTCATATGTTGTCCAAAAAATAATATATTCAGGTTTTTAGAACAATCTTTATAATTTTGAACCATAGATTTACATCAAACAGAAAATAAACCATTGACAACTGAGATTGAAGCAACTTTGATAAAACTTCTGATTCTTTTTGCAGATGCAAACAATGATGTAATTCTTATTGTAAGAAAGAAATTGAGTCTTTGCCATGAACTCTAATTTTCTAATCTCTATATCTGTGCAATCTGATGGGGTAAGCCTTTAATATTTTAAACTTAGATTATTTGATCTAACTGAATTCATATTTTGAAATATCTAAGGTATACAAAATTGGTTTGCAAAGATAAATGGATTAGAAAATTTGAGTTTGTGGCAAATTTTTCAAATTTCAAATTTCCAAATTAAAAAAAAGTGCTATATACCTCTTGATACGGAGGGATAAAGGAACCTTCATGAAGGCCTAGAGTGACAGTTAAATATACTGATAAGACAAGAAGCTTCATTCCTTATTGTCGTTCAACTACTTTATATTATTATTATCTGCTGTTTATATAGAAGTTTGATAGCCTGGATTTATTGTGTACATACCTTAAAAAAACATCATACTAGAGTAAATTATATAACTATTCTACAATGCACAAAATTTATACGCATTTTATAGCTTTATGCAATTTTATATCTTTATGCTATTTTATATCTTTATGCAATAGTCATAATTATGAACTTAATCCAAAAAATATTGTTCTGTCAAAAACATTGGTTTTAAGTTTGTTGATTATGTAAAATATTATATAAATAGTTCTTTGATAACAATTATTATTCTCGTTTTATGTTTTTCTTTTCAATAGATAAGAAATATCTATAAAATTATAATTCAATATTACTAAGATTTAAGTTTGATTTATTTGTTTGTTTTTACGGTAAATTGTTTTTAACTCAACTATTTGATTAAAGGAAATGAGTCTTTGTCACAAACTCTGATTTTTAAATCCCTATATTTTAACAACCCAATGTTGTAGACCTTAGATATTTCAAACTATGACTTCTGTTATATCAAACAATCAAAGTTTGAAATATCAAAGGTCTACATATTTTGGTTGTAGATATATTGGTATTAGAAAATTGGGATTTGTTGCAAAGACTCAATTCCTTTGGCTTGTCTATCTGTTTGTCTGTTTGTTTGTTTGTATCCAATAAACGTCAAAACGGCTGAACCGATCGGGCCCAAATTTTTTGTGGGACATCACCCTAAAAGCCTAGTCCTTTTTTTAAATAGTTGTTTTATATCTAAAATTTTCATATTAATAATTTTAATTTAAAAGATTGCGGGAAATAAAGTTAGTAAATACATTTTTAATATTTCACTTCGTAAGATTTGATGAAGATTTACACAAATATTTTTTCTTTATAATATAAATCGATGTTAATATTTTGGAAAAAATATATACATTAACATTTCATTTTGGAGAAAGTTTAATTTTAATAAAAATGTCGCAGATTGTTTCTATTATGTTTGTTGTGGCAAAATATTTCATTATGTTTGTTGTGGCAAAATATTTCATTATGTTTGTTGTGGCAAAATATTTCATTATGTTTGTTGTGGCAAAATATTTCATTATGTTTGTTGTGGCAAAATATTTCATTATGTTTGTTGTGGCAAAATATTTCATTATGTTTGTTGTGGCAAAATATTTCATTATGTTTGTTGTGGCATAATATTTCATTATGTTTGTTGTGGCAAAATATTTCATTATGTTTGTTGTGGCAAAATATTTCATCATATTTGTCGAGGCATAATATTTTATCACTTTGTTAAATCTTAAACTTTACCCATAAATTATCCGATAGTAGAAAATGTCTAAATTTTGAAATATCTAAAATTCCTGCAATATGACATAAAGTTTACCTTAAACAAGAATACATGAATTGAAGCTGTAAAGGGACTTTAGACGTATTTTTCAGGACCTCTATGATTATAATTTTGTATTTAATTTTTATATGATTTTTAATTATTAAAAATTTTTAATGCAAGCTGTGTTTTATGTAAAATATAAGCATTTCTAATTCAATGGGAATTACAGAAATTCAATACTCTTATCGGAATTTTTAGTCCGTACAGCATTCAAATCGGATCGTTATAAAAAATCTATTTAATTCCAAACAAATCGTTCGAAGATATTACAACCAATAATCAACGAGAGATTTTCGACGCATTCGTGTATAGATCAAATTTCATAATATTTTTTATTTTTATGATCCGAGAGTTACTTTTCAAAATAATTTCTGTTTCGAGGATTGTTGATAATGAAAACGACATGTTTATATTTTCCAGGAATGTTCGAAAACCAAATACGAATGCGTCGAAAAATAATCGATGACTATTGTTTGTAATATCTGAATAATTTGTTTAGAATTAAATTGATTTGTTTACGATCTGAGTTGAATGTTGCAACTTTCTGAATTTCATGGATGCTACGTTCTTCAGCATGAGTCGTGTTTAACACTTTTCTCCTTATAAACGCAACAGATAAAAATAAGATTAGTAGCGATCAAAAGCGCTTATTTTTCGCCGTAACCTGTATCGGCCCCTTTCATTTTTGCGAACAATCCCTTTAAATGTTCATTTCTTTCAGTTCAAATCCAATACTGCAGTCAATGAGGGTGACTTGAAAACAGTTCTTTTAAGAATGTTTATGAACATCTGGAACTGCTTCAACAAATATTTATTGAAGTATTTAACTTTAAGAAAGAAACCTTACAAAAATATCAATTACATGATATATTTATTACATTTGATTCATTACATTTTTCAAAATCCATATTATTTATAAGTAGAGATAAATTAATAAACAAAGCTAGAAATAAGAGATTGTTAAGAATTCAGGGGCGTACACAGGAACTTGTTCAGGGGGGAGGAAGATCAGCCCTGTGTACACGCCTCTGATATAGACATATTCTTCTGTCCTATGCAGTGCTGAAGTCTTAATATATTATCTTAAACTGCCAATTTAATTTAAATCACATTTCAGTAAAAGACCATAATAAAATTTAATTCAATTTTATATCTTAATGCTAAATATAATTTTTTTTTAGAAATGTTACAAAATTGATTTATTACTCATTACTTACTTATTCTGTAATGGCAAAACATTGAGTTTTTGAATGGATTCGGATTTTATGATTCCATTTTTTTTTGGGTTGACTGAAAGATGATCGACTGACTACTCGATTTATTGATTCATTGGTTGATTTGATAGATGCATTGATTAACATAATGAAATAGCAATGTGTTAACATAATTGATCATTAAACGATAATTTATTAATTTTACTTCGTTTTGAAAAAATGGATTGATTTTTTAATTTATTGATTGATTTTTTGATCAATTGACGGATAATTGATCAGTTCATTGAATATTAATTGATTGATTGATTAATTAAATATCTAGGCGTGGATCTCTGTGCATCCCGTATTCAATGTCCTGCTCCGCGGCTCCTCAGGTCTGAATAAAACATTTTTTGGCCAATCATTGAATGATCTGAACCCGCTGTACAAGTAATTAGTAGTACAGGCCGGTATTGTAAATTAAATATAAACTACAGTGAAACCCTTAATAACGAATACATCGAAAGAATTCATCAAATGCCGTATTCTTCACTTTCTGATAGTGGAATGTTGCAGATATTTAGTTTTTTAATTAAATGATTATATGGAAATCTTTAAAACGACATTTGATAAATTCTTCCGATGTATTTGTGATTAAGGGTTTCACTGTATATACATTTTGTAAAAGCTGGATAGGATTTAAGTCTTCAAGCTTTAAAAATATTTAAATTTTTTATTTAGATTCAGCTTATATTTGAAACTTGTTTTAGTTTTGCTGCTCTGGCTTTGTGTGCAAATGCAACCTATGGGGAGCCAACTGCAAGGTAACACGTTTCTTGGTATAAAATTTTGACTCTAGTCTGGCCTTGCTGTAACAAAATAAATTGTTTGTAATTTATTCTCTTTGTTTAAATCCTCTTTTATTAAAGAAATAATAATTGTTTTCTTCTCGTAAATGTTTTAAATTGTTTACTTTTAGGATTTCATTACTTACAGTAAATAAGTCACAATACCAAGAGACCCCAGTCAATTTTGCAATCTATAAAATTGCCTTATTTTAAAAAATTTAAGAAATATTTATTTTTAGTGTGACAGGGGAGGTCTTTTCTCCGGCAGATAAGAGTTTACTTGTAGTTCAGTTTATAGAATAAAACTTGAGCCGGACTGCCCTTCATTTGAGCCATCTTTGCAAGGATTTATAAGTATCCTTTCATACATTTTGAACAAAAAACTAAAAAACACTTTTCTTCTTATCCTTATATCTTTGCAACCTGATTTCGCAGACCTTTTATATTTCAAACTATGATCTAGCTGCTATAGATCTAAATCTATGTTATGCTGGACCAAATTGGCTGAATTTTTTAGTAAACCAATTAATGGGTGTAAAATAGGCTAAAAGATTAGAATTATTATTTTCCAAAAGAGTTTTTAAAATTCCACGGTCAACGCCCGGCACTTCAGCTAGTATGAAAAATAAATCAAAAAGTTTACATAACAAGAGGAAATATTCTATATAGTAGGGTATGTCGACTGTTTGGTCTTACAGTCCAAGAATCTAGTAATAAATAATAAGGTGCAAGGTACTTCCCCAAAGGCATTTTCCAAAGCGGCAACTTCCCAAGGGTATAATTCCAAGCGGCAACTATCCAAATGAACTATTTCCCAAGCGGCAACTTCCCAAGTCTGTCCTTGCCGCAAAATGTTCTAGACTCAGTTGCCTTGCCGCTTGAAAAAATGGCTGTGTGAAAATACCTAACACCAATAATAATATGGGTTTGCTGATATTAATATTAATGATTGTTTCAGCCTACTGTGGACTGCTACACAATTTATCTTAATACATATATTATCCTCATATTTATTGTAAATGCATAATATACCGAGAGCAGAAAATAAACTTTAAAAAATCTATCTTTATTTACTCAGCTGGGAACTCTTGGAATGTGGATATAGATTTCAATGCTTGACGCTAATCTTTGTTAATCTGCAGATTATTTTAATCTTTATTCGATGTTGTGGTAAAATTGTACTCTGAAGGAATTTGAAAAGAAAAGCAGTAAGATCCTTAAAATCGAAAGTATCCACAGTGGATATCAAGATAAAGTGTTCGGAATTATGAGTTTTCTACACAAACTTTCAAGCTCTGATTACACAATAATCTGTTACCGTCGTTTTATTCTTAGGTGACGCACTACTTAAAAAAGATAGGGGCATGCCGGATTCACACCTTTCATCTGATAAAATAATATGTGTCGTTGGTCTAGCAATTGAAAGTGCTAAATTTGGTCAATTTGCTCTATTTTTCTTCATCGGAAGAAAACGCTCATTTAAAAATAATAAAAATTTAAAAAAAGAGAAAATCATGATTATTCATTAAAGCTTGATAGTTCAAAGCTTTTTAGATGAAATGACGTCTAC